CCTCGCTCAGCACCCACTGGGCGAACACAACTGTGGGGGCGGGGCGGGGCGAGGGTGGCCCAGCTCCCGCTGTCCTGGGGTCCAGTCTCAGACAGAAGGTTCTGGAAGGAGGCCCCCTGGGCTCCCCACAACGTGGAGACCGGGGCAGCGTGGAGGTTTCACTTCCTTCCAGTGCAGCCAGGTCAGACGGGCTGGAGGCCGCCGGAGATTCTGGGTCTGAGCGGGCTTTGCCCGGAGGTGCCCAGGCGGTGGGTCGGGGCCGGGGTCGGGGTCAGGGTGCTGGGTGGGCTGGGGCCGAGCTGCGGCTGCCAGAGGCTCTCCCTGGGTCGGAGGAGTCCCTGGAAGACGCCTGGCCTGGCTGAGTGAGCTCCAAAGTGACAGAGTCCCAGCCGCCGTGCTCCGCCCTGAGAGGCCTTGGGGCCTTCGCTTCAGCTCCAGCGGGGAAGGGAAGCGGTGGGCTGGGCAGGAGGGCGTTAGAGGCAGCGAGCAGGAATCAATGAAAGGGGGGGGGGGCGTGTGGAGAGAGACACAGAGGGAGAAGGGGAAAGGGAAGGGAGGGAGGAGAGGTAGAGACGGAGCCACAGAGCCTGGCAGGGCATCTGGGATTAGGATGCCCTTCCAACAGAATCTCCATTCCGCTTGGCTAATCATTTCCCTCGGCATCTTGTCTTACCATCAGTAGGAGGAGGTTTGTGGGGAGAATTCCCCGGCCCCGGCTGCTCTGCTCCCCTCTACCGAGTGGCACTTAGACTTTGGGGTGTCCCTGTCAGGGCTCCATGTTTCATGAATGGGGAAACTGAGGCACGGAGTGGGCACAGCCCAGGGTCACCCCTGGGGTTGGGACAGCCTACACCCTCACTCCAGGGCCGTGGTCAGGCGCTCACAGGTCTGCAGGCGCCCAGGCCCCAAGAGTTTCCCCAAACCCAGGGCGTCCTGCCCGGCGAAGGGCACCCAGCACCTGCCTTGTCGTCCTCCCTGCCCTTCGCTCCGCTGCGCCTGCTCAGCACGAGGGAGCTGGGCGCCCTGCCTCCCCTCCGTGCCCCCCATCTGGGCGCTGGCACCCTCCCAGGTGCTCCTCCGCAGATACCTCCAGCCCCAGCGGAGGCTGCAGGGCCGGGGTTCCAGACAAAGGTCGAAGGTGCTGCAGTGGTCTCCCTGGGGGCCCACACCTGGCAGCAGCGCTCTGAACTGTGGGCATCTCAGGAGCGTGGCACAGAGCGGGGAGGGGGTATTCCTCTTCCCCAGACGGCACAGGACCAGTCACCCTCCCCTGGCTCCTCGGTCAGGAGGCCGGAGGGCCAGCCAGCCAGACCTCCCGGGACGCCCCGTCCCGCTGGCAGTGGCTTTCCGCCTCCATCGCCTATTGTGCCGGCAGCTCGTCTGCTGTGTTTGCAGCCCGCGCCCGCCCCCCCAGCCTTTGCACAGGAAACACCGCAGACAGGAGCCGCTGAGACCCTCCGGGGGGGAGAAGCGCGGGTGTGTGGTCTCTCCCCACATTGCCCTTGTCCACGTGGGAGACTTGTTCCCGCCCGGGCCCGGGGGCTGGCGTCCGGCTGGCTGCCCGGCCCCAGGCCCGGCCCTGCCCCTCGCCCGCAGCTGAGGCTCACAGGCTGACCGGGGCCTGCAGAGCCGGGAGTGCAGAGGCGGGCTTCCCATTCCCGTGGTGAGGAGTCTGAGGAGAGGGCCGCTCTGCTCAGCCCCCTCCAGGGCTCGCTGTGGGCGCCGGGGCTGCCGGAGGAGGCAGGAGGGCCCTGGCACGTGGTGCCATCATGATGCCATGGTCGTCACATCCTCCCGGCAGAGCCCAGGCGAAGCGGCCGCTCATCACCGCCCAGCGGGCCCTTCCTGGGCACCAGACAGCCTCTCGCCGGTGCTGGACGAGGGAGACTCAGAGGCAGACACACAGCTTCGGGGACAGTGCTGGGACCCGGCCCTGTGCTTCTGGACCCAAAGCCGTTTCCTTTCCTGCTCTGGGCTCCGGGCTCCGGGCTCCGGGCTCCGAGGGGGTGGCACACAGGCCCCTGAGCGCACAGAACGTGCGGCCTGGCGTTTCCCCGGAGCCGGTCCCCGCCCTCCGTTGGGGCAGGACGTGTGTTTTATCGGCTGGTGAACTGTCTAAGAAACGGTCGCTGCTTCCGGTATCAGGGGTTGGCTCCGGGGCCATTCTGAAAGGCGAGAGCTGTGCCTCGAGCTTCCGGAACCTTCTCCCTGTGCGGCCGCTTCTTTGCGCCGCTGCTTCCTGATGCAACCTGACCTCCCGGGAAGCGGAGGCGCTGGCCCCCGGCCCGGCCTCCGGGCGCTGTCAGCGGCGTCAGCGGAGGCGGGAGGGAGGACCCTGTCCGGCCCAGCGCTGCCAGCCCTGCGGCCAGGCCACACTCCGCGCCTAAACGGTTAAGTGGGATCCCGAGCCGAGGGCGGAGGGAGGAGGAAACACAGCGGGAGGGACCGTGGCTGGCGACGCCTGGGATTTATCTGTTGTGCTCTCTGCTGTGAGGCCGCTCGGCAGCCGGCGGGCGGGGACGGCTGATTCATTAGTTTCTGACCATCTGCTTCTCGGGCTGGCATCGGGCGGGAGCAGCCGACCCGCAGGAGAGGGCAGCCCGACAGCAGCCGGGTCGGAGCCCCTGTCCTCTGCCAGGACCGGCTGTGTCAGTCTTCCCAGTGACAGACAGGCCTGGGAGGCTGGGGGGAGGGACCCCGTGTCCCCCCCCATTGGGCACCGCCAGGAGGCCGGGTCCGGTGAGGGGCCGGAGGCCGGGGACAAAGAAGGACCAAGGTAAACGGAGGGGGCGTGGGGACTCCCGGAGCTGAGGTTGACAAGAATCATAGCAACATTCTATGAGATTTATGAATATTAATCTACTAATTATATTAACAACTAAGTCACGTAACAACAATCTAATAAAAGCCCAGTGACCGTGATGGCGGAACGACCAGAATGACCGGTCGCTATGATGCGCACTGACCACCGGGGGCAGACGCTCAACGCAGGAGCTGCCCCCTGGTGGTCAGGGTGCTCCCACAGGTGGCGCCCTCAGCCAGAAGCCGGGCTCAGGGTCCCCCAGCTGGAGCCCGAGGGAGCTCCACTCCAGCGGGTGTCTCAGGTGGGACGCCAGCGTGCCGGACTCCCTGAGACCGTCCAGGACAGGAGCCGGCGGAGCCCAGAGCACAGCCCACGCACAAGGAGGCCAGGCCTCAGTTTCCCCTGTGCCCACTGAGGGGTTGGACTCAGGAGGGAACCCCTTCGGCCCCGAGGTCTGTGGGTCCTGTGAGTCCCTGGGCTGGAGGGTGGGGTGGACAGGCAGCCTGGGGGTGGGGGGACCAAGGACAGCTGTTTTGGTCAAGCGCGCTTTGAGGGAGCTGCCTCGGCGAACCCAGACCGGCCGTCCCCTGAGGAGTCGGGGCCCAGGGCCTGGTCCTCCCCTGGAGGGGTCACAGTGGGGTCCTGAGCGCTCAGCCCCTCTGGAGAGGGCGCCCACTTCACTCCCCCTGCCCCCCACCCCCGCCCGGGCTGGATGGCTCGCTTTTGAGTGAGCAGCTTTGTCTCAGACCCAAGCCGCTCGTCACCCCGCGAACGGGAGGCCTGAAATATTCATCAAAACGCCGCGAGGGGCCGGCGCTGCGGGCCTTGGTGACAGGCTTGGCTCTTGATGAATAGATGTGGCGTTTGGAGCTGTTCAGCTGGACAGCAGAGAGCGGAGGACTCCCCGCTGCCCCCTCCCACCCACCCCTCCTGGCTTAGGGGGGCGTCTGTTACAACGATGAACCCACAACGCGTGCCTTTTCACTGACCGCAGTTCACACAGGGTCCCGGGTGTGGCTGTGACAAAGGCCCGCTGCCATGGACCCACCGTGACAGCCCATCCGGCCCCTCCCTGCCCTCAAACCCGCCCCTGGGCAGCCTGTGCCGGCGGCATTTGGGCTCCGCATGCGCTCACAGGGCCGGCCAGATGCGGGATGGATCTGAGCTGCCGTGGTGGGGAGCCTGGCTGGGCGGGGAGCAGGCGCCAGCTGCCTCTCTCACCCCCACCCCCACCCCCAGGAGGGAGGACTGTAAGCAGAGGGGCCAGGACCTGCAATGCTAACCAGCGCCCCCCACTGGGCCTGCCCGGAACGTGCCAAGGACCTAGAACTGACTTGCCCCAAAATGCACCCCCTTGAGGGGAACCCTAAACACTCAGCACCCCCAGGTGCCCAGCTTCCGCATGAGACGGACACAGGGCTCTGCCGGGACAGGCGCGGCCACCACACTCTGTGCCACCTGGGCAGGGCCGCCCCCCTGAGGCCAGGCTGCCTCCCCGGACGTGAGGACAGCGCCCGTGCTGCGTGGGGTGGGAGGCGGGAGGCGGGAGGTGGGGTGTGGGAGGCGGGAGGCGGGAGGCGGGAGGCGGGAGGCGGGAGGCGGGGTGTGGACCGAGAGAAGGGAGTTGAATTTGTACGTGAGATCGAGGGCCAACGTGTGTGGTGAGTGGCCTCCACCCTGTGCCTGGGGCAGCCACGGAGGTAAGTTTAAGGGCCAGGAAGACACTTCGGGGAGGAGGCGCTCAAAGAGGAGCTGTGCAGGCAGACAGAGCGGAGGGCAGGGCCGGGGGAGAAAGTGCCGTCTGCAGAGGCTCAGAGGCGCGGGCAGTGGGCTTGCAGGCCGGGCTGCTCAGTGGGTGGCGCCCAGCAGGTGGGGATGGGGCTCCAGGCACCGGGGTCTGTGTGCTGAAGAGTTAGCCCTCCATCCTCCGGGCAGGGGAAGCCGGGGACAGTGGAGAGGTGGTCCACACCCACCTTGATGGTCTCCACATAGAGCGAGCCTGCTTCCGGGGCTGCCTCCATGTGACAGCCTCTGCGAGCTCCGGGGGAATGGGTTCAAATCACCGGCCCAGGGGGCGCTTCCTGGTGCCCGGACGCGGGACAGCACCGGGCCCTGTGACCTCCGGCCGATGCCTGGACTCGCGTGGGGCCGGGCTGGGCAGCAGCGCCCACCGTGCCCCCTAACCCCGTCCCCGCAGGAGAACCCCTACCTGTGCAGCAACGAGTGCGACGCCTCCAACCCGGACCTGGCCCACCCGCCGCGGCTCATGCTGGACCGGGAGGACGAGGGGCTGGCCACCTACTGGCAGAGCGTCACCTGGAGCCGCTACCCCAGCCCGCTGGAGGCCAACATCACGCTGTCCTGGAACAAGAGCGTGGAGCTCACGGACGACGTGGTGGTGACCTTCGAGTACGGCCGGCCCACCGCCATGGTGCTGGACAAGTCCCTGGACCACGGCCGCACCTGGCAGCCCTGGCAGTTCTACGCCGAGGACTGCGCCGAGGCCTTCGGCATGCCCGCCCGCCGGGCCCGCGACCTGGCGGCCGCGGGCGCGCACCGCGTGCTGTGCACCGAGGAGTACTCGCGCTGGGCCGGCGCCCGCAAGGAGAAGCACGTGCGCTTCGAGGTGCGGGAGCGCTTCGCCATCTTCGCCGGCCCCGGCCTGCGCCACATGGACCAGCTGTACGCGCGGCTGGAGAGCGCCAAGGGCCTGCGGGACTTCTTCACGCTCACCGACCTGCGGCTGCGGCTGCTGCGGCCCGCGCTGGGCGGCACCTACGTGCAGCGGGAGAACCTGTACAAGTACTTCTACGCCATCTCCAACGTGGAGGTCACCGGCAGGTGAGGCCATGGAGGTGGGGGGGGGCGTGAGCCGGGGGCTGCGTGGTCCCCGGGCGTGACCTGGCTCCTGGGTGCTGCCCGGTGCCGGGATGTTACCGCCAGGGCCTCCCCCAGGAGGGTGGGGCGGGGGTAGGTGGGGGTGGGTGGGGGGTGACAGGCATCGTCCGTTGAGCCCAGGCTGCCGCTGCCCACGGACCTGGGAGACGGGAGAGGCTGAGGGCCTGGCTGTGCCGGGCGGGCTGGGGCCCACGCCCAGCGCGTGGCGGTTGGGGTGCTCTGTTCCTGTCCAGTGATGATTCAGGAACAGGGCGCTGTGTCTGGGAGCCCCGAGGCCGCCTTCAGAGCCAGGGTTTGCTAGGAGGGCCCCAGAGCCCAGCAGAACTGTGACGGCCACAGTTCGCTCACGACGAGGAGCGGTGGAGGAGAGCAGCCGTGCGGCCCAGGCGGAGGGCGGCTCCAGGGCCCCCCGGGCCGGCGTCCCCTCCCCGTCGGAGAGCCCTCGGCTCCACAGCACGGATGTGCGAGGACACGCTCAGACTGTGCCAGCCGGGGAGGCCGCCCAAGCCTGGCGTCAGGGTTTCTGCCTGGGCTGGATCGCGTGGGCACGGCTCACTGCCCCTGCTGGACCTTGGCCGCCAGGCCCTGACCAGAGGCACAGCTGATACTGGTGCCCAGAGCCCCCCCAGGTACCCCCGATTGGCACAACCGCCTGGCGTGGCCCGGCGCACGGCATTCCAGGCCCCGAGGTCCCCCAGGAGCCAGCGCAGGGCCCGCTTCTCCTTAGAAAGCGGCGTGTGGACGGCCAGCCTGGCCTGGCTGCTCCCAGCTCCCCGAGGAAGTGTCAGCATCACTGGGAAACTTGCTGGAGACGCACCCCACTCCTCCTGCCCCCGCTGCCTCTGAACGGGGCAGGGGTGGGGGGCCGCCTGTGCTTCCCTGAGCGCCTGCGTGCAGGGCGCACCCAGGGTGGGAGCCTGCTGTGACGGGTAGGAGCGTGGACCGGTATCCAGCCAGCCCGGTTGGGTCCCAGCCTGCCCCCTCCCCTCCCGCTGTGGGGCCAGGACCTCCCCGGCCTCCGTTTCTCCACCTGCAGAGCAGGGATCAGATCATGCTCCTCTCGGATCCGAGTGAGAGTTATCGGGTTCCTAGGAACAGGTGCGTGCCTGGCCCGCACAGCACGTGCTCAGAGTTTGACCGTGTTTGTGGGTAAAATAAGCGGAGGTGAACACGACGGCGCCGACGAGCTGGGCGGGCGCGGGAAGGCGGGACTGAGAGCCTGTGCGGGCGAGGAGGGCGGAGGGAGTGGGGGGCAGCACCCCGGGCCTCGCCCACTGCGCCCTGGAGCAGGTGCTGTGAGGGCCTCAGTGTGCGTGTGGGGGCGGCACTCACTCGCCGGCGGTCCCTCCTCCCGGGACGGCCTGTGGGTGTGGGAGAGGCCGGAGCTCCCGTGGCCCCGGGGGCGGGCGGGCGGGGCCAGCAGAGGCTGCAGGGCCCTGCCGTCAGCTGTGTGCCGTTCACTTCCCTGGGACCTGCATGTGGGCTCCAGGCGGGCCGGCAGCATCGCTCAGGGCCGGGCGGGCGGCCAGCAGGGCCTGTGGCTCTCACACTGACTCCTAACCCGCCGTGTGGGGCAGGAGGTTTTAAGTCAGGAATATTCTGGAAACCTGTGACCACTGGGGGTTAAGGATCCAGCTCCTGGGCTGTTGTTGAATGTGTGTCCGGTTCGGGACTCTGGTCAGTTCGGTGACCTCTGCCTGCCCTTGGGAGGCAGCGTTTGTTGGCTCAAACCCGCCAGACTTAGCAGCTCCGAGGCGGGAACCAGAAACCCACACGTCTGGGGGCTCGGCCTTCTCTGACTCGCTTTGGGCTGCTACGGGGGACCCTCATTTTTTTTCTTTTAAATATTTTTATCTATCTCCGAGAGGAAGGGAGAGGGAGAGATTGAAACATCAATGATGAGAATCATTGATTGACTGCCCTCTACACACCCCACACTGGGGATCAAACCCCAAACCAGGGGATGCGCCCGACCGGGAATTGAACCATGACCTCCTGGTTCTGAGGTGGACGCTCAAGCCCTGAGCCACTGGGCTGGGCGGGACCCTCATCTGACCAAGGGGCACCTGCCCTTCATGAGGCGGCTCAGGCGGCAGTGCCCGGCTCAGTGGGGCAGTCGGGGCCTGCAGTGCCCTTCTTGTGGGGGGCTGCCTCCTGGGGGGGACCCCGAGATGAGCACATGGTCAGAGCATGCCCAGAGGGCGGAGGGGGAGGGCCGTGGGGCGGGAAAGGCCTCGGCTCTTCAGCCCATCCCGGTGAAGAGCACCCACCGGCGGGTCCCAGCCCCCGGTGCCCCTCTCTGAGCCTCAGTTTCCCCTCTGTGACGTGAGGGCCCAGCAGCTCCCAGCTCCCCAGGCAGCCAGCCTTCGCGGGCACAAGCAGCGGCGCAGACGTGGCGAAAGGACAGTCAGTCCACAGGCCGTGAGCACTCCGGCTGGTTGGCGGGAAGCGGCAGCGCGGCTTATCGATTGATCAGGCCTGATTAGGTGGTCCCCCGAAGGGCTGGGCTGGTCTCCACTCTTCCTCTTCAAAGTCCTGGGCGGAGAGCCACCTGGGCCGGGAGCCAGGCAGGCCCAGAGCAGGACGGGGTGGCAACGGTGGGCGTGGGCCCGTCCTAGGCACCCGGGGTCTCTCAGGCTGAGCTGTTCTGGGCTCCTCGGGAATGTCAGGGGCCAGAGAAGCAGGCAAGCAGCCTCGGCCAGTCTGCCCACTCCGGGGGTGGGACAGGGGAGGGGCCTGGCCGTCCTGCCTGTCCAGCAGGCCTGCCCAGGGGAAATCCTCCTGCCCAGGATTCGCTTGGAGGTTCCAGGGAGCCAGTCCAGCTGGGCCTTTGCCAGGCAGGGAGAGGGGAGTGCAAGGGGCAGGGTGATGTTTGTGGGAGATGGGGGGGGGGCATGGCGGCGATGTACAACAATAACCAGCGCCGATTAAGGGAACAGGGAAAACCACGTTAGGATGCCTGGGTGCTGGGTGCCAGGCGTTGTGTCCTCACCCCCTGCCACCCAGGAGGAGGCTAAGTGCTTGGAGAGAGGAGACCTGCCAGGCCCCAGGCGGACGGGCGCTGCTGGGTCATGACCCTGAGTGTCTGAGCCCTCGGCTCCCCCAGATTCTGCTGGGCCGGGCTGCTCCCCCAAGTCCCTGGGCGAAGACATGGCCTCTCCTCTTCTCCCCTCTCCCTCCCCCTCCCCAGCCCCTCTCCTCTTCCCTAGACATCTGGTTCCTATCGATCCCCCGAAACTGGAGATTCCTCAGCTCAGGCCAAGGATAGGAGCCGAGGTGGTGTGTGTGTGTGTGTGTGTGTACACGTATGAGCACAGCTCCGACCTCACCCAACAGGTGAGCACAGATACGCAGCTGCCAGAGTTAACACTGAGGTCAGATCCTGCTTCTCACACTTCAGGGACCCTCGCCAGTCCCGGGTCCGAGGCCTCTTTGTAATCCGTCCACAGCCCCAGGTGTTGGTTCAAAGAGAAGCTGTGTCTGAATCCAGATTCTTTCATCTGCAGTTTATGGCCCTGGGCAAGGCCGTCCCGCCCGGCCTCAGTCTCCCCACTGAAGGCGAGCTCCAGGCCGACGCACAGCAGCGCGCAGGCCCGGGCTCCTGTGATCCTGACAAGCCGGTCCGAGTGCCCAGCACACCCGTGTCTGGTGCCTCCCCCCGGGAGCCCCTCCGCCGGCCAGCGGGTGAGGAGGGAGACGGAGCCGCACGGCTTCGGGAGGGGCCACTGCCCAGCGCCCACCGTGAACAGGAGAACCAGGGCTGGGCCTCTGCCTGCCGGGCCCGGGACAGGCTCCGGCCGCCTCCCTCCAGGGACCGGCAGGACCTCGTTCCAGGGCAAGACGGACAGGGTGGAAGGCAGGTCCTTTGCTCTCTTCTGACCCTTTCTCCCCTCCACAGAGGGAGCCCGTTTTAGACCCCCAGATGCTGCCTCACATGCGCCCCCTGGAGGCCACAGAGTGCCTGCTCCCTGCACCCCCAGGTGAGCTGAGCCTCCGCAGCAGCCAGGCCAGCCAGGGCCTGACCTCGGGGAGTCTCGCTGCTTCTCCCCGTGGGAGCCGCCCACTCAGGGCCTTGGGCCCCAGAGCCGTGGGAATCGCCTCTGCTCCTCCTGTCCCTCTCGCCATCGCCCAGCCCAGCAGGTTTTAACGCGGGCAGTGTCACCACCCACCCGCCCTGGGGGAGGCGCACGGCACCAGGAGTTTGTGGGGTCACAGCCAGCCCCCCACCCTCTGACTTTTCTCCCAACACAAACCCCGTCGTGTCACTTTGCTGCACGGGCCTCCCGCGCTTCCCGTTGATTCAGAACCACGCCAGCCGCCCCACCTCCAAGGCCTCTGGGACCAGGCCCCTGGTGCTGGGTCCTGGGACCCGCCTCTGGGGGTGCCTCTGCCCGGGGCGCAGCCCTCCGCCTGGAAAACTCCCGTCCCCCAACACCTGGCCCAGACAGCAGCTCCCTGGGCTCGGGGTCTGCAGGCCTGGGGACCCCCTTCCTCCCTCCCTCCCTTCTCCGGCCTTAAGGAGAGCAGGCTGTCCCGGCCCCACACACCTCTGACTCGCACTCACTCGTTCACAAACAAACTTCCGCACGTGCACAAGGAGCCTCACTCACTGTCAGTGCGGCTTCCAGAGGAGAGAGGGCCGGACACGGCAGCACTGCGAGGGGGAAGCCGGCGGGCTCCTAGCACCACGCCCAGAGCTGCCCCAGCATGCCCTGCGGCCGTTCACTTCCCCTGGCAGCACCTGGGCCAGCACCTGGGCCAGCACCCGGGCCAGCACGTGGGTCAGCACCCAGACCAGTACCCGGGCCAGCACCCAGACCAGCACTCAGACCAGCACCCAGGCCAGCACCCAGACCAACACCCGGGCCAGCACCCGGGCCTGGCCCTGCCCTGGGGGGTGGGGGGCCTTCCACAGGGCAGAAGTGGTTTGCTTCAGTCCACCTGGTCACCCCAGGCCGTGCCCCGGGGGCCGCCAGCCCCTCCGTAGCCCGGTCCGGCTCCTGGGCCGCCGCGCTGGTAATGGGAAATGGGATTAGGACCGAGCGGAGGGTGATGCATGTGAAAGCACTTAATAGAGAGGACTTCGCACAGCCGCCCCAATTTGATTTGGCCGATGGACTCAATTGCCGGCCTGATTGCATTCCCGGAGGAGCGCCCGCCGCATTCATCCGCATTACGGGGAGCAGGCCGCCAGGTGCCCGCGCCCCGCCCCTGCGCTCAGCCCCTCCAGTTCCCTGTCACCCTGTGCCTCTTCCGCACACCGCAGCCCCCTCTGCTCCAGAGGAGCTGATGTCACCGGGCAGAGCTGAGCGATGACCAAGAGCCCCGGGGTCCGGGGTGCTCCCTGCGCCCCCGTGCGCCCCGTGTGCGAGGCTCCTGGCCATGCCCCAGATCGCGGTGGGGTGGCCCTCTGAGGGTGTCGGCCCCGGCCCCTCTCCCTGGCCGGCTCTGGCACCCTCTCCCGCTCCCCAAACTCCCGCTCCCTCGTCCCCAGGAGGCGATGACATCATCCCTCCAGGCCCGAGCTGACCTACATCCCTCCCCTCCGCTCCCTCCGGGCGGCGCTCCAAACGCCGGCTCCCGGCGGAGGGAGGGCCGGCTCACGATTCTCACGGAGCGGTGGTGCCAGGCCCGTGTCCAGATGGCACTCCTGCCGGCAGCTCCCGGGCACCGCCTGCCCTCCCCGCAGGCCTGGCACACACCGCCGGCGCCTGCTGGTGCCCGCCGCCCTGAGGACCCCTCGCGGGGCTGGCGGGCACCCACCGGCCTCCGATGGGCAGGACGGCGGGGTTCTCGTGCCTGCTGCCCCGGGCGGAGCAGAGCGTTTCGGAGAACTCGGGGCGTCTGGGACCGCCTCCCCCAGGGGCGAGCCGGGCGCTGCCTCCAAACCGTGCTCTCCGGGGGCTCGTTAGGGCTCCTCGGCTCCAGGGAAAGGAGCAGCTTATGGGGGCCTGTGGCTTGGCCATCTGTCCGGTGGGCCAGCTTCCTGCGGGGAGCGGGTGCCCCATGCCAGGCCTCGCGAGAGGTCAGGGATCAGGCCTGAGGCCATCACTCGGCCGTGTGGGTGAGCAGGTAACAGGCAGGATGCATGTGACATTGTATTTTAGATAAAGAACAATTTTTTGTTCAGTGTAGTGTGTCTCATGGGATGTACTTACACTAAAAACCTTACTGGTTGCTTGCCTGAAACTCAAATTTAGCCAGGCATTCTATATCTTTATTTTTTATTGAGAGAGAGAGAGAGAGAGAGAGAGAGAGAGAGAGAGAGAGAGAGACATCAATTTGTTGTTCTACGTATTTATGCATTCCTTGGCTGATTCTTCTTTTGCCCTGACGGGGGATTGAACCCCTAACCTTGGTGTATCCCGACAATGCTCTAACCCACTGAACCACCCGGCCAGGGTCTCGTATTCTCATTTGCTAAATCTGGCAACTGCAGTGACAGGAGCAGTGACTCTAAGACGGGTCAGTTAGACGCCAAGAGCCCGCTGTGCGCGGGGCAGGGGGCCGGGCAGCGGGCCGGGCACACACAGACAAGCACGTGGCGAGGGGAAGCCTGAGACACAGGCCGACCCTCCGGTTTGGAGTGGAAGGTCTGGGGCCCGGGGAAGGGACTTGCTCAAGGTCACCGGCACGTCTGCAGCAGCCTGACAAGCCTTTGCTGGCTCAGCATCCACCGCCCCCCCCCCCCCCCAACTGTTACCACCTCAAGTGAAAGACATGGGATTCTGAGACGGGTGGGCTGGGCTGGGGAGGGGAGGGGAGGGGGAGGAGGGACAGCAGGTCCTGGCGGGTGCTGGCCGGTGGCAGCCCTGGGCCGGCCTCGCACCCCCTCTGGTCACTGCTGAAGGTGCTCCTGATGGACGAGCCCACAGGGCTGTGTTGCGGGGTCGGGCTCAGGTGATGTGTCCAGTGAGGCTGCTGGGTCTCCAAGGTCAGATTCAGAGAGCGATTCCTCGGGAGAACTGGTCCGACGGTGCACGGGTGCAGGAAGATCTGGGCCACCCCCAGGCCTGAGCGGGTGGAGCTGGCTGTGGGGGGAGGTGGGCAGAGGCCTCTCGCCTCTGTGGCTGCATTTCCCAGGCCCAGGCCGGGCCAATGGATCGGGAAGCAGGGCCTGGGGCTGCTTCAGCGCCCCCTCCCCCATGCGGAGCCCACAGAAGGCGCCGCTGGGGTGGGGGTGGGGTGGCCATGAGGCCCAGCTCTAGCGCCCAACATCCCGGGTTCAAACCCGCCTCCTGCGGCCTGGGACGGGGTGAGCGGATGCACGTGACCGCTGGAGTCCTGATCCTCTCCTGGGGCGGGGAGAGGCGCGTCTGGGTTTCCCAGGGGCCCAGGGCTGATGCGGAGTCAGCGCCTGCTCACACGAGGCCGGTCAGCTCCGTGTGCGGCCCACGCATGTCCGTGGTTTATCCGCCTCCCAAGGCCCGCCCCCCTGCTGCCCCGCTGTGTGGCCTCGGCCACCTACCCACAGTCTCTGAGCCTCCCTCCCTCCCTCGTCTGCAAACGGAGATGCAGCGAGGCCCGCCCTGCGCAGGGCTTTGGGGAAGGGGTGGTGACATTCCCGGAGCCTCCAAACCCGCCTCCAGAGGCTCAGGGGAGGAGAAGGAGAAAGCCAGTGGGCCCTGGCTGGTTGGCTCAGTGGATAGAGCGCCAGCTGCAGGCCAAGGGTCCCGGGTTCAACTCCCGTCAAAGGCATGTACCTCACCTCCCGGCTCCCGGCCGGGCCTGGTCGGGGCTGGTGCAGGAGGCAGCTCGTCGATGTCTCTCCCCTCGATGTTTCTGTCTCTCCCCCGTCCTCTTCCACTTTCCCTGACAATCACTCCCCATCCCGGACGGGAAGCTGAGGCCGGGTGAGCCAGCATTGTGCCGAGGTCACGGTGAACGTCTCGGCTGTGCTCTGTGCCGGCCCCGGTGACGCCCCCTGTGGGCTGCGGGCGGAGGAGCCGTGCTCATTGCGGCTCCGCCGGGGCGGGCGGGCACCGGACTGCCTCTGGGAGGTGGCGGGCAGGAGCCGGCCAGCGTGGGGGGCTGGACGAGGAGTAACCAGCCCCGTGACCTTGGCGGCGACCCCCGCACGCCCACGTGCGCAGGCCCGTGACCCCGACCCCCCGGGATCCCGCCGCTGGCATCACAGCGTGCTCCCCGGCTTGGCCGGCCTCCTGCGCGTTTTTTAACCAGCCAAGGTCAGCGGCCCCGCCCGGCGCTGGGATGGCAATCTCTCCGTGTGGCGCTGGATCTAAAAATACCTCGTCCCCGGGCCAGAGGCGGCACCTCCCCGGCTCGCACAGCTGGTTCCTCTCCAGCGGCTCCATGAACGGAGAGAACACACACCTGAGACCTTCCCAGGTCAAATGCATTTTGCAAACTAACTCTGTTAGACAAAGGCAGGTGGCTCGTTCCCGCGGGCCTCGTCAGGGCCTTTGATCTGCCCGTGCTCCGAGTGCCGGGGGGGGGGGCAGGGTGCGGGGGCACCAGGAGGGCACGTCGGCCTGTAGGTTTGAGCGCAGGGTCATCTCTGGGGTCCCCAGGAGGAAGGCCCCCCATGCTTTTCCCAGAAGCCCACGGGATTCAGTGCAGGCAAAAGCAGGCTTCCAGTCGCTGGCAGGCAAAGTGATGCATCGTTCATACAAGAACAAGCCGTGAGCCTGTGTGGGCCCCGCCCGGTGCACGTAGCTGTGGCGGGAGCTCGAGGGAACGGCCCGGCTCTCCCATGGGTGTCTCCCCCCGCCGAGCTGAGAAGAGCCGCGCCGGCCAGTGTCCGGCTGGGGGAGCCGGTCCGGCCGGGGCCGACAGCAGGGGCAGCGGGTGGTGTGCTGGTCTCTGGGGGCCTCCCCAGGCCCGAGGGCCCTCTCCTGCCAGGGAAGGTCTGCCACCCAGAGGCTCCCTACCCCGGAGCAGAGGGGTCCGGAGCGGGGCTGCTGGCACCCCCACCCCGACCGAGGCTGAGAAGCCCTGAAACCAAGGTCAGAGGCGGGCCCACCACCTGAGTCCCGGGCAGCCGAGTCCGGGAGGCTGAACGGCGTCCCTCCCCTCCCGGGAGCCACTGCCTGAGGGGGAATCCTGGCCGGGGGGAGGGAAGGGGGGCGGCCTCTCGGGTCCCTGCAGCCCCCCACCTCCCAGGCCCCCCCGAGCTCACTGACTGTGCTGTGTCCCTGCAGGTGCAAGTGTAACCTGCACGCCAACCTGTGCTCCGTGCGCGAGGGCAGCCTGCAGTGCGAGTGCGAGCACAACACCACGGGCCCCGACTGCGGCCGGTGCCGCAAGAACTTCCGCACACGGTCCTGGCGGCCCGGCTCCTACCTGCCGCCACCGCACGGCTCCCCCAACGCCTGTACGTACCGCCCGGCCGCCAGCCCGCCGGCCTGGTCTCCCTCCCACCCTCCAACCCCGCGCACACACGCACACGCACACACATGCGCGCACACACACATGCACACACGCGCACACACCTGCACGCGCACACACTCAAACGTGCACACACAAACACATGCACACGCAAGCACACCTGTGCGCATGCACATATACCCACATGTAGTCGATAACATATATGCACACACAACAATGTGTGCACACACAGGAAGCCTCATCTGCATGGGGCCTTGGCGGGGCTCAGGTGAGCTGCTGGCATCTCCCTCTCTCCTTCCCCTCCTTGCCCGGAGGCTGGGGCGGGAGGAGGCCCTGGGTGCAGGGCAGGGCGGTGGGGACCCTCCTCCTGCTGACTGATCGGCACTCCCTCCCAGCCGGCACTCACGGGCAGTGCCAGCCCCTCTGCCCCAGCCGCCGGAGGCAGGGCTCCTGTTCGCGGGTTCAGAGGGTCCTGTGACGCTGTCACGGGTCCGGCCCCCTGCACAGCCGTCCTCAGTGCGGCCACAGGTCCTGCATCACAGACACCCCGCTCCCCGGGCCCGCGGAGTCCGGTGTCCCGGGCGCTCTGAGCTGCAGGGCCGGCCGGCGGCCTGGGCTCATGGTCGGTGGCTGACGTCTGCCAGGCGCTGACATCTGCCTCCCTCCACCCCGCCGGTGGCGATACTGTTCCCCGTCCTCCAGACGGTCAGACCAGGCCCTGCCCTCAGCGCCCTCCTGGGCCTCTGGGCGCCTTACCCCCTCCACCAGCACCCCCCACGGGAGAGACAGGCGAGGTGACTTCTGGCTGACAGGGTGGCGGCCGTGGCCGCGGACGGGCCTGGAGGCTGGTGATGGCCGGCCCCTCCTGCTCCTCTCCCAGGAGCCCAGCCACTCCTCCCTCTGGCCCTCCTCCCCTCTCGTGCCCCCGCCCCCCAGAGGGACGCCCAGGGCTCCCGGCCCCTCGGGCGGAGACGCCGGCCCGGCTGCAGCCGAGACCCTCTCTCCACAGGTGCCGCCGCGGGCTCCGCTGTTGGCAGTGAGTACACGCCGGGCCCGGCCTGGCCTGCAGTGCCCGCCGCCTGCATGTGCCCCACTCCCTCCACTTGTGCCCTGTGCGTCCCATCGCCTCTCCCGCTCCCTCCTGCCCCCCCTCCTCCCACCAGCTCCTCCCAGTGCTGCTTTGGAAGGCCCCTCCCTCTCGGGCCAGGCAAGAGTGGGGTCACCTTCTCCCCAGCAGAACCCCCAGCCTGACCCTGGGCCGGCCCCCCGCTGGGCACCTGAGCTGTCGCTCGGAGAGGCTGGAGGCGGGGAGTGTTGTTCTGGGGCTGGTTAGGGGGGTCCTAAGGCGGCCAGTGCAGCGCAGGCCCCACAGTCAGCCTGGGCGGCTTCCCCCAGCAGGTGTGTTGGCTGCTCTGAGCACTGCCGGTGCCAAGCGGCCAGCGGTGGGAGACCCCAAATCTCAGAAATGCTTTGGAGGCACCGCCTCTCCCACCAGGGCTCTTTGGGGCCCCACCTGACCCAGGGGGCACCCAGGGGCCCCGAGGGCACCACAGAAAGCTGGGTCTGAGGGGGCCCAGGTCTATCATGGGGGCTCACGATGCTGCTCTGCGTTGCCCCCACCCGCCAGCTCCCACCTCGCTCGCTTCTCTCTCAGCAGCACGGGCAGGGCCCTGGGGCTCTGGGCCATAAGGGGGCGATCACTCCTGCCCCCACATCCACCGGGCACAGAGCCGTCCAGGTGGTGCCGTGTCCGCCTGTACGCGGCGGCCTGTGTGGGTGGGGCCGGTCATACACACACACACACACACACAAGGAACCCGGCTCCAATGGCTGAGCTGCTGCTGACCGGGGTAAGGGCGCAGGGCACAGCTGGGAGTTAGGAGAGGGCCCGGGGCCTGGCAGCCAGCGAGGCAGGTCAGGCTTGAGCCCTGAGCGGGAGCCCCCACCTGCTGACTGTCGGGGAGCCCTGAGGGAGCCCCCCCTCGCTGTCGGGGAGGCGTGGCAGCTGTGTGACCTGAGCCAGGCAGGCAGGAGGGCGTTAGGGGAGGAGGCTGCTCCAGGGTGACAGCCAGTGACCTGAGGCGCCCACAGTTTAGGGTCTTCACGCCTCTTTAGCAGCTGCAGCCCCTGACTGGACCCCCCTGTGCCTGGCGCCCGCTAAGACGGACAGCGCTGCAGGGCCCACAGCTCCGAGATGGGCCACGGTTTCCCCCACCCACTGGCGAGGCAGGCTCAGGGGGCAGCTGGGCCGGTCCATGCACCTCAGGGAAGCAAGCGGTCGGAAAGAGAACCGGGGAAACGGAGGAGCAGCTGCTCACGGACGGCCAGGCACTGGGCAGGCATCACACTCGGGCTCGCTGACGGGCGCTCCCTGCCCACTGAGCCGCCCAGCCTGGCCCTGCGGCCTGGGGCTGAGGGAGTGCGGCGTAGGCCTGGCTCACACAGCTCGCGATTCCGCAGGAACAGACGGGCCTCCATCTGCTCTTGGCACCGGACACGGGCCCCTGCCAGGAAGCTCCTCCCACAGCCGAGCCTGCCCCCGCCCAGGGGGCCTCTCCCGTCCCCGGACCCCGTCCGTCCCCCGTCCCCGGAAGGTCCGGAGGCTCCAGATGCCGCCCCGGGCGCTGCAGGCTTTGGCCAGAGTCCAGCTGGCCGGGCCCCGCTGGCCCAGCGGCTTCTCCCTCCTCCAGGCGGCTGTCCGCAGGGCAGGGGACAAGCCGCTCCCCCCGCCAATCCTGCCCGGAGGGGGCGGGAGCCGCGGGCGGGCGGATGCGGCTCTAACTGAGCCCTGAACGCCTGGGGGGTCAGCTCGGCTCCGTGGAAAGGCCCCACTCATCAGCCGGTAGACATTCTTCTCCTCTCCCCTCGTCCGGCAGACCGGCGTCCGAGAAACCCCTTTGGCAGCAGAAAGAATCCGATTTCTCCCGTCCCTCCGGCCTGGCCTTTGAAATCCGGCGCAGAGCAATGCGACTCCGCCCTGGCTGCTCCCCAGCTGTGGCATTGGGGGGTTACTGACACGGGGGTCCCCGTGGAAATGGCGCAGACCAGGGGGTGGAGGGAGAGGTGGTGGCCGGAGGCAGGCCGGACACTGGAGGAGCCGTTCCTGCGTGGACACGGTGATGGCGCCCCGTCGTCGTCAGCCTGAGACTCGGCCCAGAGAGCTCTGCCCGGCGGTGGGAGCGGGACCACACGGGTGGAGGAGTCCCCAGCCAGGACTCCCCGAAGTATGCAGACTCCCAGGCAGGGGGCCCTCCCACGGCCTCCCGTCCCCGGCCACTGCAGCTGCTGTCCCGTAGGCGCTGCCTCTGCTGTAGATTCGGACCCGTTCGGTGTGGCCATGTAGACAGCGCTTCTTAGAGCCGCTTCTGACCAGGGCCTGGCAGTGTGGCGCCTCGGGGTGTCCCCAGGACACCCCAGCCCCAGCCCCCGGCGTGACTTCTTCTCCTCTGCTTCCCCCCAAGAGTGGAGCAGGCCACCGACAGCAGCCCCCCCAGGGGCGAGCCCCCCCCGGCCCCAAGCGTCCTCCCGCGCAGAAGGTACGGGGGCTCTTCCTCTCCCACCCACAGCCCCCCCTTAGCGGGGGTGGCAGGGTACTAGTGCGTGGTGGGGACTGGGTGGGAGTGGGCCCAGGGGGCTGAGGTGAGGGACTTGGAGTTCTACCCCCCACACCTCTCACCTCTCACCTCCCCCTTTTACCCCACCCCCAAGTGGAGAATCCTCTGGGGCAGTGATGGCGCTCAGGTCCAGAGGCTTTGTGGGGAATATGTATCAGAAGGAAGCATGGTCCTGGCGGCAGGACCAGCCGGGCACAGGCTTGGCAGTGGGAGGGCAGTGAGTGGCCCACCTGACCAAGGGCAGAGTGTTGGTTAAAGGAGAGCTGGCAGGGGCTTGGGGGGTGCAGGGGAGAGGCCCTGATACCAGGCTGAGACCCTCATTCTCTAACTACACACACAGGAGACATAAGGAACCTGCCACCCCCATCCCAGCTCACCTGTCCCCTCAGCAGCCCTGCGGCTGGGCGGTAACAGGGCTTTGAGCGCCCTCTGCTGGCAGGACCTGGAACCACGAGCAGTGAGACCGGGTCTGCAGTTAGTTCCCAACAACCTGGAGGCCCTGAGCCCGCACCCTCCCAGGTGGTGGAGCAGTTAGAGCCGCTGGGCTGGGTGGCGCCCTGCACTGGCTGGGGCGCCAAAGGCTCCCAGGGGGAAGCTGAGGGACGCTGCTCCCGCAGGGTGGGGGGGTCTGGACAGTCAGCTCCGCTAATCGCGGGGCGTGGGGGGGTAAGGACTCACGCGGTGGATGGAGCAGGGTGTTGCCTCAGGAAGGAAGGGAGATGCCCGGGGCCGGACGCCAGGCTCAGCCTGGACGTGATGCTCCCGGAGCCGGAGGCTGGAGGGCAGGAGGGATGTTCACCCTGTCACCTGGTCCAGCTCGGCTGCGGCCCGCGCTGCGGGTGGCAGGAGGAGAGACGGGAGGGTGAGTCCGGCTGGGTGGCAGCTGGTCCCCGAGGGGCCCAGAGTGGCTGGCTCTGCACGCTCCCATGAGCCCGGTCACTCATGTCAGAGCAGGTAGGTGCGGGGCTGCCCAGAACTGGCAGGGCTCCTGGGAGCCGTTGCTGGGGGCAGGGGGCCGGGCTGATGGAAGAGCTGGTTCCTAACCTCCCCGGGCCCCGGCCCCGCCCCCGCCCAGGCCCCAAGCCTTCCCAGCTGCCGCCCGATCTCCTCGGCTGCTGCCAACGGAATTCCAGGTGGGGGAGGCCCCGGCCGGGCTGCGCTCTCTCCTCACGCCGTGCCCGCCCCTCCTCTGGGGGCTCCCCGCCCGGAGCAGCTGGGCCAAGGTGACCGGACGGACCGGCCTCCCTCCAGCCTCCCCGGGGAGCGGAGCCGATGAGTCAGAGCTCAGTGGGCAGCAGAGCAGCCGCCAGAAATAGCCAGTCCCGCTCCCCGGGGAGGTGGCCCGGGGCCGTCTCTGTTGAAGCAAGATCTGGGGCGCGGAGGTGACCGACCTGCTCCTCGGACGCTGGAGGGTGACCGCCTTCTCCCGGGAGAGACAGTGTGAAGGGGGAGGCCCAGGAGGCCCATCAGGGTCTCATTTCTCCAAGGTCTCCCATGCCCTTGACCCCTGACCCTGGTCATCCTCCCTCTCCCATCGCGGAAGGGGGGTCGCGTCCTCTGGAGCCACAGCGATGGTGGTCGGAGGGTGACCACACCGGCTTCTTCTTCACAGGGGGCCGCGTCCCTTAGGAGGGACACGGAGAAATGACCCCCCTCCTGAGTCAGGGAAGGTGACCCTCCGCACCAAACCCCGTCCCTTCATGAGGGCGAGGAATCCGCCTGCTGTCCCTGGGGCCTTGCCCCGGGTCACGGGCTCGCTCAGTCCCTGGAGCAGGTGCGGGGTTGGAGACAGCTGGGGGGGGCAGCAATGGCTGGCCCCCCGTTAGGGCGGAGCTGGGCCAGCCCAGGAGCAGGCAGCGTGAGCAGGCCCCCTGGTGGCCATCACGTTCGCAGGGCAGCCAGCCCTCCATCTTCCAGAGCAGCACGGAGGAGGCTCCGCCCCCATCCACCCTGAGTGGTGGGGTCACGCACCGTGGCTGCCCTCCCTGAGCTCGCACTGGCATGACCCCCCTCCCCGCATGCAGCATTGCTGAGCACCCTGGCATCTCCTGGGCATCCCCACAGAGCAACTCGCCCAGGCACTGCCCACCGGGCCTCCCTGGGTCCCGGCCGCAGGGCCAGGGGGCAGTTTGTGGGCTAAGCCCACTGAGCTCTCCTTCGAGCTCAAAACTGGCGCCCTCTCCCCCGAATGGTAAGGGGTGCTGGAGGCCCCTGCGTGTCCGGGGCAGGGCCTCCTCGCCCTGGGCCTCGGCTTCCCAGGTGCTCGGGTCGGGGGCAGCAGGCAGGCACGCTCCCCTCGCTCACTGACCTTCCTCCCACGCGGCGGCCAGACTGCGAGTGCTACGGCCACTCCAACCGCTGCAGCTACATCGACTTCCTCAACGTGGTCACCTGTGTGAGCTGCAAGCACAACACTCGGGGCCAGCACTGCCAGCACTGCCGCCTGGGCTTCTACCGCAACGGCTCTGCCGAGCTGGACGACGAGAACGTGTGCATCGGTGAGGAGGGGGCGGGATGGGGGCCTAACCCTCACCGCCTTAACCCCATTCCTAACCCTGACCCTAACATTAACAACCCTTACCCTGTCCACAACCCTAATACCAACCCTATCCCTAACCCTATCCCTAACCCATCCCTAACCCTGACCCTAACATTAACAACCCTAACCCTGTCCACAACCCTAATACCAACCCTATCCCTAACCCTATCCCTAACCCATCCCTAACCCTGACCCTAACAACCCTAACCCTGTCCACAACCCTAACCCTGGGAGGCCCAGCTCAAGATGTGCTGGACCACGTGCCTGTCTCGCCTCGGCGATGGGCACACGGAAGGCCCAGCGGTGGGTGGGACCCCGAGGGCTATGGACACGCCCCTCCCCCGGAGCAGAGGCCCCAAGAAACCAGCTGCTCCTCCGCCCGCCCGGAAAGGGGAGTATGGGTGAGGGCTGCCCCCCTCTCCCTACACACACACCCCACACACACCCACACACACACTCCCTCACCCCCACACACACACCCACACACACACCCACACACACTCCCTCACCCCCCCACACACACACCCACACACACACCTACAACAGCCCCCACTCACTCCCTCACCCCCCACACACACACCTACAACAGCCCCCCCACACACACACACCCACACACACACTCCCTCACCCCCCCACACACATACCACACACACACACACACATTCTCACACACACCCACACACACCTACAACAACCCCCCCACTCACACACACACACACACACCACACACACACTCACACACACACACACACACACACCTACAACAGCCTCCACTCACACACATCCACACACATACCACACACACACACACACCTACAACAGCCCCCACTCACACACACACACACACACACACTCCCTCACCCCCACACACACACCCCCCACACACACACACACCTACAACAGCCCCCACTCACACATACACACCCCACACACACACACACACACACACACCCTCACCCCCACCCCCACCCCCACACACACGTACAACAGCCCCCACTCACACACACCCCCACACACACACCCACACACACACACACTCCCTCACCCCCACCCCCCCACACACACCTACAACAGCCCCCACTCACACACACACATACCACACACACACACACACACACACACACCTACAACAGCCCCCACTCACACACACACATACCACACACACTCACACACACACACACACACACACACACACACACACACACCTACGACAGCCCCCCTCACAGCTCTGGGGAGCCGGAGGGACCGGCCGCTCCAGGCCCAGGTGCGGAGACGGAGACGGAGGCCCAGCGGGAGGGTCTGCCCCAGGGGCCCAGGCCGCACAGCCCGGGCCGGGAGGGAGGAGGCGGGGACGGTGCCAGGGAACAAAGTGGGTCTGGAGGTTTGGACCCGCCGGGCTCACCGCGTGGGGAGCCCACCCGCGTGGGGAGCCCCGTGGGGGGAGTGAGGGCCGGCCCCCGCCGCCCCTGACCGCGCCGCCCCTGGCCCCAGAGTGCAACTGCAACCAGATCGGCGCCGTGCACGACCGGTGCAACGAGACCGGCTTCTGCGAGTGTCGCGAGGGCGCGGCGGGGCCCAAGTGCGACGACTGCCTCCCCACGCACCACTGGCGCCAGGGCTGCTACCGTGAGTGCGGGGGCCGCCGGGGGCGGGGCACCCCGCAAGGGGCGGGGCCTGTGATGGGGCGGGGCCTTGCTGGGGGCGGGGCCAGGTGGGGCCTGTGCCGGGGGAGCGGTCGGTGTCGGTGTCGGTGGGACCCAGGAGCGGAGCGGCGGAGCTGGTTGCTCGGGAAGGAGCTGGAGGCGAACCAGAGCGGGGTGGGTGCATTGTCCGGGGAGGAGGGCGGGGGGGAGGGAGCCGGCCTGGCCGAGCCCCGCCCTTAGTGGAGGGAAGGGGTCGGAGGCGGGCGTTCCGGGGGGCCACAGGAGCAGCACCCGGTGCCCGGAGCGGGGCAGCCACGATCAGAGGCGGGAGGGAGGCGGGGGTCCCGGGGGTCTCCCCTCCGCGCAGGGACGTCCCGCACCCGGGGCGCCCTGAGCCCCCGCAGCCCCGGCGTGCACACCCGGCGCAGGGGCTCCAGCGTGGGCGGTGCGGGGCCCTGAGGGCCGTGAGCCACCGCCCGAGCTAACGCCCCTCCGCCCGCAGCCAACGTGTGCGACGACGACCAGCTGCTCTGCCGGAACGGCGGCACCTGCGTGCAGAACCAGCGCTGCGCCTGCCCGCCCGGCTTCACCGGCCCGCGCTGCGAGCGGCCCCGCTGCGCCCCCGACGGCGGCCTGGACTGCGACCGCGCGCCCGGCGCCGCGCCGCGCCCCGCCACGCTGCTGGGCTGCCTGCTGCTGCCGGCGCTGGCCGCCCGCCTGGGCCGCTGAGCCCGGGCCCGCCCGTCTGGGCCGCTGAGCCCGGGGCCGCCTGGGCCGCTGGGACCGGGCCCGCCCGCCTGGGCCGCTGAGCCCGGGGCCGTCTGGGCCGCGGGACCGGGCCCACCGCCCTGCACCTGCCCCGGGCCGCGGCGGGGAGGGTGCGGCCGGCTGCTCCCAGGTGCTACTCGGCAGCCTCCGCGCCTCCTGCCCGGCCCCGGGCTGCAGCAGGGGGCCCTGTGGGACAGGCCCCAGTGGCCTCCGGTTTGGGTCTTAGTTTTTCTATTTCCGGCCACCCCTTTCCTTTTTTTAATTTTTTTGCTGGCGATGAGACGGGGTGGGAGAAGCGCTGCTCACCGAGCACCCCCAGGTACACACACACTCTGACTGTTGCAGACACCCCTGCGCCTGTCCCTGGCTGACCACCAGCCACGGACCCTCAACTCCAGTTGCCTACAATTCCAGTCGCTGACCTGATTCTCTTTTGTATTCTTTCTTGGTTTTCCTTTGCAACCCACCAGACCCCAGGCTCGGGAGCGGCCTGGTGCGGAGAATCACCGTCTGGGGAGGGAGTTCGGAGGAAGGCTGGAACTTTGTTTTGTAGAGAACTATTTTTGTTTGTAATAACCGTCCCCTATGAGAAGGGACAGGAGCGACGCTGGTCACCATGGGTGGTCATCCTATATAATAAAAGCCTAATATGCTAAGTGTCTGGCCATTCATTCTACTAGTTGCTGTGACACACACTGACCACAAGGGGGCAGGCGCTCCAGTAGGTTAGCTTGCTACTGGGGTCTGGCTGATTGGGAAGGGCGAGACAGGCAGGACACACTCTGGCGCCCTCCCATGGTCCCTCCCCTGCCCAATTGTGTGCCGGTGGTGTCCATGGGCCTGGCCTGCGCCTTCTCAGAATCCAGGACCCCTTGGGATGTCAGAGAGCCGGTTTCAGCCTGATCCCTGCACCCCAGGCCGAGGGACCCCACCAGTGCATGAGTCCTTGCACTGGGCCTCTAGTTGGTGTACATTCTGAGTAATTCTGCTCATTGCTGCCTCTAGAGGCCCCCCTTTTTTATGTGTTCATTTGGGATTTAAAGGGAGCTCATGAGATAGCCTTAAAGCAACTTCCCAGGCCCTTCTGTGGAGGAGGGGCAGCTGCCCGCCGTGGGCGTGGCCAGCAAAGCTCTGACTGACACCCCCCCCCCCCGTTCCCCACACCTGGGGGGTGCCATCCCCTTCCACTAAAGCTAGACTAAACCAGCTTACTGCACTGTGCTCAGCTGTCCGCACGCGCCCGCACGTGGTGGTGATCTGCCGAGACGTCCCAGGTGTGCGGGCCGGCGTTCCAACAGCGGGGCTTCCAGGCTCCAAGCCTCATGCCCTGTGTCAAAAGTGTGTGTGCACCCACTGTGGGCTAGTGTCCCGGGTGCACACACAGTCTCGGGTGGGCACAGGAGGGATGGCCAAGGGGGCGGGGGCAGTGCAGGGGTTGGAAGGGGAAGCGCTGAAGGATGAGGCCTTTGCTAGGACGGCGCCTGTGTGATCCAGTGCTGCATAGGGCAGGGCCTGTCTGGTGCCTCATGGGATGTTTGCAGCATCCTGGCCTTGAGCCTTTGGCCACCAGCAGCTCCTCCTCCCCATGTGATAGCCAAAAAGGAGTTGAACACTGGGAGCAAACTTGCCCCAGGTTTAGAACCACTGAGCGAGGCAGAAAGAGTATCATACCCATTTTACAGAAGGGGAAGTGGAGGCTAGGAGGGGACCAAACTCACCTGAAGTCCCACTTGGTAAGAAGCAGGGGCAGGAGTTGACTCAGGACAGCCTGACTCCAGAGCCCAGAGTCTAACTCAGACCAGTGCCCCAGACAGGGCACCCCCAGGGCTGGACCTAATGGCTCCTGCCCCCCCCCCCCCCTCGCTGCAGTGAGCGCCCTGGGGAGCTGGCTCCATCAGAATGGCTTTGCTGCCAGGGGAAATGCCTTCCTCCCCTCATCCCCAATAGGCAGACCCAGCTCCTGCCTCCTGCCATGCCGTCCATTGGGGCGGTTTCTGGGGTCCGGGGGCTGTTGTTCGCACTCTCAGCAGGCCGGCCAGGTCGGAGCAGCAGGGATGACGGGGGACGGGGGGCCCCACGCCATGCCTGCACCCGTCCTGGTCTCAGCAGGTCCCAGCACTTCGGCTTTGGGATGGGCCGACCCTCCCACCCCCATGCCCCTGGGACTCCCAGCATGACTCGGGCCAGAAGAGTTAAGGGCAAAGGGCCCGGAAGAAAAGCTGTACTTGCTAATTTTTCCTTTTTAAAACACAAATCACGGCTGTAGGGAAGTTATAGAGGCGAGATGATCATTTTTAAATGAAAATCGCCCCCGATCCTCCATCCCGAGCTCATAACTGTTCCTGCTTCTGATGTATGTCTCCAGCTTCTCCATAAAGCACGCGGCGCAGACCGCCCACGTGCTGAGCCCCCTGGCAGCTCTGTGCAGAGGGGCCATTCTCGTGCCAGGGCTGTGCCGGGCGCTGAGCAGGCTCCATGCTCAGCCTGTGGGCTGAGAACCCGGCTCCCTGTCCTGGCCGGCAGCTGAGGCTCCACCCAAAGGCCGCCCGGCGACCCGGGCAGGAAGGAGCACGGGTGGGACTCAGGACGCCCACACACGTCAGGGAAGCCACAGCAGCACCCCGCACCCTGCCAGGGGCCGGAGCCCCACTGCTGCCTGTCGCCACCCTTTCCCCGGGCCTGCCTCCAGCTGGCAGCCTGGCCTGCCCGTGCCCGCCCGTGCCCACCCCTGCCTGTCCAGCATCCCCCATGCCACCAACTAGACGTAGGGGTGTCGAACTCAACCAGAGAAGGGGCCAAAATCTAAAATCCAGCCTAAATCGCGGGCCAAATGGTTTACTGAACAGTCATAAACTGTCATTGTGATGGAAACGCAGCAGAGTGCAGTGATGACAGCGTTGCGGGCCACATTGCAAGGCCTGGCGGGACGGATTTGGCCCGCGGGCCTTGTGTTTGACACATGTGCTCTACACCATTCGACTAGGTGGGGCGGGGAGGGGCGTGGAGTGGCTGTTCCCATCAGTAACGTCCAGTTCCCATGCTGGTGTCCAGTCTGCTGGTGGCTCCACGGCCGGCCTCTCACTTCCATTGGCCTCACCTCTAACGGAGGCTTTATGGCACCGAAGGGGTGAGAGCTGCGGAGTGCGCGTTGGTCAGCGGCCCGAGAATCACCTGGACACATTGGCCCCAGGTCACCTTAATGCACTGGCTGCACTCACTCACTCAGACATTCCAGGCCGGAGCCCGGGAGCGGAGGCTTCAAAAGCTCCCTGGTGACACCACAGTGCCCGTGGCTGAGCACCGGGCTAATGACTGTCCACAGCCGTGCTGCTGGGGACGGGCTGCGGGAAGGCCCAGTGCTCCCACACCCGGCCGCCGCGGCCATCTACGCCCGTGTCTGGACCGATGTCCTGTGCAGGAGGACGCTCGGGCACTCAGAAATCCCACGTGCAGAACTGCCGCCCTCTGCCACACAGCACGGATGTCTATTTGAGCTGGGCTGTTTCCGCTTCCTCCGTTTATTCCACTAACGGCGAATGCAGGGCGATACCAGGAGCAGGGGCTGCACCTGCGCTGGGCAGGAGGGCTGTAAAACCACCGCTCCAGTGTGACAAGTCCTCCGACGCCACGGTCCTCGCAGGGCACCCACCCTCACTGACGCCCAGAACGCCCAGACACGTGACCCCGCCCTGGGAAGCTGTGCCCGCGGCTGGCTGCTCGCTCCCCTGGGCCAGTGTCTCTGAGGCCGAGGGCACGTTCCTCCCAACAGCCGAAGTCTGACTCCATCCCTGAAGTTCCCGCTTTCATCAAGCTGGGTCCACTCCTGTGCCCGTCAGCAAGTGCCCTGACCTGGCACCAGGGGCCATGCCCGTGCACGTGTCCCTGCCCAATGGGAGCGTGCCTTCCTGCGGGGGCCGCGCACTCACTGCCTTGCAAACAATTCCAGAGAGCTGGGAAGCCGGAGAGGAGGGGCTGGAGGACACGCTGAATAAAACAGACCTGCCACGTAACCTGGCATAAAACAATGCCAAAAGCAGCCTGGGCAGGTCGGCCAGGCGGCACGCTGCACCTTCATTTAGTAACAGAGAACTCCTAGCCCACGCCAGCTGTGTTTCCACTTTTTAATTCTGCTATTTTCTCTTAAAACGTAGGCTTTAACAAGGATGACAGGCCTGAAGTTTGCCAAATCCCACCTGGGAATTCAGAGCATAGAAAAAGTCAAAGCTCCAGCAAAAATATAATGTGCACAACTCACTTTAGAAAATAGTTTAGGTACATTTTGGTTATAAAACTCATTTACAGATTATTCACATGTATTTATCAAAACTCTCCTGCTGATACATGAGGACATGTAACTAAACAAGCTGTGCACAGGAAACCCAGGCAGGTCACATGGAAAACAAGGTCAACGGGATACATTCATGACGGATCTGGGAGGAAAGTAGGCACTCCCTGCGACGCCCCGGCTGGACGGTGCAGGCAGCCCCTCCACCACGTGCGCTTGGCGCCACGCGCCACCCTGGCAGCCACGGCGAGAAGCCACATGCACACGTGGGACGCTCTATGCAAATGCTTTTACCGACCGAGCCATCGAGGGTTCCAAAGGCAAGGGCAGTGCCATGTGCCCTGCCGGGAGAGCTGCCGGCACAGGCTCACTCTTGGGAAGGATGATGCGGTCTCCCCCTACAGCACGCACCATCACACCAGGGGGGCCAACACGTGAGAACAGGCTCCAACTTCACTGAAAGGACACTGCGGAGCATGGCAGCCGCCTGCTGCAGTCGCGGGTGACCACCTCACCATCCTGTCTGCCCACTGCTAGCCTGCAGAGCGTTAGACTCTGGACTGTTGTCACTCTCCGAGAATCTGCTGAGCGGAGCGTTTTACCCCGAGAGGAGAGAAACTGAAAGTAACGCTGCCCCTCCCTGCACCTTCCCCCGCGGCCCAGCCAGGCCGCTCTCCCCGCCGGGACTGTCCCGCGCCGGCGAGGAGCAGGCAGTGAACAAGTAGACTGTTTAAACTCGTGGCAGCCACACGCTGCTTTCTAAGGACCTCATAGGAGTCCATGCGGCATAGGAGTAGCTTCTGACTAACAGAGCCCTTTCTGCTTAAAGCAGAGGCCCAGAAACCTCTAATGCGCTCCCCTCAGGGCTTGTTTTCCTAGCCCGCCCCCAGTGGCTGCAGCCCGCGGTGGGGGAAGGGCTGCGCTCCTGTCTGAGACCCCAGTGGCTCTGTACGTGTTTGGGAAAGTGGTCTCAGGAGCGGCACCCTCCTTCCCCGTCTGACCCCCTGCACTCCCCGACAGCAGCAGCTCCTCACCGGGCGCCCGCACCCCACCACCACGGAGTGTGCCGCCTTCCTGCTTCTCAACTCCCAGTCCCCACGCCCTCCCCTAGCCTCTGAAAGGTTTCATTCCTGCCAAAGGTCAGGTGTCCACACTGAAGGCACACACTTTGGATACAGCCCGATGGTGACATCCGCAAAGAAGGAAACACCCGTCCAGCAGCTGCCGAGTGTGTCCATTTCTCCGGGACACCTGCATTACCCCGGCCTGCCTCGTGGCTCCCACGCTGCCGGAATCTCCCTCCCCCCCCAACCCCCTTCGCTGCCCCTCCGCCCCGATGTGTAACATGGAGCTTTCCAGGTTCCACCTAAACTGGTCACTCAGCTGGGCCCTGGCAGCCTGCCAGCTCTCTCAGGGCTGAGAGGGCCGGGAGCTGCCCAGCACCAGCCTCGCCCTGGCCCAGCCCTAAACTGGGAACTCCCCGTTACAGGAGCTCACAACATGCTGGTGTCTGAACGCTCACTCAAGGCTCATTTCACGGCAGTCCTCTGTGTCAGCAAGGAGGAGGATTTCTGTTAGAGCTGTGTGCCTATGCAAAGGCCGCTGAATCCCTCAGACACGTCCTGTCTGTGCCAACGGGCCTAGCCTAGAAACGTCCATCAGAACCTGACCTAACAGATCCCTGCTTCCCAGTGCCCTGCCCTCACTCTGTAAACAGAACCAGACACACTGGCCAGCAGTGCCTGCCTGCCCCAGGCCCGCCTGTGGCACCTGCAGCAGAGGGCTCAGCCCGCCTCTGCCCTCCTCCTCTGTCACAGTGTGCCCTGGCGGAAGGACTCACTGTAAGCAGGGAGAAGAGTGGTCTGCTAGATTAAATCTTAAAAGGATTCTGCTCTCTGCTGTACAAATATACACTTCAGCTTTTACAATACCCACTCCAGTCTGACCCAGCCTTTTATGGAAGAACAAGAGGTCAACGTTGCAAGCTGCACCTCAGGGCATTGTCCTAGCACATCGCCCTCTGGAGTTCTGGCAGTGGACAAAAAGCCCTGAGGATGAGCAACAGGCTCAGGTTCAGTTCCATTTCCCATGTCCCCCCACGGCACCCGCACTCCTCCGAGAAAAAGCAGCTGTAGCTGACGGTCCCCGTAGCCGCCTGCGGGTTGTGTGCGGCTGACCGCGCCCCTGGCTCACTAGAGCCTCCTTCTCTTCCAACCACTGTCGTCCGCTTGGGTCCGCCCATCGTCCCAGCTGGAGCTCCTCTTGGGGCGATGGCTCCCGGGGCTGAGCAGCTCCTGGTCCCTGTCCCTGGAGGCCCTGCTCTCTCTCTGGCGGCTCTGACGCCCTTTCTGGTCGCTTTTACTGGTGGAGTCAACGCTGGCGGCAGGAGGGTCGCCTGGCCCGTGCGGGAAGCTGGGCTCTGCGGAGGGGGCGGGGGAGGCTGCTCCCGGCTGCTGGGGGCTCCAGGGCTCCAGGCTCCGCAGGGAGTTCGCTGAGGCTTCCATCCTCCTGAACAGCCGTGGGTCCCGAGGCTGGTCCTTGGCAGGAGGCCGCTCAGGGTCCTTTCCAGCAGCGGAGACAGCAGCCTCCCTGGGGTCCAGGGGTGCGGGGTTCGGGGCGTTGTCCAGGCTGCTGTCCTGGGGGCTGCTGCCCTCGGGGGCTGCCGAGGGAGGGTAGGTCAGACTCCGCTGCAGCACCGACTTGAGCTTTAGGGTCTTGGTGACGTCATGCTTATAGCTCTTGTCGGAGGTCCTGATGATGGCACCCCGCCGCTGTGCGTCCTGGATCAGGTGGTTCCAATGATGATTGTCCTTAAAACCAAGAGAAAGGCGGGCAGTCAGACCCACAAACACGCACACTCTGGGGAGCAGCAGGCCCAGCTTCGCTTATGAACAAAGAAGCAGACCTTCAGGAACAGATTCTCCAGCCAGTACATGGCCCCATGCCCCTTAGAGAGGCCACCCTGCAGAACCCACCCCCCTGCAGCCAGGCTGCACCTGGACGGCAGCCCCGAGGAGCTGTTTAAACGAAGACTACTTAAAACCAAGTGCAGGAGGCCTGCAGAGCACCAGCACCTTCACAGGCTCCGCAGGCGCCGTGACCAGCGACCAGCGTGCAGGCACTGCAGACAGGGCACTTACTTCGCTTTCACCCCAGGAAGCGCCCTGGCCACTGGTCTGGCCCTGCCAGCCTTGCGCAAGGTACTGACACCTGGAACTGGTACTGACACCTGGCTTCCAAAAGGCCAACTTCTGAGGGCCTGTCACTGCTCAGACAAGCACCGAGCTCCCACCAAATTCTCAGGGGCCTCCCAAACCCCAAAGGGCAAAACCCCTTCATTCAAGATTGAGTGTCAGGCCTTTAGCAACACTTAAGCTTAAGAACAGGAGGTGCAGAGCTTTAAAAAATCCTTTTAAGGGTACAACACAGTCGTTGAAGATCGGTGAACAGTTCAATGAGAAAGACTATACTTGAGCGCCCTCTGGTGGTACTAACCAAAATGGGGAAATCTCGCCTAAGAGAACTTAGAAAAATTAAGAAAACTGAAAGCCACCCCCACTGAGACGAGGAGCAAACACAAGCTTTGGCTGACAGTGCTGGCACCGAGGAGGCTGCCATCTGTCCACCAAACGGGTCTGCTGGCCGCCACCTCTAGAGCCTGCAGGCCGCGGGTGTGCCACAGCAGCTCTGGCGCGCCTGGCTGTGGTGTCCAGCGGGGCCGGCACAGCCACACTGACAATAGCTAGCACTTCACGATAGAGAGTCACACATCCCTACCCGCCCTGTGATGCAGGCACACTTTTTAGAGGTCACCTTGAGAGGACACTTGCTACCTGGCCTCCGGCTGAGGCAGGTGAGTAGCTCCATGTAAAGCTCCAGGGAGAAGCTGCTGGGGACACACAGCTCCGGAAAGAGGCTTGTTCTCTCCTGCCGCCATGTGCCCCTAAGCCCTTCCATGCTGACGGAGAATCAGAACTACCCATCGACCACCCCCAGGTCAGTGACACCAGACAGACTCGGGGCTCTGTCACCCCGGACCTACCATCAGCGTCCGCAGGTGCCCGAGGATAAAGAGGCTGTACTTGGCTCGAGTGATGGCGACGTTCAACCTCTGCAGACTGGCCAGGAACCTAAGCGATCAGAAAACAGTTACTTCTTTCTGTGGAGACTCAGAGTTTCTCGTGGGCTCTGACTTTTAAAGTCACAGTCCTTTCTCACTCGTCCTCCACCGCAGGGCCCCTGGCACAGAAGCAATCCCCCTTAAAAAAAGGGAACAAAACTCCCCGTGCTTCCCTCAAAGGGGGCATCTGTCCATCTTCCCATCTTGACTTAAATGAGATGCTGAAAATTTTAACAGTGTGATTTTTAAGCCTTAAAGACGTCCTAAACAGATGATATTAGGTTGATTATTCTTAAATAAGTGTATTTGAGATTACGAAAATACGGGGGAACTAGGGCAGAAGCACACAAACATGAGACAAATCTAACAGCAGGCCAGAAAGACCTGGGAAATGACAGAACTGCTTGCTACACGGTGAAGCTGAGATGTCAGGGTAGCTGGGAAAGAAGAGGCTGTTTACAAAATGGTCCAGAGGTAACCAGCCTCTCCGTGTGGATATGCAGGTACCTCTGGGGCGGAGAGAAATTAAGGTGCGTTTCCTTAAGAACAAGGAAACACTTACAATCTGCAAAGTCCATCTGCTGGTTATGAGAAGAGAAAACTCTGAGCCCGAGGCCTAGGAGAGTTTCCTGACACCCACCACAGTGCCCGAGCTTCTCTGGGAAGTCCCGGACCGCAGCTGGGGCTAACAGACTCGGCCGAAGCAGGGAACACAGAGCGAGGAGGAAAAACCACGTTATGACACATCCCGGGAGAAGAGCAGACCCTGCAGGACACACTGACCCAATGACTATTTCACTCTGATTAAACAGAACAACAGATTCACTCTGCCATGGTTAATTAGCACACAAGGTATCAGAGGAGAAAGTGCAACAGGAGAGCCATTTCACTCACCCGATGGAGCCCTGCATGGCGTTGGCTCTGACACATGTGACAATGACGCAGTCTTTCTGGCGGCCCTGGAATGCATCCACAGTATCCACCTCTGCCAGCCTGTTGGCGGAAGAGGTTTGTAAGAAGAGAGGATTAGTAAACGGACACAGCCACAGAGCACTGCTCCTCAGAAGCCTTTCCATGGGGCTGTCCTATAGACATGTGCTTCACGTGTACAGAACTTACATCGGAAAGCACACGGTCCTCAACCGTCTTCAAGCCCATTCGCTGTGGGGTGCAGCCATCACCACTAATTCCACCGCATTGCCATGGCCCGAGGGAGAGCCCCTGTCTTGATTTCCCCTCCCCCACAGGCCCTGGCTCCACGACCTGCTGTCCATCTCTGACTCCAACACCGACATTTCCTGTCAGTGGATCGCCATGCGTGGCCTCCCCTGTGCCGCAGCATGCCAGCGCGTCCTTCCTCTTACGACTGCCTGTCTGACTGACCGTACAGGTGGACCGACATCTATTCCCCATCGACAACCTGCCCCGAGTTCTGTGTGGGGAAGTATTTGATTACTAACTCCATCTCTTTATTTTTTCTAGCATCAATGTCAGCAGTTTGTGTGTTTCAAGGGTAAGGCACATTTGAGTTAATGGTTTCCAATGTTAAGTCTTTAGTTTTACTGCGGAGGTGAAAGGAGACAGGAACATGACAATGTGACCTGCACCGGGTCAGTCAGGACTTGGACCGGCCGTCTGGAACTACAGGGAAAGGCCGAGAGCCCGATGGTAGGAGGCTGTCCACAGGACTGCCAGTGCGCCCACCCGACCCAGTGTCCTGTGCTGGCCCGGCTGCCGCCCCACACGCTTCCTTTCCGTGCAGCCCCTCCTTCCAGCAAACAGGAGCTGGAAAAGTCTGCACAAACTGGATGCCTCACCCTTTTTCTTCAAACTCTTTGTCCAGCTCCTTCTGAATCATCACCTTCTGAGCCTTATAATGGGTGATGATGCCAATGGTTCGGCAACGGACATCCCTTTTATCTTTGAGAAGTTTAACCAATTCTATCACCACTTTGATTTCTTGAAGATTTACATATGAGCTAAAGAAGAGGGGAAAAAGAGCACATCAAAACTAACAGCAGCGAAAAAACCACAACAAAAACCTAACAGCAGCCCAGCCACTAACTGAAGCGCCACGTGGCTGCCACAGCTGCCGGAGGCAGGCAGGTCACTCCCCGCGCAGTGACTCCGGGGCTGACACTGCCCCTCAGCCCTGCCGCCTGAGCCACACAACACTAACGGCCAGGGAAGCAAACCTGGCTAACTAGAAATGATCGTGCACAACATCAGTGTTTTAAATATAAACACGAACAAAAATAGTGCGACAATGCTGAGACCGCCCTGGGGGGTGGCTAAGGGGAGAACATACTCATTTTCCCGTCGTTCCGAGCCGTCTCTGACATCAAACACGAGGTAGGGCTGGAACGGCCATTTTGATAGACACCGGGTGCTCTCGGTCCCTCTACGAGAAAGCAGCCCCGTTCGGAGCAGTCAGGTTACAGGAAGCGCTTTACTATCAGTACCATTTCCCCTGCTCGGAGGAGGCTGGGAAGCGAGGGCACAGGAAGGACCTTCAAATGCAGTGTGCTCTGTGAAAGGCACACGATACATCTTACCGTATTTCTAGTCTAGTGCTAGGGAGGATGAGCTGTGTAACTAAACACAGCCATTACAACTGGCAAGTTACTCATGACACACCACGTAAAGAAAGAAAGCAATTTAATTCTATGTTGGATCCAGTAGGGTTTTTTTAGTTAAAAAAATTAAAAAATATGTGAATAGTACCCAGACCAGAAGACACACCAAAATGGCAGCAGTAACCATTTCTGGGTAGTGTAAATAAACCTCAGTGGTTTTCCCTTTTTGCTTATCTGCGACTTTTGTAATTAGGGAATATTACTGAACCTTGGATGTATACTTTTTATGACAAGACTTAAGAACACAGTAAACTGCTCTTCAGTCCTGCAGCCAAACCGGCTCGGCAGGAGCGGCCCACCTGTTGGTCTTCAGGCTCTTGTTGTAGATGTAGTTGGAGGGGAAGAGACAGATGTCGGGGTGCATCCTGTACTGCACGGTCAACTGCAGCACGGGCAGCCTGGCGCTCACGTGGTGCTCCACGTTCTCCTCCAGCAGCTTGCAGAAGCGGGCCATCATGGACTGCTCGTAGCCGAACTCCTGCGCCGTCTGCAGGAGAGAAGGAGCAGTCACCTGGTTATCAGACTGCTCCGCTGTGCGGGTCCCAGTTAGAAAGTCACTGAGCTGAGGTACTTGGCAAGGTTCGGGCCATTACCAACACCAGTCAGAGACAGGCGTGTTTTTGTTAATCCTCAACCGAGAATATTTTTTCCACTGATTTTGAGAGAGAGTGGAAGAGAGGATGGGAGAGCCAGAGAGAGACATCAATGTGAGAGAGACACATCGATTGGTTGCCTTCTGCATACTACCTGTCCAAGGCAGGGGATTAAGCCTGCAACTGAGGTGCATGCTCTTGACCGGAATCAAACCCACCACCCTTCAGTTCACAGGTCAATGCTCTATCAACTGAGCCAAACCGGCCAGAGAGAGAAAGATGTTTCTGACCTTGACCTTGAGAAGCCATGGAGGTTGGCCATGTGGAAGCGCTCACACTGCCATGAAAGGACATGACCTTGTGAATGACCACACTGAAGCTGCTCTGATGCTAACAGACCCAGTGATGAAAAAAGCAAAAACTGTAACACAGGTTTTAACCGTTACTTCTGTGCCAGGCCCTCAACAAACAGAAATATTCCTTGTCACTGTAAACAAGCCCTTCTAAAGACTGATCGCTTGGACTGTCCTCCCTCATATATGCAGCCATCTCCGCCGTCCAGAGCCAGCCTCACAGAACTTACACCTGTGAGGGAAGCTGACCACTGACTGGGGTGATCTCACACCCCCAGTAAGGCAGGCACCTCAGGTTATCGTGGCTGTACTTTGGGATATACTTTTCAATGTGGCCATCAGACCAAGACTTGAAAAGCATTTTGCCAAATGATCTAGAAGCAAAAGTGTGCTCTGACAAACACACTAGGAGGGCAACTGTTCCTGAGCGGTGGTGTGGACAGGGGCATTGCAGCTGTACGTGCAAAGCTTGGACATACCTGCTTCACAAACTGGAGAGTGGAGAAAAAGACATTACTTCTAAATAATAGTTTGTATAGGTGAATTTAAGTAGGATTTTGTAACTAAATAAATATTAGTAATCATTCGACAATTCCATTTACATCCCCAAAAGTTTAATTCAAATTAGCTGAAACCTCATTTTAAACATTCTCTTGGAGGGGAGGGGACTTATATGAAGCGACACACCTACTTCCAGGAAACAGCTGAGCCTGCCCCAGAAATCCACATCCATGTGCACACTCTGACCCGGAAGGACACTCCTGGGTGGCAATCAACCAACCGGCACAGGATTCTGCACTTTAGACAAGGCCAAGCCCTACACATGTCCACACGTGCACACACCTGACAGCCACCGGACACGCCATCCTTCGGGGACTTTCGTGTCTGTCCCCGCTAGGACGCAAGCTCACGAGGGCAGGGCGGCTTCCATAAGTGAAGGCTGAACAAGGTGCGTCCGTGAGCACACAAATGCCATTTCAAACACTCCCTTACCTGGTTCAGTATTGTCCTTGGAAATAGGTGGAGGAAATGAGCTTGGTACTTATTTTCTGAACTTTCCTCAATAAGCCTGTATTATTTTTGCAATTAAAAAAAAACCCAAATGGGTTTTCCTCACTTTTATTTTTCATCCATCACCAGGCAGGCAGCAAACTGAGGCCATCAACAGCCCTTTTCGTTACCTGCTGCGGCTCTTCGCCAAACGGACCCGCACCACTTTGAAATACGTGATTTAAATTCCAAATCAGGGTCCAGCCCTCAGATAACCCCGAACACCCACTAAGTCTCCCGGACAGAGCACAGTCGCCCTCCCGTCACCTTCCGCCCCGCGGTGAGGCCACGGGCACTTGGACTACAGGGCACAGAACTAAAGCTGCACATGTACTCTGTATCTGTGTAAGGTCTCCCCAGGTGTGCACGTATGTAAACAAAGCAGGAGGTGGGTTCTTTCCCTCGCTGGAAGTTGTTTTGGTTTCATTATTAAAATAAGTCAGACAAGCCTTTAGAGCAGTTGTGCTCTGCGTGTCTCAGAGAAGCCCAGCGCTCATGGAGCGGGCTCTCTGGCCTCTGGCGCAGCTCCTTCACACACAAACACAGCACAATTACCAAGAAGGGGGAACTGTTAGATACTTGAAGACTCAAATGGTGGTTCTCTTTTTCCAGCCATTCCGACAGCTTTCCCTGCAAATGAGAGACGATGGTCCAGCAAAGACCCTCCTGCCCCTCCGCCCGCCCCCAAAAGCCCGTCCACTGTAAAGCGGGGAACGGGGGACTCACCAAGGAGATGACGGTGGGGGGCAGCTGCTTCGGGTCCCCGACGAGGATGAGCTTGTTGCAGCGATGGATGAGGGGGGTGAGGGTCTCCACTTCACAAGCCTGCCCGGCCTGCGAGCAAAGCGCGGGAGAGACCAGCTCAGTCACCTTTCCATTCACCCACATGCAGTTTACTGCACAACAGCTTTACCCAGCCAGAAAGAACCACACTTTTTCCCTATGCACTGAACACCAACACAATAAAAACACTCAATGAAGACCACACGTGGATGCTGAAGTCAGGATCCACTCAGGTGCCACAGACACCTGGGAGCCAGCCACGAGCCAGCAGGCCACGGACTGCCCAGGTTTGGGTCCTCTGTTCCTGCCGGAGCTGCAAGTCTGTGACTCCCCCCTCCCCCCGCCTTCTCCTGGTCCTCAGCAGCCCGCATGCGCCTTCTCACTGGGGACTAGAGACCTGTGGCCTCCGGACCCATTCCGTGTCTCATTCCCACCCCTCTGTCCTCTGGCTCTACCTCTGATACAGAGCAGGGACCTAACAAATGCTCAGCGAATGAACGAGGAAAACACGGGCTCAGAGCTGTCCAGTCACATTTAAAATGCTGCCAAAGGCAGCCTGGCTGTTCCGAGCAGCTCAGACAGGCCCTGGGAGGGTCTGGGAGGCAGTGTCCAACCCCATCACTGGGAGTGCCCGGGGAGGGCAGCCCGTGTCACCGCGAAGGACTAGGTAACGGCAGGTGCACTCTGGTGCGCAGTCACCGTGTCCAGCCTCAGCAGCCCTGTTCGTCTCCGCCGCGGCAAGCACTAGTCCACGCTGCAGCGGCCGCTCACTGACCTCGTCCACGATGACACAGCTGAAGGGGACTCCTCCTTGCCCCCGGAAAGCGGACTCGAGCAGTAAGCCGCCGCTCGTGCTCAGGGTGCAGCAGATGATGTGGGACTCCAAGATGATGATGCTCTGGGTTTTCTGTGGGCGCCCTTGAACCTGAGACGACGACAAAGGTTCGTTACCCTTCAGTTGTCTGTGAATTCTAGGCCACGGCAGGCGACTTTCCTACAAAGCACCATCTTTACTATGTGACAGAATAACATTTAGCAAATGTCAGGGGAGAACTACCATCTAGAAAAACAGCAGAAACTTCAGATCAAAGACACACGGGCTGTGGCAGAGCAGGCAGTCTGATGACACCGCACTGCACAGCCAGCACACTCAGCAGAGTCGGTCAGCCTGTGTCTGCTGACCCCATGACCCAGGCTGTGAGCTTGGGCAGGGGTGGCACGGTGGGCCCAGGGCTCAGCACCCACTGCTCTCAGCCAGCAGCAAGGAACCAGCAGCATGACAGCCACAGAGAAGGCTGGCGATACATTCAGAAGAGAAGTCCCTCAGAAGCACGGCTAGCCTCGCTGGTGGGTATCCGCCCTCTCCCTGGCCCCACGGGAACCCTGTGCTATTGGACAGGCAACACGGAGCTGCCAGGCCCTGCGCTGGGCTCAGACACGCGTAGTTTTCTTTCTTCTAAACAGGAAAACACCACACCTCCCCTTTATTCATACGATCAGGCCAGTGACAGCTGGTGCTGCAGTTCGGGGGGAAGCGGAGTAGAGGCCCCGACAAGAGGCTTTACTACTTACCCACACCTAGAAAAGGAAAGCTAGTCTATAATCACTTCTTCCTTAGAAATCTCAGGAGTGATAAGAACTCATTATGAGGCTAAAGAAACAAATGTAAATATACATGTAATTACACCATCTCCACTTCTATATTTGTTTGAAATTTCTCAGAATGGACAAAACTTTAAATGCAATTGATAAAAGCCCAGAGGTTTTCTCAACTGTCATGATGGAGAAAAAGAAAAGAAAAAACAGGAAAATGCTCTACGTAAAGCACTTACCTCTTTAATTTTAGATGCAAGTTCCTGCCTTTCTTTTGAAACTTGGGCAATTTTTTCATCTAATTCGTGCCTCTGGAAAAAATCAAAGTTAAGTAAGCACTTAAACGCTCCCCAGGGGACTGCCGCCCTTCAAAGGGGAGCCTCTTCCCAAGTCTGCTCTCTGCAGCGAGGGCCTGGCGCTGCACACTGCGGCTCCAGAAGTGGGCGGAGGGATCCACACCAGCTGTCTGGCCAAGCAGCCTGCACACCTCCAGCTGCCTCTGGCCTTCCGCGTGCCCGTGCTGGAGCAGTAGCCCCGTCACAGCACCTGTAGCTCCTGACAGATTTCTCCAACGTTCCTGCCCCAGGGCCTGTTTGCCTTGACCATCCTGTACTTATACCCCTCGGGAGTTTGAGCTGTTTGAACTGACCAATCTGGCCTTAGCCTGGGAACCCCAAAGCACTCCAACTCACGGGCCCTAATAAAGGCACGCACCCCAGACCCTGCCTCCCTGCTTGCACTCTGCCTTGACCTCCGTGGCCCCTCAGGATGCGCTGTGTCTTTCCTCTGGGGCCTGTGAGGGATCCGCCTCTCTCATGGGCTGCTGCAGGCACTCTCAGCACCCGCACCCAGGCTCCTCTTGGCAGCAGGCACTGTGTAAATTCCGCCAGGGCCAGGACATGGCCTGTGCTCCTTGGGCTGTCGTTCCTTCACTCATTTCCAGGCAGGTCAAATGAGGCTGCCAATCACACCTCCGCCACCTCTGGCCACAGCTCAGGCGGTAATGCAGGCCTGGCAACCTCGGCACCTTTCCCAGCACAGGGATGTGCCTGCTGCACACCCAGGCTAAGGCCTTCTCAGCTGGGGAGGAGCCCAAGATGCTGGCGATCAGCCTGCTCTGGGAGAAGAAATGCTGACTCACAGACAAACAGATTAAGGTGGAGAAATGGCGTCATTTGCTAAAGTTAAACCTTCTAGATATCCCAGGTCTAGGTGCCAGTGAATTCCGTTTCTGTCTAACTTAACTTTTTTCTATATTAAAAAAAAAAAATTATATGCTGATTTGAGAGAAACATCGATGTGTTGTTCCTCTTATTTATGCACTCTACTGGCTGGATTCTTATATGTGCCCTGACCAGGGATTGAACCTGCAACCTTAATATTGGAACCTCACTCTTACCAACTCAGCTACCCAGCCAGGACTTGTCTAACTTAACTTGGATTAAATTTAATTTGTAATCGAAAGATACTTAGTGAATTTAGTACAATTTTAGTACAAGGCAGGCAACAGCAAACTACAGCCTATGGACCAAATTCAACTCGCCATCTGTTTTTGTAAATAAAGTTTTATTGGAACATAGCCACACCCTTTGTTTAGGATGGTCTATCTCCTGCTGTTTCTGTGCTACCACAGCAGAGCTGAGTAGTCGAAATAGAGATCTGCATCTAGACCATTTACTATCTTGTCCTTTTCAAAAAAGTTTAACTTTTTTGTAAGGCATACCACTTTGGTCTAAATTTTTATCAACAAATTATGCTATTCCACAATGAAAAATGGCATCAAATACTTACCAACTAGTTTGTGTACCTATGATATATTAAAAACATTCAGCAAGAACTGTTTAGCTACCTGGATTCCTCTTCCATATCGGCTTAAAGCACGCTGGCGGGAAAGCTCATCTAGCTGATGGTCTAGATGTTCCTTTCTTCTATGCATCTCCTGAACGTAAGAAGGTAAGTCTTTTTCTTAAAAAAAAAAGAAGGAAAAAAAGATAAATACTTGTATGCTCATTCACGCGCACACACACATGCATAATGAGAAGAAAAACTAGCTGTCAAAGCCACCCTACCTCTAGGTCTCCCCGTTAGCTTAAATGCCCAAGCCACTGTCCACTGTCCAAAAGGAAGCAGAGTTAACGTTAGTATGAACCGTATTCAGGACTTACTCATTCTGTGGTTAACTTGGTTGTCCAAGCTGAACTTTAGGACCTCACTATTAATAGATCTTTCTGGACCCAGACGTACTAGATTGATATCTCCACAGTTTCCTGTTGGTAAGAATCACACTTTAGAGATTAATGAGGACACAGCCAACCCCTCTCCATTGCCATGTGTACTTCTAAGCAAATACATCAATCAGAGGAGGGAGCTAATGTGAACTAATAAGCTGGATGCCTGGAATTCCATAGCATTTTAGATAGTCTTCGTCGCAACCCTATAAGATAAGTACTTACCATTTCTACTTAATGAAAGCTGGCGAGGTTGTAAAACACATGACATTGCAAAGTTGAGATTCCATTATCCTAATGTTTCTCAAATTATATTTTTTAGAACATTCCATGGTCTTAAGCGATCCTGCTAGCGGTTCTCAACCTGTGGGTCGAGACCCCTTTCACAGAGGTCGCCTAAGACCATCAGAAAACACAGATATTTACATTATGATTCATAACAGGAGCAAAGTTACAGTTAGGAAGTAGCAACGAAAATAATGTTATGATTGGGGGTCACCACAGCATGAGGAGCCGTATTAAAGGGTCGCTGAGTTAGGAAGTTGAGAAGCACTTGGACAGAGAGCTTACAGCTGGTCCTCTCACTTCCCACACTTCCATCCTCTTCCTCCGGGACTGTCTTCCAGAGTAAGGTAACCAGACGTCCCGATTCTTAACAATTTGTCTTTCCAAACACTGGGACTGTCCCACCAAAAGCAGGACGTCTGGTCACCTAATTCCAGAGGCTTCACTGCTGAAACCTCCCACCCAGCAGTGCCCGGCCCCGGGAAAGCGCTTGCAGTATTTGCTCAGGGATGCTAAGGACGGAGGGGACAGGTTACCACGGCAGGACTTGCTCTTTATCATTCGCAGCTGCCCACACTCAACAGTAAAAACAAACACTAACGCGCAGCCCCGAAGTGCCATACCCAGAGGGTTCTTCTTGTCTTTACACCTCTCTTTGAACTCGAGGATGATTTTCTTCATCAGCTCATCCACAGCTCCGTTGGAAGGCGCACACACAAGCACTCGGTTCTGCTTAATCTTGGCGTTGGAGTTCTCATCCAGCTGCCCCCTCTTCTGGTTCCGCATTCGCCACGTGCACCAAACAAGCAAAACAGCGGTGAGCCCGCCGTGCCAGCGCATCTCTCCTCCATGTCCACATGCTCCCAACAGGCAGTTCCCCTGTCTACAAGCATCTGCAGCTCGCACTGATACCGGCATTCCCTGGCACACAATCTCCTCCCAACCTCCTGCGCCTTACTCTGCTCAGAATTCAATCGGCCAAAATGCAGCAGGAAGACCCGCAGACGGCTGCCTGGCAGGTGTGGCTGTAATGCAACCGGAAGACCACGCTCTGGCCCTTAGGATTGGTTTCACCCAAGACAGCATTTTCTGCCCTTTTTATTTCCGAGAACCTCTCTCTCTGCTACCCCCTCCTGCACCCCCCATCCCCCCCGCCCCGGTAAAGGCCCACACAGTGACAAGGCACACTGACAGGAAGAGGCACACATCGGTCAATTCGAGGGCAGCGCGGCACGCCCTCCGCCACAGCACAGACCCCGGCGTCTCTACCTCGGTCAGCAGGCGGTACAGGAGGCCAACGATGGTTCTCGATTTCCCTGTTCCCGGTGGCCCGTGAATCAGACAGATCTTGGCAACCGCCGGGGAGTGTCTCACCATGGCATACGCGGTTTCTATTGCTTTCTTCTGGTCCTCGTTGAAATCCTTTAGGAAGGCAGTCTGCACACAAGACAGGAGTGAGAATGACAGGGCAGGGCCCAGAGGCCCCCTCCACCTAAAACCGCCTCCATCACGGACAGAAAGGTAGTCTGCAGGCTTTGGCCCCGCAATGAGCCCAGCGAATTTTCACTGGGATTCTCCTAACGATGACAATCAGCTGTTCTATACGACTCTGCTATTTCTTCTTCGGATTTCCCATTTTAGTCACCTCTCTCCTCAGACAGGAAAACAAGTGATCCGGTGGAAAGAGCATGGATGTGGTGCGGATCTGAGCCTAAACCTCCGTGTTTCTCACAAGCGATGGCTCTGAAAACTCTGGCCCTCTCTCAGCCCCGACTTTGTAGATCTAGGGCTCCTTGAAGGGGGAGAACGGACTGAGATGACACACGTGAAAGCCCTAGCACACTGCAGGGGTAACAATACTATGCTCCTTCTGCCTTCCTCTGTGTTAGCTTCCTGGAATTTATATGAGGCTCTTCCAAGGAGCTATGCGTACCTGCAACCCTCAATGCTCCTACGCCAGAACCTTAACACCTAATGCCATCAAGGCAATGCTCACCTAACATGTTAATGTTGCTCCTCAAGCACACTTCCAATCTTTACAGCACCACACCTCCTCCTGAGGAGCAAGCTGACCCACTCACACACACTTTGCGACACCAAAGACCGCTGAGCACTAACCCTCCTTGTGCACAAAGTGTGTGTCTGCTGCTGACCAGAGACAGGCAGCGGACACCCACGGCACGGGCTTCCCCCCTGACAGGAGGCTTTCTCTGTGATCACAGTCCTCACTCACAATTCTCTCCGACGACGTGGTCAGCAGGTCTTTCGTACAGAAGTCCATGGGGTTTGGATTCAGAATAGCTCTGGCCAGCTGGTTTCGACTATTCAACAAAGACATCGCTTTCAGCTTCCTCTGTGTCGTTACCAGAGAACTGACGACAACACATTTCACGGTGTCATTCACACTGGCTGGGAAGCTGTCCTGCGTCTGGATGGAGAGGGAGCACTCGTATTTCCCTTTATGCACTAGAGCAAGACAGAGAAAAAGCCATTTCAGTTCCCAGGAGTAACAATGTCCAGTTAAAAGGCTATTCAGAATTGGGTATTTTATAGCGTCTGGTTTCTTAGGACATGCTACATAAATAACTCACTCAATAACTACCTCTTACAGGCCTTCTCAGAGCGGCAATGTTCCTCTCCTCAGGAGGCTTCTTTTTTAGCAGAGAGGCAGAGAACCAACACACACCTCAGCGGTGCTGAGCGAGTGCTCTGAAGAAAGCAGCAAGGGCTGAGGGCGTACCGAGGGGGTGAGGTGGGGACCGCAGCAGACACAAGTCAGGGAAGGTCTTCCTGATCCGGCCATACGTAAGCAAGGACTTGCAGAAGGGCCACTCAGGTGGCTCCTGAGTCATCCAGGGGCAAGTTCATGGCCGGGGGGATTGGGTGCAGGAGCGGAGTTGGGGCCTGGATTCGGGGACATTACAAAGGAAGATTTGATAGGATTTGCTGATGGGTTAGGTGGGGAGTGTAAGATGAAGAGGCTCTGCCTAGCAAAGGAAGAGCAGATGTTGGACAAGGTTTGAAAGGCAGAGATGTCTGATGGTTGGCTACATGAGGAGTTCAGGGAGAGAGACTACTTTAGAAATATGCATTTGATAATGTAAACATTTGCAAGCGTCAAAAGCACGCCTGTGTTCCGTTACTGCTCTCTAAACGCATCCTGCACGGAGCCTGCGCTCTGGTCACACCGACAGTAAGCACGACCAGCTACAACACAGCCTGATGCTGAACTTAAAGGAGCCTCGTTGCTGTTTTTAAAATGTGATGTGAAAGGCAAAAAATAACAAACTCATGTTCTCCTCCCTGGGACTAAAAAGCATCCATGTCAGAAGGGCAGCCTGGCCTACAATGAAGGACAAGCACTTTGCAGCCGAACAAAAGGAGGCTGCAAGTCTGGGCTTCCATGTAATGCTGAGAATGACCGTGGCTGCAGCACTTGGCATGCCTGAACTCTCACTTCCTGACAGGTGGGAACAAATAATTCTTACTGCTTTGCAGGGCTTGGGAGGATGAGGCACACAGTAGGTGCTCATTAAATACTAACCCAGGGAAAGAAGTCGAGACAACCATTAGATGGGGTGATGTAAACAGTAAACCCGTCACGCTGCCTCACATTTAGTCACACGTTTAGTCTTCGCATTCATAACGAGCCACAAAGCCAAGGTTAAAATGTGATGTAAGATATAACAAACAGGTGGCTTACAAGTTGTCTGTTTCATAACAAATACAATGCAGATGAAGACATATACCATAAAGAGAGAACATTGCAAAGGAAGCTTTTAAGTTATAAGTCTAGAGCAATAAATACTTGATCTTTTCCAGATGAGTCTAGAAAAAATAAAAGAGGACTCTGAATGGCAAGTCATCAACCTAGAGGTCCAGTGAATGTACAATTGACCCTTGAAAAACACAGGACTTAGACGTGCCCAACCCCCTCCTCGCAGTTAAAAACCCAGGTATAACTTTTGACTCCCAAAAATTTAACTATTAATAGCCTACTGTTGACCAGAAACCTTACCTATAACACAGGTGATTAGTACATATGTTGAATGTTACATGTATTTATAGTGTATTCTTAAAGTAAGCTGGAAAAAACATAATGTATTATGAAAACCATAAGGAAAATACAGTTACAGTTTCTAAAATAAATCCGTGCACAGATGGACCCACACAGTTCAAACGTGTTGTTCAAAGGTCAACTGCAGAGCAAACGCAGGCTGGGACAGACGCCTTGAGGGAAACAGGGGAACTGACACTGGACGTCTCCAGTGTCTGTTAGGTACTTACTGACGGACGTGCGGCGAAACTTCTGGACGTAAGCACACTGATAGTCCCGGGAAGCCGGGATGGAGTTCCGCTCCACATCCCTCTTCTCCCCTTTCGGCCTCTCAGGAACCAGAAACACCAAGTCATTCTCCTTCGGGTGAAGCTGTTTAGACAGTTCATATTCCTCAAGAAAAACTAGAGGACAAGAAGAAGTCAGCATTTACCTTAATGGAATTGTTTTATTTTTCAAACTATAAGAGGAATTTTATTCAGAAAGAGGTAGGGAAGTGAGCCAGCTGGCACATAGAAAGCTGCAGAGGCCAAAGGGCCCAGGAGCTCCGGAGAGGGGACGGCAAAGGTGACAGCATGCCAGGGGAGCAGGGCGGACAGGAACCCGCCCCCAGTATCCTAAGGGCAAATGCAGGAGCCAAGGCCGTGCCAGCCCCAGCGCGGAGGCGGCCCCAGCGATTCCCACACTTCAGATCGGCAGTCTACAAGACTGACTACAGACCATCATGTTCCTTACAGACGCTGAAAAGCCCAGACAGATGAAAATACAACACTTAACGTTTAGAAGTAGCTGAAACATTTACTTCCCTTCACGTTTATTTGTTTTTAATTAAGAAATTTTACCTTTTGTTCCCCACTTCCAAAACCCCAGGGAAAACCCAGAAGCAGCCCCAGTACACATAAGAATGCTGAGCCTATGGGTAGCGTTTCAAACAAGTGCAAAGAGCAGCTGTAAAGTGAATGGGCGGGAAAACAGAGCAAGCACCAGATTACCACGTTCAGTGCCAATCGCCAAATCCACAGCGCCACACTGAGCTCAAGCAGGAAGTCCTGGCAGGAGGCAGACGGAACCACTAAACCAACATGCTTTTTGATGCAGCACATAAGGAGTGTCTGCTTGAAGTCCTCAGAGCACAGACAAGAATGAAGAATTCCTCCGCTGAGATCCAGAGGGGCCACCGCCTCTCCCTAGGAGCTCTGAGCTCCTCGGGAAGCAGCAGCCGGGGCACCTGGGCCGACCTTCTCACTGGGCACACGGTGCCTTTCTTCCCCGTGTGTATCTTTACCTTTTCTCCCCAAGTCCTAAGGGCCCCCCGGGACTTGCAACCAGGTAGAATAGCCCTCACCCTGAGCCCCGAACCCGGGTCCCAGGCCCCCTTCTGACTGCTCAGGGGCTGACCGCAGCCCAGTCTTGGCTCCCTTCTTCGCGGTAACATTTCTCGGGAGCCAACCAGAGCCCCCAGCGGCTCTCCTGCTGCTGCTTCTTCCCTAATTCCTTCCTTTGTTCACCGTCCCCAGCCTTAACAGACAACCTCTAAACACACGTACAATTTTCTAAAAAGACGACGGCTGCAGTCCAGGGCCCCCCGCTGCAGGGTGGGGCCATGAAGGACCACACCCGAGGGGGAAGCGGAAGTAAACTGCCTTCCGGTGGGCAGCCCAGCTTCCCGTCCCCTCTGTCCTTCCGAAAACCTCCTCCCTGAAGCCAGGCCCCACGCCTTTAACACGGAAAGCTTAGCCCAGGCCGATCCGCACACAGGGTGCGGACAGCTCTCACCCCGCCGTCTGCTGCCTCCTCTCTGGATGGTGAGGGGGATCTTTGTGACCTGCAGCAGGCACAGCGCATCTCTCACTCTCACACACACACACACACACACACACACTACATTTGTTATGTTAAAAATACATTCTTACAAAGAATAAAGTAAGAATTTTTAGGACATCACTGAGAGTCAAAATGCAAGCCACAGCGGCAGAAGGGCTTGCATGGGATCGTATGAAGAACCCCTGGAACCATAAGAAAAAGACAACAGAAATAAAGTAAGCTGGAAAAGAGCCCCAACAGGCACTTCCCCCAAGCGGTTACTGAGGCACACCGTCTGTCCCTCATCACCATGCTCTCATTTTAGAGTTCTGAATATGTGGCTTATAACTGATACATAAATGCAATTGGGTGTTTTACACTGATCGTGAAAGACAGACAGTAGGAATATTTACTCAGAATCTATAAACACTACATTACAACCCACCGCTCATCCCATCTCACCCCTTCACTCGCCCTCTCTCCTATGCCTAGCTTCCATGAACACTTTGCCTGTGGTATCCTATTTACAGAATGATTAAATCCATAAATGTTCTATTCATAAATGTCCCAGTAATTGTCCTCATTAAGGCTTTAAACAGATTCTTTGTAAGAGGTTACAAATTCATCTTAAGAAACCTATGCACCAGAAAAACCAGTGATACTTCCTCAAATAGAAATGTCCAATTACTACAGGATATGCTCCAAGTTACACAAGAAAGAACTTACCCACAAACTCCCAGTATTTTTTATATTCTGCAGGAAATTTTCTTAACTTCAACTCATAGAATTTTCCTTTGTTTGGAGAGTTGATCCATTCCTGTGCTACCTATACAAAACAAACAAACAAACAAAAAAACCCAATTGAAAAAAACAGACACATCCTGGAAAGCCAATGCTAAACAGCAAAATTTCCCCAAACCACAGCAAAATCCACACCTAGAAGCCCAGGTGCCAGAGACACTGACAGTTAATTGGGGATTCCAGTTTCCTGATCAGCACTAAGGGTCTTAGAAGTGGCTGCTCCATCAGAACAAAGTAAAAAACTGAACAAAGCGGAACATCACAACTCCTCTTCCACCAACAGAGGGAGGCTGCCCCTCAGAGCTGGGGACAGGCAGGTGACACAGACAGCCACGCTCACAGAGCAGGCCCTGTTGGTAAAGACCTGTCAGGTAGGAAAACCTGAACTTTCACCGACAAGCTGCCGGAGGCTTGGCGTGGACAACTCTAACGTTAAAAACTCGAGGCCTAGCGGGGCCCAGGGGAGGGGCCGCACGCGGTGGGCTCTACGCCGGGAGCGCTGCCAGGTGCTCCGTGAACACTAGGAAATCCCGTTGCTTCCAGCAGCCGGAGGGGAAGAGAATCCATCTTGAAACCCACCAGAGCATCCCACTCCAATCTTCCTCACAAGCCTGCTGTGTGGGGAAATGTTCTACCAGAGCCTAACCCGCTGGGGGAGAGAGAACCTCAGACATGTGCGGGGAGAGAAATAGCCACCTCAGCCGCTCTAGCCTCGTGTCCCGCTCGGAGGTGAGGGGTTGTCAAACATGCACGAGGCTCAGTCCAGAGGCGGGGAGATCACGGGACTGCAGACACTGGCTCTCCCGACACTCCCACATCACCGAAGGCCTAGTGCCTGCGGCTCCTGTCATCAGACTATCATGGCCACCTTGCCACAAAATCTGCCAGGCATGCACAAAGGCAAAAAACACAATTTGAAGAATAAGCATCAGAACCAGTCAGATATGGCAGGGGTGGTGGAACTATCAAACCAAAGAATTCTAAAAATTGCAGTTAATATACTAAGAGTTTCCTGAAAAAACGAGACCACGTAAGAACAGGTGAAGAATGTAAACAGACACACACGGTAAGAACAATCAGAGAAATGCTGGCATCCAAAGCGCTGGAGCAGAGATGAAGAACAAGGCCTGTGGCAGGCTCATTGTAGACTTGGCTGAGGAAGACTGTCTGAGCTCGAGGCTATCGCCACAGAAACGATCAAAGCTCAAATACAAAGGGAAAAAAGAGCATATCCCAGAATTGTCAGACAACCGCAAAAGTGCATCAGACATATAAGGGGATCCCAGAAGAGGGAGGAACAGAGAATATTTGAAGCAATAAGGACTGAGAGTTTCCCCAAATTAAAACCACCACCAGTTGTTTTCCTGAGGTTCAAACCTAACTGGGAATTGGACTTTTCATTAGGCAGTCCTCATCAGGGAGTGAGGGAGAGAGAACCAAGCTGGATGAGCTGGGGAGGGGAGGGAGGAGCTGAAGGGAGAGAGCAAGCTGCTGTGGTAAGAAACTGAAAGACAAATGTGCTAAGAGAAATGTAGGATTTACTGTTTTTTTGTTGCTCTGTAATTTATCCTTTGCCACCTCTTCAAAAGAATGTAAGTAAAAGGCCTCCATTACTTTAGAAGAAGAAAAAAATACACAAAAAACTCCCAACTCATCCAGTGTGGCTCAGTGGTTGAACATTGACCCATGAACCAAGAGGTTACGGTTTGATTCCCAGTCAGGGCACATGCCTGGATTGCAGGCTCAATACCCTATAGGGGGTGTATAGGAGGACATTATTCTCTACTAGTGGCCCAGTGCACAAAATCCGTGCACAGAGGGGAAGGGTTCCCTCAGCCCAGCCTGCATCCTCTCTAAATGGGGACCCCTTGGGATTGGGCCTAAACTAGCAGCCAGACATCCCTGGGACCACTGGCTCCTAACCACTCATCTGCCTGCCTGCCTAATCGCCCCTAATTGCCTCTTCTTACCGGCCTGATTGCCCCTAATCCCTCAGCTTGCCTAATCATTCCTAACTGCCCTCCCTTGCTGGCCTGATCTCGCCAACTGCTCTCCTGTCTGCCTAATTTCTTCCCCTACTGCCTCTGCCTGCCTGATCTTGCCCCCAACTGCCCTCCTCTGCCAGCTAATTTGGTTTTGATTGGTCAGTTTCTATGTCAGTCAGTGTCAAAAGCTCTGCTTTCTTGGTAGCCATTGGTTCCTCACAGTTGACCCAGATTTGGTTCTGATTTGTCAGTTTCTATGCCATTCAGTGTGAAAAGTTCTGTCTCTTAAGCAACCATTGGCTCCTCATAACTGACTCAGATTTGGTTCTGATTGGTCAGTTTCTATGCCAGTCAGCATCAAAAGCTCTGCCTCCTAGGTAGCTATTGATTCCTCACACTTCACTAAGATTTGGTTCTGATTGGTTAGTTTCTATGCCAGTCAACATCTCTGGACCTATCAATGGGGCCTGATAAGAAAGGCAGGCTGATCAGCAGCCCTGGTGGAGACCTGGAGAGAAATGGAGGCTCAGCTGCTGCCCAGACTGGGAGAGAAAGAGAGAGGTAAGTGCTGATCAAAAACTGCCAGAGAGGCAATGGATCAATCCCTGCTTCTCTCTTCAGGCCTCTTTCTGGCTCTAATTTGCAGCCCACTCAGCAGCCTCCATGGCAACTTAGTGTTGACTGAAGGACTGACTTGCGGTTGGTCGAGCCTTGGTCATTATGACCAGGGTTTTTATATATTAGGATTCCTCTCTAAAAGTCAATAAAAGCGTTTTTGGTTTTTGTTTTTTTTTTAAAAAAAAGCATATGGAAGACTATCACCTCTTTGCACCAACAAATGTGTCTTCCAGGGCTAGCTGAAGTGTGCCTGTAGCTCCCGAGGGCAGAGGCAAAGAAACATTACCGGTGGGTCGCCAGCATCTCAAGCAATACCTGGCACAGATGTCTGCTTCAAGTGAAACCTAGAAACATCAGCACCCCAAGGCCAGCTGTTTTAACTGCACTCCACTGCTTAGCAGGGTCGAGAAAAGAAGCAACTTCAAAGCCTGAATGGTACAATTAAAATTCATACTCACTGTTTCAAAGGCATTCAGTAACAGCAAAGGGAAGAAAACTTCAAAGTAATCTCCACAATCTTGAAATCTGATTGGCACGTGTCTTGAGATGGCCTGACAAAGACTTGCTGGGGGTCCACATTGGTCAAACTTCATAAACATCTCATATTTCCATTTCAAGACCTCTTTGACAAAGGTGTCAGAGATGGACTGTGATGATAAGAGCATGTTGATCGGAGAAGAAGAAAAAGGTCTGCTTTCAGCAAATGCGAGTTTGAAAGCTTGCCTGCTGGAATTACTTGGAGTTGGAGAATTAAGAATATTGCATAAACTACTCAGTTCAACCCTTGGCTTTGGAGACGACAGAGAGGCAGGCTGTGGTACCTTTGAAGCAGGTTGTCTTCCATTTGACTTATTTTTGGGGCCTGGAAGTATCAAGGCACTTTCCAAAGACTTGGAAAAATTAGCAATTCGTGAAGTACTGCTTGAGCTAAAAATCTTCGTAGTGGAAGGTCTCAAAGGTTTAGACATAGAAAGAGGCAGGGCAGGTTTACGAAAGACATCTTCATCTGCTGCTTTAGCTTCAGAGTGTTTTGAGCAGTACTCACCCTGGCTTTTCACCGTTTCCACACAATCTTTGTTCTTACATCTTGTACTACTCAAAGATTCTGACGGAGGCCGATTTATAGAATCTTCTACATGAACGCTTTTCTGATGGACTTCTTCAGTGAGTCCATCATCACCATTCTGCATTTGTGAACCTAAGTCCATATCTTCGGGATCGTGTTGGGTTAAAAAGATATCATCTCCTTCCATATCACCGTTGGGGTCAAGCTGTCCCCTTTTCCCAGTTGGCACCCCTAAATGATGTCCAGTCAGATTGCCACCGCCTAAAGGGTCCGCCAGAGTGCAGACTGTATTTTCACTGGTTGGTATTCTCCCATTTAACACGGGGGAACTATAAGGACTCAAAAGACAAGCATCACCAGCCACCTGAGAAACATATTTTTCCTTCCCAGGTCCTTGTTCAGGAGACACACATTTTATTGACTGATTTCCACTACCGTTTGCCATGACCTCAGTTCCTCCTTTGTTACTGTCATCTGCCCTATCTGTATCTGGTCTAACACTGTCAGAATTCTGGGCCGCATGTGGGCCTGCTCTTGTACTGTCTGTGCTGTCATAAAGTCCTTGTCTGTTTCGATGAGATTTTGATCTCCTCTTCCTTTGAAACTGAAGATCTTGACTCACGAGCAGTTTCTTATCGTTCGCAGGAAGACTCTGAGGAGAAATTAGTTTAGTCTTTTTTGGAGTACCAATTTCTCCAACCGTTTTGCCATGGTTGCGTAACTTATCTATAATGTCTAAAGATCGCTGAGACAACTCAAATGCCCGACGAGGAGCCTTTTTCAGACCAAGTTTCTCAGCCACTGAGGTTGGTTCAGGACAATGGCGAGATTTTTTTGGTAGCATGATAGCAGGAGTGCTCCTGCAACTTATGTAATGTGAACCTTTATTCTGCCCTTTTTTAGTATCTGAATGGGTTTTCTTAGGCGTTTTAGAAAAGGAGGCTCTCCGATCCACTTTGGAGTAAGTTCGATGCTTTCGAGGTGACTTCTTCAGGGAAACTCGAGTGGCTCTCTCAACACCTGACTCGGGAGATGTCCTTATGTCTGCAATTTTAGTATCATTTTCAGTTCGATCGCTCTCATGAAGAGTATCAGATTGGTCCTTGTTTCTGACAGAAGATGAAGGCCTTAAAGAATCTTCGGCCTTTGTTTTCTTTAATTGTTTTCTCTTGTGTTTTTTTACTTGAATTTCACAAACTTCCTCAAAAGAACTACCACTTTGTGGTTTTGCATGCTCAGTGCCCTCTGCTTCATTTTTAGTAACTTCTTCAGACATAGGGTAATCTGTATCATAACCCCAATCGTTTGTGATATCTGCTATATAAGTCAAACATGGATTTTTTTCATCCTCTTGAACTGAATTCCCATTGTCTGGTTTCTGATCTTGCCAAACTGAAAACACTTTCTGTTGGCTTTCAAACTCAAAAAGCTGAGAACCAGAGTCCTCAAACTCCTCTGTCTTTTCTTCCTTTGTTGGCTTCATGTCCACATTCATATTAACTATTGAAGTATCCTGCCTTGGCCATTCTTTCTCAAGGCACATTTTATCTTGTTTCATGTGTTTCTCAAAATCTAGAATTTGTTCATCATCATCATCATCATCTGAAATAATAATAACTTGTTCCTTGCAGGTTTCCCTGACATGATTTTGATTGGCTCTGAAACTTCTTTTATCTTTTACTTTTCTCTGTAATTGGGATGAGCTTTTTTGAGTTGAATCTAATGGAAAGTTACTGACACTGGCTTGAGCTATTAAAGATAACTTGTGGAGGTCTCTGTCTATCTGAGAATCTGTTAGGATGTCACACTGAGGACTGTTAGGGGCCTGTTCTGTCAGGTCAGAAGAAACACGATCAGTGCTCTTATTAATCTCCTTGTCTTTTGATCCAAGTAAAATCACAGGATCTTTACAGGAAGATGCTTTAGGCATCAAAGTAAATGAATTAAAAACTTTATTAACATGACATTCCTGTATTTGACAATCGTTCTCATGGGCAGAAGGAACATCTAACTCTTCCTTCTTCAACTGTTTCAGCAATAAACTGTTAGGAGATTTCAGTTTTTCATTTTTATGATCCAGACTATCATTAAAGTCTAAAGAAGAGTTCTGTATGAAGCTATCGCCGTTCTGACCTGCAGGATCTATCCTTGAACAGAAATTCTCAGGGTCGGAGACAGTCACTTCTCCCTTTAAGTCCACAGTATTTTTGACCAAGGCACTTTTCCTGTTTTGCTTCTTTATTACATGGGCTAACTTAGCACAAATTTCACTTTTCTGTGCTTTAGTTTTTGCCTTTGAGGTTTTGCCAACATCATTCTTTAGAGAGAAATCCTCCTTTGATGTGGGTGCCTTATCCAGAGAATCAGTGTTAGAATCAGTCAACAAATGTGCTGACCTAGTTACTCCTCTGTCACATCCTTCTTCTGGATCATTTCTGGAAGGACAGTTCTGTGGCATACAGGATTTATTTTTTACAGACTTCTGCTTCCTTGTGTGTCTTTTCACTTGATCTTGGGTTCTTTCATTGGAAAGGTTTTTACTACTCTGCTTTAAGTGTGACTCAGCTGAAAGATGGTCTTCTAGTTTCAAATCTTTTATGCAATTTTGCTCATTAACTTTTTCTTCTATAGTGTTACTTGTTTTGCTTACTGCACTACTCTCTTGCTCTTGACAAACGTCAGCTTTCAATGGTTCTTTAGAACACACTGGGCTGCCACTTTCCAGACAGGGGATGTCTTTTTCACATGCCTTCCCTACTTGTTCACTTTCTTCTTTACCATTAGAGGCATGAGAGGTTTTACATGGAGGAGCTGGCTCTGCCAAGGCAGTGTACTGAGGCATTTTAAGTCTTATGTTTCTAATAATTTGCTTTAAACAAGTTTGTAAGTCTTGTGTTTCCCGACTATCCAACTGCCAACCTAGAGATAAATTTCCTCGCAGGAATAAGTTGAGCTTATCCCAGAATTGCTTACAAAGAGCCTGCTGCCCAAGTTGATAACCTTCTTTAAGGAGACTTCTAATCAGCTGCACACAAGCGAGTTGGACAGAGTTAGATGGCACTGAATGCAGTGACAGAGACGTTATCATCACTGCTCCTTTGGAGCTGCTGGCAGATGACTTCTCAGAATTTCGCGCAAATGCAGTAGTGGGAAGTTTGGCACATTTCACAAGGGCATCTACCCACTGCTGGGAGCTAACCCACAGCAAATGCAAACATTTTTTACTTCTATGCAGTTCAACCACCGAAACCAAAATTAGTAGAAAAAATTCAGTGACTTTGTCACACACCACAGCTTTTTGGTTGAGAACATCCTTGACTTGGGAGTACAGATGGTGAATGACCTCCACTATGTAAGCCATACCCAGATCATTAAGATCCATGAGGGACTGAACAAAAGGGATGAACCACAGAAATGTGCTGTTGTGAACACGCATGTCTTGACCAATATCTGACTGAAGCACACTGGCTAATGTTTCCATTTCTTCATACATGTTAGGACAATAATCTGGGCAAATGGCTGATCTCCACCCTGAATCCTAAAATGAAAGAAATATTGACATTCAGACAAACAAGCATTATTCAAGACAAGGTTAGCACACAAGTTGTAAACAAAAAATACATGGCTCAATTTTCTGATTTTGATTTACACATAGCCCCAAGAAATTGAAAATATAGTTCAATTTTGAGGTGCGGTTTTCATGTAATGGTAAATTTACAACACTTCCATGTACTCTGACCCTCTTTCCATTCCAGTCATGTAACTTATCTCCCCCATTCCCATAAACTTTCTACTCTTACTAACTGCACTTAAAAATTAATTTCTCCTGTGCACGATCTGGTTCAACCCTAAAGCCTTTATGCAGCAACCAATTCGGTATTAGTTACATGTCATAAAATCAGCAAGTCAACTAATTATGTAAACCATGGTCTTACAATGCAAAGGTTACAGAATGTTGTCTAAATGCTCAAACTATTTTATACCTTTTTGGTATTTTCTGGGTTATAATTGTACACAATCTGGCTGCAAGTCACCATATCATCCAGACACGACTCTGGTTCTGGCTTGGCCCTTAAATATTAAGAAAAAATAGAAATTACAGACATGAAGGGGGAAAGAAAACCCCTATTGTTAAGATACAACAGAGCTCCTTACAGATAATTTGAGCTCCTGACATATACGGAACTGACCTCACAGAGCTTCTCCGTATGTTCTGGATCTCTTTGTTGTAGCTCGCGTTGTCGATAATGGTCTGAAAGGCCTCGATAGGATCAATAAGTTGACCCCAGACCTTAGATCCCAGGCGATCCAAAATGACCATGAAACAGTGCAATGCTGGCCAGAAAGGATCTTCACTATCATCTGAAATAGAATAGAGTTATTGCCAAATTACAAAGCAATTAGAAAAGATACTAAAATATCTAGGAATTAAGCATCTTTATCTTAAAACAAAGCAGCAAGTAATTGAAAGCAAAGCACTGCCAATTTCAGGTTTTAAAAAGCTGGCAAGCCCTGTTTGGCATGGCTCAGTGATTAGAGCATCGGCCCGAGACCCACAGGGCTGAGGGTCCCGGGTTCGATTCTGGTCAATACCTGAGTTGCAGGTTCCCTACTCCTGTTGGGCTGAGTGCAGGAGGCAACCAATTGATGAGAGTCTCTCGCATAATGTGTTTTTTTTCTTTCCTCTCTTTCTAAAATGGAAAAAAGATCCTTCAGTGAGGATTAACAACAAAAAAAGCTGGCAAATTTTTAAATTGTTTTTGAATTTTTTTCAAGCAATACTCTACACCTCCGTAAAAAAATTTTAAATGGAGAACAAATTGATAAGACTTTTCCACCATTTGCCACACCTGAAGCCATCTTTTCTATCTAACTCACCTTCTCCCAGAACTCCCTTCAATAAATCACAGAAGAGAAGTAGAGGAAAGAAAAACTTGGTATTTCCAGATGTAAGCAAAGCCTAGGATTCACCAAGGCTAACGGGTAAGCAGAGCCGCAGCCTTTATCCACCCACTGCAGCATGGCTCTTTGGAATCTACTTTCCTCCAGTGGCAGGAATTCCCATGACTGACAAGCTCTAACCTCAAGTCCTTCCCTTCTTCTCTATCAGACACGCAGTGGCAAGATACTGCCACCCCCACCACCACCCCCTCAAAGACCTCCAATTGCTCCTGAATGTCTTCTAAGGAAACTCAAAGTCTCAGTCAAGCACTTAGCCTTCCTCTACTGTTCTTCTCCTGCTTTACCTGTCACCCTCCCAGAATCACTCCCTGGCTACCGCACAAACTAACAGCTCGCTTTTTCCCAAACAAGAACCAGAATGCGGTCAAGGGCATGTACCTTGGTTGCGGGCACATCCCCAGTAGGGGGTGTGCAAGAGGCAGCTGATCGATGATTCTTTCATCGATGTTTCTAACTCTCTATCTCTTTCCCTTCCTCTCTGTACAAAATCAATAAAATATATATATATATAAAAAAAAAGAAGAACCAGAATGCCTTCACTATTGGTGCCATGCCTCCAAACCTGCTCACCCAGGTCCAGCTCCAAAGCTTCCGTCACACATTACCCGCCACGCCATCTTCTAGGTGCCCTTCCTTCGAAGGCAAATGCTCCGGCTCTGTGACTGCTGTTGTGAAGTCACCCTGAACCTCCAGTTTTATTGCCCTCGGGACGCTTAGAGTCTAGTTTTTCATCACTCAGTCATGTAGGCCATATCATGTACCTTTTTTTTTTTTTTTTTTTAACATATTTTTATTTCATAGAGGAAGGGAGAGGGAGAGAGGAACATCAATGATGGGAGAGAATCAGTGATTGGCTGCCTCTTGCACGCCCCCTTACTAGTGGATCGAACCTGGGACCTTTCAGTCCGCAGGCCGACATTCTATCCACCGAGTCAAATAGAATTTTCATGACTGACAAGCTCTAACCTCCCATATAATTCCTTTCCTAATGCTTTACTTCAGCTGACACATGTCTCGTAAACTGTCAGATTAAGGAAACAGGTCATCAGTTAGGTGAAGACAAGAAAGGTTTCAGAGGTGTGGCATTCTGAAGGTTAGGGGATTAACAGAGAGAACAAAATTATGTGTGCAAGGCATTCAGAAAGAAATGAACAATTTATGTAGTAAATGCCAGCAAACAAACTCGTAAAAACCTTAATTAGGAATAATCTAGCAAAAAAGAATAACATTTATATATTTTTGAATCTCCCACAATTGAGTATCCACACTGAAGTTGCCTAAAGGAAAATTATATTCACAATGTTTTTGTAGGATCTGGCTGCTTGGTCTTTATTATAGATCCAGTCCTCCATAAAGGAGAAAGATGAGAAACACTTAAGCATAAATCCTCCCTTGATACAACCATGAGCAAAAGAAAGCTGGTCGGAGGATAACCTGAGCACATGGCGCAGACCCATTTTCTGGATTCTCGGAGCAGCGCTGCCAGCGCAGGTCCTGTGCGCTGCGCATGCTTGTAGCCGTACTGGCTGCTCAGTACAGGAGCCACCTGGCACGTGGGGCTCCGTACCTGAAATATGAGGAGGGGCCTGAAGAACTAAATTTTTACTTTCATTGTAACTGAAACAGCCACCTCTGGCTAACAGTCACCATGCTGGTGACTATTACGAGAACGAGAACGAGATGAATGAAGAACCAGGGAAAGAGGAAGACTGGGACAGGGAGACTTCCTGTACAATTTAACTAGGTTGCCATTAGAAACGCGGACCTCCTATAGACTCTACTCTTTACCCTACCGCTAACCGGGTGTTTCACCACGTAATGTAAGTGACTTCCCTGGGCTTCCACCTCTTCTTTCATGAAAGGTGTTGAATTAACTCTAAAGGTCCCTCCCAATTCAGGATTCTGAATCTGTGACCTAAACCATAAAATGTTTTCCTTCCTCCACACCATACACACAATTCTTGCAGCAACACCAGTATTTTAAAAGTGCATCATCGCCAAAACCGGTTTGGCTCAGTGGATAGAGCGTCAGCCTGCATACTGAAGGGTCCTGGGTTCGATTCCGGTCAAGGGCATGTGCCTTGGTTGCGGGCACGTCCCCAGTGGGGGGGGTGCAGGAGGCAGCTGATCGATGATTCTCTCTCATCGATGTTTCTAACTCTCTATCCCTCTCTCTTCCTCTCTGTACAAAATCAATAAAATAAATAAATAAAATAAAAGTGCGTCATCATCAGAGCGTACAAAAGCACTTAACAAATCAAGCATCTCACCCTCTGTCTGCTTCTTCATGGTGGTAAGTATTGACTGCATGAAATCGTTCTGCTTGTCTGAGCCCAACAACAGGGAGTCCATGGCCTGCTCCTCGAGAATGGTCAGCAGCATGCAAATACCTGGAAGATTGGTGACGGGTTCTTTAATGGGTTAGGGAGCACCGTCCTCATGCTTCCTCTCGTTCAGGAGACAAGAACACCAAGGCAGAGAGACAAAGCAAGCAGAATCCAGTTTCTCTAACAACGCTGATGTCTTCATAGACATCTATTCCTAAGTAAAAGGACTTCAGACTAATTTGAGAATACAACGGGAACATGGTATATATTTGGTTAGAAAACAATCTCTAAGATGACTACCACACAATCTGTATTTCATGGTTTCATTTTTAAGATCATCATATTTCAAGTACCGACCATTGCCAAATAGGACCCATGACTGTAAGACTTCAATTCAATAAAGTAGGGGGGAACTACTCTGAGTCAGTTTAGAACTTGTTGAAAACCAAAGCTAGTATCTCTTCCTATCAGGAAATATTTTACAGATGGAAAAAGAGGCATTAAACCTTTTCTTAAACTAGATCAAACTCTATCAAAGTCAATTACTTTATCAATATTTTTATATCTAATACTGTTTCAAATAAAATATCTATTTGCTATACTTGAAATGTATCTCTTACAGATTGTTTCTAGGATAAATATTTAAAAACAAAATGTGTACTTATGCCAATTTAATGACAAAAGAATTGGAAACTATGAAATCCCGTATTTAGCAACTTTGAAAAGAATATCAAAAGAGATCACTTCTATGCAGGATACCCATAAGAGCTACAGGCAAATACGAAGGCTATTTGTGTAGTGACAGTACTTACCTAGCCAATAGTTTTTGTAGTTGGAAGCGTCATACATGTGTGGTGGCAGGATGATCAGTTTACCCTTCTCAAGGACAGAAGTAGTATAAATATCTGGATTTTCTAAAAGCCCCAACTCAATGACTTTAAAAAGGCAAGTCAAAACCTCTTGTAAGTCATAGTAATCGTCTCTGTCCACTTTCCCCAAGCCTCTGGCAGTCAGGATAGCCCAACGGCGAACCTGTAAGCACAACACATTCGTCACTTCATTCAACTAACGGTTGTCTCCGTACACCAAAACCTACTTCAGAGAACAGGGCTCCCTACAGATTTTAAAAGACACAAAACACTAGGTCCTGGCCATGTAGCGCAGCTGGTTAGAGTATCATCAGACAGGCCAAGGTTACGGGTTCAATCCCTGGTCAGGTGCGTACAAGAATCAACCAATGAATGCATAAATCACCAATGAATGGAACAAACAGATATTTCTTCCTTTCTCCAACCTCCCTTTCCTTCTCCCTTACCTCTCTCAAGTCAATTTTAAAAAAGACAAAGACAAAAATAATTTTTTTTTAAAAAGACACAAGAGCCCTGGCTGGTTTGGCTCAGTGGACAGAGTGTCGCCTGCGGACTAAAGGGTCCGAGGTTCAATTCCCGACAAAGGCACATGCTTAAAGGGGGACCTGCAGAGGGGACATGCAGGAGGCAGCTGATCAGTGATTCTCTGTCATTATTGATGTTTCTCTCTCTCTCTCCCTTCCTCTTTGAAATCATTAAAAATATAGACATTTTTTAAATGTTTTTAAACACAGAGCCACAGCCAGTTTCTCACCGGTCAGAGCATCAGCCCATGACCCTTCAGGTCAAGGGCACATATCTGAGTTGCAGGCTGGACCCCCAGCTCCAGTTTGGGCAAGTGTGGGAGGCAATCGATGTTACTCACACTTCTCCCACTCTATGTCTCTCCCACTCCCTTCCACTCTGTAAAAAAATCAATGGAGCCCTAGCTAGTGTGGCTCAGTGGACAGGGCATCACCTGTGTACCGAAGGGTCTCGGGTTTGATTCTGGTCAAGGCCACATCCCCAATAGGGGGCATGCAGAAGGCAGCCGATCAATGGTTCTCTCTCATCACTGATGTTTCTCTCTCTCTTCTTCTTCTCTGAAATCCATCTTTTTTTTTTAATTAAAATTAAAAAACAAAATCCTATATAAAAAGGCTAATATGCAAGCTGTCCCCTTGACCATTGTCTTCTGAACTGAAGCAGCACCTGTCAGAAGTATTCTAACCAACATTTTAAACAAACTACACATCGAAACCTCCAATACAGCTATCCACACGAGCAAAAATACCGTATGTCCTTCCGTCATCTAGCACTCATACTCACCATTTCATTGGGATGGACCAAAAACAAATAGATTCCGGGCTGTTTCTCAAAAACCTGAAAGGAGCAATTTGCTTGTTCCATCCGACAAAGTGCTTCAACACATAACTCATCTAAAGAGAAAAATAAGGCAGTACACATAAGACACACATTCTATCAACTTATCGAGAGAACCTAAATCTTTTTGTAAGTAAATGAAAACCTGTCCCTTGTAAATGTAGGAACACTATGTACCTATCTGAAAAAAATAACTAATCCCAGTATGGTTCCTATCAATTATTCTGACTTTACTAATATGTACATTTTTTTCTTTTTTACTCCTGGCATAATTATCTCCATAGGGTATCCTCTTAGAAGTATGATTGTAGGTCCAATTCCATTAGAATTTTACATTTTGACTCATATGGACTTTATCTGGAACGATAAGGAAAGTCAGCTTCCCTCCCTCTCACTCCCATTGGCTATGTCAGTGGTCGGCAAACTGCGGCTCTCGAGCCACATGTAACTCTTTGGCCCCTTCAGTTTTTAGCAAAGGCCAGCTGAGGAGGACCCTATTAATTTAATAACAATGTACCTACCTATATAGTTTAAGTTTAAAAAATGTGGCTTTCAAAAGAAATTTCAATTGTTGTCCTGTTGATATTTGGCTCTGTTGACTAACGAGTTTGCCGACCACTGGGCTATGCTGTTCGGCTCCTATTTATCAAAAAATCCATTTTTTCCACTGATTTGAAATGCTACCATCATCAGACACTACATTCCTCAAATGCACCTGGTTGATGTCTAGACACTCCGCTGCTCCTCCATGTAAGCACTGTTCTAAGTCCTGCTGCTTTATGGAAACGTCTTCATTTCTCCTTCAAAACAGACTCTCTACTCACTCTATCAGATGAAGCACCTTTAGTTTGTTAAGCTTCTAAAAACAGTGGCAGGAGAGGTGGCTGGCCTGGGAGGAGGGATAATGGCTTGAAAAGCATGAAGGGAACTCCTCGGGCACTGACATCGTTTCTTTAGCTGAGTGGTGGCCACAAAAGCTGTGTTTGGTTGTGAAATAATATCAAGCATACATATTTTCCTGGATGCAGTATTCTTTAATAAATATCCTAAAAATGACTTGTTGGAATTTAAAAATCTATTTCTAATGTATTTAGATTTAACCAAATCTTTAAATCAACTTTCCAGTTTACTGACATAAGTTAAAAAAGCAATGAGAAAGCAATGAGAAAGACCCATAATGTGCATTATTCTATAGGGCAACTCCAGTCTCAACAAGACACTTAAGGACGAAAAGAGTCACACCAACAAAAAGGGTGTGGGCATGTGTGCGTGAACAGACCCTTGGATTAAAAGAGATCTAAGAAAAAAGAGCCAAATGTAATGTATGATCCCTGACTGGACTCTAAAGATGTCTTTTACTTTTAAGAGATTCATATTAATAAATACAAACATACATGACCAAACTCTAGGCAGCCATTACATTCAATGCCATAGTGATTACTGAAAACCACTGCAGCCCAGTGGTTCCCTAACAGGCACGATTCTGCCTCTCCACAGCCCTTCCCCCAACTTCCAAGGGGCATCTGAGCACTTTCTGGAGATGTTTTTGGTTTTCCAACTGGGGTCGGGGAGAGTGGGGTACCAAAGCATCTAGCAGATGGAGGCCAGAGATGCTGGTACACATCCTACAGTGTACAGGACAGTCCCCACAATGAAGAACAATCCAGCCTAAAACGTCAATAGTGCCAGCCGGCTGGCATGGCTCAGTGGTTGTCACAGCTCAACTCCTGGTCAGAGAACATGCCAGGGCTGCAGGCTCCATCCCCAGTGTGGAGAGTGCAGAAGGCAGCTGATCCATGATTCTCTCTCATCCTTGCTGTTTCTCTCTCTCTCTCCCTCTCCCTTCTTCTCTGAAATCAATATATATTAAAAAAAAAAAAAGTCAATCGTGCCAAGGTTGAGAAAAACACAAGAATAAAAATGAATGAACGGAATGCTTTCTTTTCTGCTCTAGGCCCGAGTGGCTGCGTTTGAAAGGGCAAGTTTATGAAACCCGGGAAGGTGGTGCTGGTCCTGGCTGGACGCTACTCCAGACACAAAGCCGTCTTCGTAAAGAACATTATTGACGATGGCACCTCGGACTGCCCCTACAGCCATGCTCTGGTGGCTGGAATTGACCGCTACACCCGAAAAGTGACAGCTGCCATGGGCAAGAAGAAAACTGCCAAGAGGTCAAAGATCCAGTCTTTTGTGAAAGTTTATAACTACAGTCACCTCATGCCCACCAGGTACTCTGTGGACATCCCCTTGGACAAAACTGGTGTCAACAAGGACGTTTTCAGACACCCTGCTCTAAAACGCAAGGCCAAACGGGAGGCCAAAGTCAAGCCTGAAGAGAGGTACAAGACCAGCAAGAACAAGTGGTTCTTCCAGAAGCTGCGGTTTTAGATATTTTTTCTTTCTGTCATTAAAAATCCATAAAAATAACAAAACAAAACACACAAAAAAATGAACGGAATGAAGAGATGAATACAACACGTAATAAAGCAAATACAGCAAGATGTTCGCTACCATGGAATCTGTGTTGTGTGCATGGTGTTTACTACATAATTTACTTTATGTTTGGAAACTTTGGAAACAAAATGTTGGGGACAATATTAAATATCCTAATTATATGTTTAACAAACAGATTTTCATATAAATAAACTTAATTCTTATAATCCTTGATATAATAAAACTGATACAACCTGTGGAACACCCAAGATACTCACTGACATGCTCATGTAGGAGCAGGTAAGGGTATTTCAGGATTTCGAGAAGAGGAACTCGAAGCTTATTTTCAAAGTCTTGGCCAGTGAAGTCAAACGGCTGTGCGTCTCCATTGTTGTCTATGATATATAGTTCATCCTCAGCGTCATCGATCTCTCCTCTCATACATTTTTCAAAGTGTTTTATGAGGCGTAAAGTTTCTAATTCCCATAAAACCTACAGGAAAAGAAAAATGGGCAGTGTGCTTTATATCTTATCAACAAAATATCCTGGATGTCATGATCTTTCTAAAAGCCTTTTCCTAAGCATAAAGATGCAGAATTTTTTATTTTTATTTTTATTTTTTTACATTTTTTTAATTAAATTATCTGTGTACATATTTTAACATTGCTCTCCCCTTCCATATATACCCTCCCTCCCAAAGTTTTGTGTCCATTGGTTGTACTTATATGCATGTATACAAGTCCTTCCGCTGACCTATTTTCTCCCCCAGATCTCCCTACCCTCCCTGCTATAATTTGAAAGTCTGCCTGTTGCTTTACTGTCTCTATATCTATCTTTTGGTTCAAGATGCAGAATTTTAAAGGAGACATCACAGCCCTTGCTTGTTTGGGTCAATGGATAGAGCATCAGGCTGTGGAGTGCAGGGTCCCAAGTTCGATTCTAGCCCAAGGCACAGGCCAGAGCTGCAGGCTCAATCTCCAGTAGGAGGCAGCCAACCAATGATTCTCTCATCACTGATGTTTCTCTCTCTCCCTCTCCCATCTTCTCTGAAATCAATAAAGAAATATGTAAAGAAAAAAGAAAGGAAGCCAAATCTGTGTTTAGTATTTAATGTAAAAAATAAATAAATAAATAAAGTAGATATCACATATTTGAAGAAAATAGTCACTAACCACGGCCACATTTATGATACATGAATGAGCACAGTAAACCCTTGATTTTGCAGACCTCAATTTAAAAGACTTTAGATTTAACAGTTAAAATTTCCAGTCCAGCCGAAACCGGTTTGGCTCAGTGGTAGAGCATCGGTCTGTGGACTGAAAGGTCCCGGGTTCGATTCCGGTCAAGGGCATGTACCTTGGTTGCGGGCACATTCCCAGTAGGGGGTGTGCAAGAGGCAGCTGGTCAATGTTTCTCTCTCATCGACGTTTCTAGCTCTCTATCTCTCTCCCTTCCTCTCTGTAAAAAATCAATAAAATATATTTTAAAAAAATAAATAAATAAAATAAAAAAAATAAAAAAAAATAAAATTTCCAGTCCATATGTCATATGTGAAAATTAACACGCTGTTAATTTTAAAATACTTCTAACCAACATTTGCTTACAAATATTATTTTTTGTTATTCCTTTGCTATCATTTTTTAAAATATATTATTGATTTCAGAGAAGAAGGAAGACAGAGAGACAGAAACATCAATGATGAGAGAGAATCACTGATCAGCTTCCTCCTGTATGTCCCACACTGGGGATCAAGTCCACAAGCCTGGCACATGCCCCAACTAAGAACCGTACTTCCTCCTCTCCATATATCATCTCTATGGTCTGCATTTTATTTTTTAAAATACGTTTTTATTATTTTAGAAAAAGAGAAAGAGAGAGAAACATCAATTACCCCCTACTGGGGCTCAAGCCTGCAATCTGGGCATATGCCCGACCAGGAACTGAGCCTGTGCCCTCTGGGTGCCTGGGACAACACTCAACCACTGAGCCACAGAAGCCAGGGCAGTGTCTAATTTTCACCACATAAATGTGATAAACCAAATATTCAAAGCTACTTTTTTAAATGACAGTGTTACACCAAAACCGGTTTGGCTCAGTGGCTAGAGCGTCGGTCTGCGGACTGAAGGGTCCCGGGTTCGATTCTGGTCAAGGGCATGTACATTGGTTGCAGGCACATCTCCGATAGGGAGTGTGCAAGAGGCAGATGATCGATGATTCTCTCTCATTGATGTTTCTAACTCTCTATCCCTCTCTCTTCCTCTCTGTAAAAAAATCAATAAAATATATTAAAAAATAAAATAAATAAATAAATAAATAAATAAATAAATGAAAAGAGAAAAAAAAAATCAATAAAAACAGCCCAAGCCATTCACATGAATTTGTAATACTGGGAGAGGCTCCCAGCACCGCTGCTGCACTCACCAGCCATGAGCCCAGCTTCTGGCTGAGCGGTGCTCCCCCTGTGGAAGAGTACTTACCACCAGGGGGCAGCTCCTACTTTGAGCGTCTGCCCCCTGGTGGCTAATGCATGGCATAGCAACTAGGATGACTAAAAGTGAGAGGTCATATAATTCTGTTTTAGGTTTCAATTCAATTCCATCAGTTAATGGCCACTGATTCAGCACCTACTATATAGCAGGGAATAAATTAGGTACTAGAGGTATATATCAGCCTTTAAAGTTTAAACTATCAGTTCCCTGGATGCTTCTAAAGAGTTCAAATTTGCCGAAACCGTTATGGCACAGTGGATAGAGCGTCGGCCTGTGGACTGAAAGGTCCCAGGTTCAATTCCAGTCAGGGGCATGTACCCTGGTTGTGGGCACATCCCCAGTTGGGGCTGTGCAAGAGGCAGCTGATCGATGATTCTCTCATCGATGTTTCTAACTCTCTATCCCTCTCTCTTCCTCTCTGTAAAAAGTCAATAAAATATATATTTTTTTAAATAAAATAAAAAAAATAGAGTTCAAATTTATTCTCTTCCTAGTTCTCAAGCTCCGAAAAACATTCCCCTGTAATGTAACTTACCTCATGCAAGAATGGCAGCTCGTCCCTTGCTCTGTGATACTCAATCACACACTCTAAGCAGAAGCAGAGGTCATCATCTGCCGTCCGGAATTCACTGGCCCGGGTCCGGAATGCATAGCGCCGTAGGAACTCAACGGCGGAAATGCCACCTGGCGTACACCAGCAGCATGTGCTCATTCTGCTCCTGGATCTAGGAAACAAACAAAGACTAAAGATAAACAAAATAACACTTCAGGCCTGTTCTGTGTGAAGAATGGTACACTTCCTCAAACGACCATCACCCTCAACTGAGAACGTACCTCAACCACATTGAGACCACCTCCTGGCCAGCTGTCAATAATGGACTAACTCAAATCTGAGCCCACTCCTCAAAACCTCCTTTGACACATGAAAAATATAATAAAATGAAAGCACTTTGTTAGTTGTAAACATCATAAGGCAATACAGGTGTGCTATTAAAAAGGCTCAAAACTATGTCATCTACATATATACAGGACTAAGATGCTGTGTCCGGCAGTCTGGGTAATGATGTCACATCCTCTCCTTAGCAACTAGCTTCCTTACAGTTTCTTCAGCCCAGGAATATGACTTGCTTTATAGCCAGGTGCAAACTATTCATACTTTGATCAAATGTCTGTGAAGCGTTTTCTCATGCCTCATCTCATTTGATCCTCACAAAAGTCCTGGAGTAGGGAGATAGGACAGTGTTCGGCAAACTGTGGCTCGCGAGCCACTTGCGGCTCTTTGGCCCCTTGAGTGTGGCTCTTCCACAAAATACCACGGCCTGGGCGAGCCTATTTTGAAGAAGTGGTGTTAGATGAAGCTTAAGTTTAAAAAATGTGGCTCTCAGAGGCATTTCAATCGTCGTACTGTTGATATTTGGCTCTGTGGACTGATGAGTTTGCCGACCACTGAGATAGGAGACTCAGTGGAAACCTATTTTCTTTTCATTAGCCGGGAAATGGACATTTAGAAAGCTAGAAACTTGACCCAATTGAAAAGAAATGGTGGACCTTGAAAATGACTTCAGGCTTTCTCACTGCCCAGAATAGAGTCAAACACTGCTGCAGTTACATATTTTACCCTTTGTTCTCTCTGAGAGACCTACAACATAATAATCCATGATTAAAGATTTATACATACATGTGTACTTATAATCAAATACATCTATTTGTCTTAGAAATTTTTTGAATTTATTAAGTATTAATTGTGTACTTACTTCATGCTCCTAAAAATAATTCAGGGCAGCTTTTAATATTTAAGTATTACATATAAAAAAAGGACATTTTAAAAGATTTAAAAAGAGATAGCAATCCAAACTTCTTTAAAAGAAATTTAATTTCACTAAATCCTAAACTAGGAGCTTCCTGAAAAGCTGAGCAAAAAGATCCCATGAGGAGTCGTACAGTCGTCATTTGAAAAACAGAGAAAGTATGCAGCTCAGCCGGAGCCACGCCCTGCCCTGGCACTGATCCTAATCCCTTCCATGTGATTAGTGCCCACATCTGTCAAGGGGGCTGCGAACTAGGGACAACAGTAACACTGAACAGCATTAGTTTCTGCAGAATTTAAATCATTTTCTTTAAAGCAGAGTTCCTTGTATCTGAAAGGCATCAGACCACCAGGAAGTTGAAAATCTGCAGAAGCTATTTTTCTGGTGATCTAATTCAACATGCAGCGTGAATTCAGATTCAAGAACAGAAACTGAAACTTAAGAGGGTTCTCAAACATTTTTTTGAGCATGACTGGACAGGGAAAACTGGAACTTGGAAAAAAGTGAATGAAGTAAAACACTAACTTTGTCACATGTTAACAGAGCAGTCAGTAAAACGACCCTTCCATTAAGAAAATTATGGAGTCTGCTCTTTATTCCCCCACTCAGAGCTAGGCTACTTCCACACTCAAAAGCAGGCCTTGCCAAAGCCGGTTTGGCTCAGTGGATGGAGCATCGGCCTTCAGACTGAAGGGTCCCAGGTTCGATTCCGATCAGGGGCTTGTACCTAGGTTGCGGGCACATCCCCAGTGGGGGGTGTGCAGGAGGCGGCTGATTGGTGTTTCTCATCGATGTTTCTCTCTATCCCTCTCCCTTCCTCTCGGTAAAGAATCAATATATATTTTTAAAAAGTAGGCCTTTTCTCCAAGTACATGGGCGTTACTCCCATGTAAGAGATAAGCACCACGGGATCTACAACACACGGAGAACGGTGCTGCAGGACACGTCAACAAGAGAGACACGCTTCTGCCGAAACCGGTTTGGCTCAATGGATAGAGCGTCGGCTTGGGGACTGAAGGGTCCCAGGTTCGATTCCAGTCAAGGGCATGTACCTTGGTTGTGGGCATATCCCCAGTAGGGGGTGTGCAAGAGGCAGCTTATCGATGACTCTCATCGATGTTTCTAACTCTCTATCTCTCTCCTTTCCTCTCTGTATAAAATCAATAAAATATATTAAAAAAAAAAAAGATAAGAGAGAGACACACTTCTGTGCTTCCTCTCAGCTGTCATGTGTGTTGTTATGTCACTGAGGACGAAAGGAGCCACATACTAACCTGACAAGCTCAGGGGCGGCCTGCTTGGCAGTCTTTCGAACTCAGAAACCTAAACTAACCACAAAAGATGGTTTGAAAATTAAATATTTAACTACAAACAGGTTATAGTGGGTAGTCAAGTCCTAGGCCGATATTTTCCCTGACAATGATCACCGCAGATCTTTCCTGAGCCCATTTGCCTTTTTGCCTCTAAGATAACTAGTCAGTGAGATGTCCCGGTAACTTATAACTTCCTTTTTTCCCCTGGATCCCTCAGGGCACAACAAAAGGCGCAGGGATATCCCCTCATTGTTATTGTTATCAAGTTAATTGTCAACTGTTAATTGCATTAAAGCATCCTGTACACATCTTTGTAAGAGAAGCACACATCCATCATTTCACCTTTTATCCTATCCCAGATGTTTCCCCGCTTCGCTCTGTCCCACCTCCCTAATCTATCACCAATGAAGTTCATGTAACTCACCTACGTCCCTTCCCTTTGACTGCAATGAATAAATACAGATGTAATCTGCCATTCTCTGGAGCATTATCTCAACTCATTTTTTCGGAGAGGCAGGGAGAGGGACAGAGAGTCAGAAACATCAATGAGAGAGGTTCTGCTTCCCGGCATATGTTGACAGTTTGGCTCAAACTCACAGAAATTCTTTATAGGTTTCAATGTGTGTGTGTGTGTTTTTTTCATTAACATCCCCAAATGTGAATCATCACTGTCCTGATAGGAAGCCCAGCAAATTCTGAATAGGACATATGATCAATTCCCAGGGTAGATCATGAATCCTGTCAAGTTTTTGCCCAACTCGGTTCTTCTGAAAGTATGTTGTGTTAATTTCATGGTATTTTTTAACTGCTTGGAACCATTGCTGAACCATAGAATCAAGTGATAGGACAGAAAAACCACTCCCCAAGCATCAAAAAGAGCTGATGTCATACTGTACAGTGATGTATCCATCACACACCAGAGGCGTAGCTGGAATTTTCCACAGATTTACTCTGGGGACATCATCTCTCACATTAGCTAGCCAGAGTCTTCAAATAACAATCACCTTCTTCTCTTTCCCACCTACACTTCTTGGGGGGGAAATCACCTAGATTCATTTCTTCAGCTCCTCTGCACTCTGGTTTCTACCCTTACTTTGACTAACTGTTTTCAGGGAAGCCCTTCAGAATCTGTTCTACCAAACCCAGCAGGTTCTGCACTCTAAAGCATATGCCAATGCTGGGGACGGGTGGGAAGCAGGCAAAGTGGGATGAACGGGGAGGGAAGGGGACTGTCCTTTGGGTGGTGAGCCCACGATGCAGTGTGCAGAGGATGTGTTACTGAGTTGTCCACTTGAAATTTGTATAGTTTTAACAAATATCATCCCAATAAATCCAATGTTTAAAAATTAAATTTAAAAAAAGAAGGTGGACAATGTTTCTTATGCAGATTAAATTCTTAAATGTGCAAAAGAAAATACTGGCCATGGATTCGTTAGCTAAGACAACACAATTCTCCTTTCAGTTCTTCTCAGTCTCCCTCACAATCTCCTCCTCATTCTGCCTCTGTAAGCTTCCGTTTCCAGGGGTGGCCCTCAGGACTGGAACCTCATTTAGTATCCTCCTTCTGGGTGACCCAACTCAAACCACAGCCTCAGCTACCCTATTTTGAAGTTTCCCAAAGACTGAGAACGTACGTTAAAACTCTTAATGCAATGCTTCACTATAATTCAGCTATTCAATAAATGCCTGCCTAGCCTAGAAGTCCACAAAGATAGTCAATATCCCACTGCACAGTGATCTCTACTCACCGGCCAGGCACCTCAAAGTAAACAGAACAAGAACAAAGTCCTTCCCTTAAATACGGCGTTTCCTATATTCACGGCATCACCACCCTTTAGTTTTCAAACCACTAACCTGGGGATGACCCTGTCCTCTCCCTGAGCCCCCACCTGTCGGGGTTCCAAAGAGTCCACCTCCTCAGTTACATCTGACCTTTGCTCCCCGAGAGACTGCACTGCCTACCTTAAACACGTCCTCATTATTTTTTTTTAATATGTTTTATTGATTTTGTACAGAGAGGAAGGGAGAGCGTGAGCTAGAAACATCAATGAGAGAGTCATCAATCAGCTGCCTCTTGCACACCCCCTACTGGGGATATGCCCACAACCAAGGTACATGCCCTTGACGGGAATCGAACCCGGGTCCCTTCAGTCCCCAAGCCAACACTCTATCCATTGAGCCAAACCGGTCTCGGCACGTCCTCGTTATTTCTCTGGATTATAGAAGAGGCCTAAATGGGATTCTTCTCTTGTTTTGATCCACCACCAAACGCTGCCAAAGGGCAAGAAGACAGCCGGACTTTGAAAGCATAAATGACTCCTCCAGAGGAAGTCATTTGAAGTCTTGGGATCCACCTCACACTTCGGAACTCAGCACATAAGGCCCTGCCTGATCTGGCTTCAGCATCATCTCCCGCCGTGCCGAACCCTCACCTGCTCTCCCGAAAACGCCTCCTGGTGTTCGGCATTCCCTGCCCCTGTGAAGCTCATCCATCTGCCTTGAGCACCCACCCTTCACCCTCTTCCCTGGTTCTGAACCCCGAAAGTACATCAAATTCATCAAAGAAACTAAAAATGAGGGGGTGGGGGGATGATACTACTGATAAAATTCAGATTTAAATTTTTTCAAAGAATTCCATCAGTGATTTTTGAAGGAAAGCCAGATCTGAGAACTATCCATGTGCAACCAACCCATCCCTGAGTGCCGTCCTGTCTGGGGCTGTCTGACCCACACTCTCCCTTCTCCATCATCTCAGGCCTTGGTATGTTTCTAGCACTTCACTTCCACGCTGGGCTGAGCTGTTATTCTCAGCAGTTCTGAATCTGCAGGGCAAGGACTCTTCTGTATGTGCCTTTTCCTTTGGGCACATATTAGGTGACTGAAAAACTGAAAAAATAATACCTGGTCTAATGGCTTACAGAGATGTGAGCCTCTCCGTTGAGATTCCCGGGTGAGGATTTTCTTTCAGATATACCCAGCCTCTGGTCTCAAAAGCACATTTCTGAAATAAAGAAAAAGTAAAAAACCGACTTTCACATCAATCCTGTGAAGGGGGTCCAGAAGTGACCTTTGATGAAAAAGCTCGCTCACAGATCAGACCCCTAGCCTGTGGGCACACAAATACTGCAGAAATGATGCAACTGCGATTCTGACTCGGCGGGGCGGGGCGGGGGACTCCTTTCACTGGGGCCGGCCCCACTCGGAACAGCTGGCAGTCTGTCAGAAGTCCCCCAACCGAGCAAACGCAGGTATGACAGCCCTGGGATCGTCATCTCTAACTCATCTCTCCCTTTAAACGTCAAACTCTTCCTTCTAACCCAAGGGTTCTTTTCCCTTCAAGCCTCGTACCTGCTCCCCTCGGGACCACGCCAACCTTTCGCACGGGAAGTGCGCTGGGCAGGCACGGCTCCTCTACTGCCAATTTAACAACAGGTGGAGCAGGAGCCACTGGAGAGAAGCACCCTCCGACGGGAGAGGCTCCGGGGCAGGAGAAAAGAGGGCGCCCAGAGGACCGAGACTTTCTGCAGCTGGACCCTCTCCCTTGCACCCCGGAGGGCACTACGCGATGCCCAGGCGATTCCGCCCTGTAGACGCGGGAAAGGGGCGGAGAAGGCGGTCCCAGCGCCCGGGACCCCGGGGTGCGGGAGACGGCGGGGGACTATCCCCCGGACACCACGGGGGCGCTTCCGCCAGCGGCGCCGCGACCCTCCTCCAGCCGCCGCGCTCGCGCCGCCCCTCCCCCCGCCGCCCCTCCCCCCGTTAGCCCACCGGCCCCGCGCGCACCCGCCGCGCACCTGCCCACGTGTGCGACCCTCCTCCGAGCCGCCGCTCTCCTCACCTCGCCAGGCCTCGCCGGGCCGCTAGCCCACCTCCATACCTCCGCGCCACAGGCTGGCGAAGGCGGAAGTGCCGGCTGCACCCCGCCAGCCAACCCAACCCACCGGCGCGGCGAGCGGAGGTCCGGCCCCAGCGCGCCGCCCGCCGGCCGCAAGCCCCGCCCCCGCCGCCGCTGTGTTTTGGTGCGTGAGGGGCGGGGCGTGGGGAGCGTGAGGGGCGGAGCGTGGGGAGAGCCGCGCCGTGCTTGGCCCAGCGACACCGATACCTAGCGCTGGCGTCACTTCCGGGCCGCGGGGCCGACCAATCGGGAGCGCCCGCGCAGTGGGGGCGGAGCTAGCCCAGAGGAGGGCACGCGGCCCTGCCCACGGCTTCTCGCCGGGAGGACGCGGCGCGCCTCCCCAGGGCCCGGCGGACCGGCGCCTACCTTTGAGCTTCCGCAGTCCTTCTCCGTCCCCGACGCCTCAGGTGCTGCGGGAGGCCGGACCGCAGGCCGCGGGCCTCGAAGGAGTTTCCCCCCTTGTTTCTGTTTCCGTTAAAGACCTACTCTGCAATCAGCGTGCGTTTGAAGGAAAAGATATCCTCTGGATGACAGAAAAAGGACGCATTAAGTTCTGCAAATTCGGGGAGTCCGTAAACTTTGTATTTCGGTGGCAGGATACACTAAAGGACCGCAGACACACAATACGAGTACCACAGGACAACCGCAAACAGAAGGCCCCACGCGTGTTTTTGAACACCTGCTACGGAGATGGCTGCCGAGGAGCTGCCCCTGGCTTTCACCCTAACGAGGCAGAAGAAACAAACAATGACCAGTACTGACCAGTGCTGCGAAGGAAAGGGCCTCTGGGGCAGGTGTGGCGACGGTCTTACCAGGGCGAACCTCAAGCGAAGACTGAGGAGTGGGCAGCTGAGGACTGGGAGAAAAGGTTCCAGTGAGGGGGCGTGGCTGAGATGACCGTTATGCTAATCTGACGGCCGTTTTGCCAATGGGATGACCGTTATGCTAATCTGACTGCCGTTTAGCCAATGGGATGACCGTTATGCTAATCTGACGACCGTTATGCTAATCTGACAACCGTTATGCTAATCTGACGACCGTTATACTAACGTGGTGACCGTTATGCTAATGTGCCAGGATGGCCCTTGACCTGAGAGCACGAGGCGAAAACCATTCTCCCGGCTTCTAGGCGTTTCCACTCCGGGGAAGAGTGGGGCCGTATTCCGTAGATGTGTTCAAAGGAGAGCGTTAGGAAACTGCTCCCAACAGGAATGCATTCTGATGGGATGTCTGTGGAAGGCTCTGGAAAAGACATACCTGGATGGCTGTCGATAATAAACTTTTAAAAAGATGAGGTGGCGAGAGATGAGCCTCCTGAACCTGTTTGCCTCGATGAGCGTTTTCTCGCGTGTCCTGACACCATTCGTGGCAGCAGATGGGAGGTTACGAAGCGCCCAGCTGCTAGCCAGGGTGGGCAGCAGTACTGTCCTGAGTGCCGAGAGGGCCTTCCCTGGAGACATGCAAATCCAGAAACAGCCGAATGTTAGTTATGTGCCTGTATTTTTAACAATCGGCCATAAAATACGATTTTTGTTGTTTCTAAGGAAAGCGCCAATGAAGGCGGAAAGTGCCCGGGCCCACGGAAAGCAGCCCTTCATCTGGCTCCTGAGCCCCCGGGCCTCCTGATTTCACATCTGTGTCGACGTTGCAAGCAGTATATTAAGCTTCACATGTTTTTTAACAGAATGCATTTTTTTGAAAGTCGCTTTTTCTGCTCTACATTATGTCCAAGGATTGACGCAAGGGACAGTCAGGAATTGTCAAGCCTGAAGCTTAAACGGTTTGAGGATGTGCTTAAAACGACTGCAAAATTAGAAATAAAATCAATATTTATCTGGAATGGCACCAATTACAATTTTTAAATTAAAAAACCTTCCACAAATATTTTAAAAATCCAGACCCCCCCCAAACACACACACATACACACACACACACACACACACACACACACACATATGCTGCAAACACAACTCTATAAAATTTACATATTTTGGCTTCATCTACTCTACCTCAACAATAAGGTTGAAGGTCATTTTTCACAGGAAACACATTGATAATTCTTTTCTCCAGCAAGGCTGATAACATTTTATTGAGTTTATAAAAGCTTCTTTCAAACCGAAACCGGTTTGGCTCAGTGGATAGAGCGTCAGTCTGTGGACTAAGGGGTCCCAGGTTCGATTCCGGTCAAGGGCATGTACATTGGTTGCGGGCACATCCCCGTTAGGAGGTGTGTAGCGGGCAGCTGGTCGATGTTTCTCTCTCATTGATATTTATAGCTCTCTATCCCTCTCCCTTCCTCTCTGTCAAAAATTAATAAAATATATATATATTTTTTTTAAAGTTTCTTTCAAATTAATGATTTTGTTCGGCCATTTCACGTACATTTTTAGAGTTGCCAAATTAAAGAAAAATTCTATCTCTTCCCCACAACTGAACTGGAAGATACCAGAGCACATAAAGCTTCTGGCTTTGTGGCCAAACCTCAACCATTTGAATCATGACACCTTATTACCAGGTTGTCATGTTTAGATCCATGATGTAGGTGTTATATGTCTGGATTTCATGTCAAAACTCCAGTCCTTTTCCCCGTTTGATCACTCCTCATCGTTGACTTGGATCATCAACCATTTCTTTCCCCACTTGAAACGGTTCCCTTCTAATGCGTTGCTGAGTTTTTGTCACACTTTCTATTGACTTCATCATCATTCATCCTCACTTTGGCTTCAGAGTCCACGTTCTATAATTTGCCCAATAAATTACAATTATGGCCGAAACCAGTTTGGTTCAGTGGATATAGCATCGGCCTTTGGACTGAAAGGTCCCAGGTTTGATTCCGGTCAAGGGCATGTATTTGTTTGTGGGCACGTCCCCAAAAGGGGGTGTGCAAGAGGCAGCTGATCGTTGTTTCTAACTCTATCCCTCTCTTCCTCTCTGTAAAAAAATCAATAAAATATATATTTTTTAAAAATACAATTATGCCCAATAAAATACACCCATGCGCCTCCCACCTTCTGGATGCTCCTTCCTTTGCGGCATGTGTCCACCACGCGCTGTTACTCCGGAGTGGGGTGTCGGAAAGGAGTAACCCCACGATTTGTTGATTTGACTCACCTGGTGGCTGTTGGTGGTTTCATGTTTTCTGCTCCTCAGAACCAGCTGTTCCGAGCGTGACTGCCGCGTCTTTTAATGGATGTGCATTTTCATTCACGTAGCCAGGAGTGGAAATTCTGGATTAGCGGAGGTGCGTGTCCCACATCACGGGGACTTGCCATTTCCCAAAGGGCTTCTGGCATCTTCAATCCCCGTCAATGAAGTGCACGCGGCTGTTCACCCCGCAGCCTTGTCCACACTTCCCGTTGTGAATTGTTTACATTGCGGGCCTCCCCGCGGACTAAACCTGTACCTCAAGTGTATTCTCTCGACAGATAATCTGTGGAACATCTAGTCGTGTACTCATTGGGAATGAGTATATCTTTTTTAAAATATATATATTTTATTGATTTTTTTACAGAGAGGAAGAGAGAGGGATAGAGAGTCAGAAACATCGATGAGAGAGACACATCGATCAGCTGCCTCCTGCCCACCCCCACCGGGGATGTCCCCGCAACCAAGGTACATGCCCTTAACCAGAATCGAACCCGGGACCTTTCAGTCCGCAGGCCGACGCTCTATCCACTGAGCCAAACCGGTCTCAACAAGGAATGAGTATATCTTTTATGTGACTCTTTTCTAAAAGGACTCACTGGACTCCTGACCTATGGGCTGCAAGGTAATAATTGTGTGTGGTTTTAAGCCACTAAATTTGTAGTAATTTACGTCAACATGGAATTTTAATCTAGATTTGTTTAAAAATTTTAATTCTGGCCCTGGCCGGTGGCCGGCTCAGTTGGAGCATCGTCCTGTGCAACAAAAGGTTGTGAGTTCCGCCGAGACCGGTTTGGCTCAGTGGATAGAGCGTCGGCCTGCGGACTGAAAGGTCCCAGGTTCGATTCCAGTCAAGGGCATGTACCTTGGTTTTGGGCACATCCCCAGTGGGGGGTGTGCAAGAGGCAGCTGGTCAGTGTTTCTCTCTCATCGACGTTTCTAACTCTCTGTCCCTCTCAATTCCTCTCTGTGTAAAATCAAAAAATATATTTTTTTAAAAAAAGGTTGTGGGTTCGATTTCTGGTTAGAACACGTACCTTTCAGGTTTGATCCCTAGTCATGACAGGTATGGGAGGCAACCAATCAATGTTTCTCACTCTCTCTTCTCTCTCTCAAAATCAATAAAAACATTCTCAGGTGAGGACTAACAATTTTCAAAATTCTGTTTGCCACTGATATAGATTGATTTTTGTATGTTGATCTGGTCTCTAGCAACTTCTCTCAACTGCAATGCATTCTCTATAGATCTTTTGGGTTTCCTCCATTCACATCAAGCCCTGTGGATAGGGCAGTTTTGGGTCTTCAAAACTTGTGGGGGGACCGTGTAGGTCTACTTTCACTTCTTGCTTGACTGCACTGGCAGTAACGCTGCAAAGTGCTCCTCAATCTCAGAATTTCACTTTTCAAAGGAAGTTGGCAGGTTTCTGCAGATACTCATTCTCAGGCTGGGGAAGTGGCTCTCGGTTTTTATGGGATGGATTTGGAATTCATCGAATGCAAATAGTTTTTATTCTTTGTTGACATAGTGGATTACAGTGACGGGCTTCCTTTTTTTCCCCTTAAAAAGTGTTTTATACTGAAACAAACTCACAGACACAGAGGCTGGAGGTTGTCAAAGGGGAAGGAGGAAGGAAGGGGTGGGTGAAAAGGTGAAGGGGTTAAGTACAGATTGGCAGTTACAAATAGTCACAGGGAGGAAATGAAAGCATCAGAAATATAGTCAATGATACTATAATAACTGCATGCTGCCAGGTGGGTCCTGGAAATATGGGGAGACACTTTGTGAGGTATATGATTGTCTAACCACGATGCTGGACACCTAAAACCAAAACAAAGTAAAATAAGAAAAAGTTGTTTTTCAAAAAATATATCTATATTTTTATTGATTTCAGAGAGGAAGGGAGAGGGAGAGAGAAACATCAAGGATGAGATAGAATCATTGATTGGCTGCCTCCTGCACGCCCCCTCCTGGGGAGCGAGCCCACAACCCAGGCATGTGCCCTTGACTGGAATCAAACCCAGGACCTTTCAATCTGCAGGGTCAAACCAGCTGGGGCAAGAACAAGTTTTTGTGTGGGGGGAGGGGAACGGGGCCTGAGAGAGGGCTGGGAAGCTAAGTGATGGAAGACACTAGGACAAACATTCCCCCAAGCAGTGGGAAGGCACGTCCAGGTTTCCGAACAGGGTGGGAATGGGAGCGATGGCGCAGCTGTGGGGAGTCCAGATTGGATAAGGGCTGATGTGTAATTAGCAGGACCTGTGCAATTCAGACAGAGAGGATGCTGCCTGAGACCCGTTAGAGGCAGTGGAGGCAGACGGAGTCCAGGGGTGTTTGCTCAGGGACTGGATGTGGGGGTACCGGGGAGAAGAGGTAGCCTTAAGAAAGGGGGTACTGGCTGAGATGAGAAAGCCTCGAGTTGTGTGGGGACTAAAATGGACTCTGGCCACTGGCTAGGCGGGGAGTGGGCTGGTGTGTTGCTTGCGGAGGCTGAGGAACTGACTGTGGTATGGCTTTCAGGAGAGGATCTGGAGACGGTGCTGGGTTGTGCATCCTTTGGGAAAACAGGCACCAAATCTTACTGCTCACTGCTGCATCTTAGCTCATTGTGCGTGATCAACATACTGCCAGGTGCAGCGGGTTAGCCCAGGACCAGCCGCCACTGCCCGCTGCTTCCTGGTTGCAAGTCTCGTGGCGACCTTCAGTGTTTTGGGGGCTGGGAGAACAGCACAGGTATGCTCTGGGAGGGAGAGCATCCTTTTTTTTTTTTTTACCTTCTCTGCACTGCAGAGTCCCGGCCTCTGTGTTGCATAACAAAGTCTGTAAATGAAAACCCATAGCTAAAAAGCATGCTTATGGAAAAGGGTCACATGACCAGAGATTGGGCCAAGAACTGAAATAATGCCAAGTCGAGACTGTTGGACAACTATTGGCTTTGCCCCTTGGTCTTGTTTCTTCTGAGACAGGTTTCTTTTCTCCTCTTTACCACAGCTCACTTTCTGCATCCTCTTCTCCTTCAGTGCAGGCAGTACTTGCGCTTCCTCCTCCGCCCTTTCACCCTCTACGCGGGGTGGTCCGTTTCATACATACAAACAAATCCGTTTCTCTAGTGGCTTTCTCTCTGTCCATTCTCTTCCCAGCACATCCCAAACCAAAGCCTTGGTTCCCTTGCACCCTCCGCCCTCCTGCACCACCATCCCACACCACCAGCGGCCCCTCCTACATTCTGGATTCTTCGAGGCAAAAAGGTTGTTGGGCTAAAGTAACATCTGTATGGCCAGAGGCGCGCGGGAGACATACGTGAGCGCTATAAAAATCGTTTACCAAGTACACACGTTTATTGGGGCAAAGTCATAGCAGGAATGTAGAGGAGTCACTGCCGCCTCCTCTGTGGTTGCTTCCTCGGTCTATTCACCTCTTCTGCGGAGGGCACCCTTCCTACTGGGTACCACCTCCCGCCGCCATGCAAGTGAGGCTGTGCCAGACCCCAGCTCCAAGGGCCCGCTTCCCGTGCAGTGAGCGCTGAGCCGGGCACCAGCTTCAGTACCAGCATCGGACCAAACCCAGGACCTAGGAGCCACAGGAGGGTCTTTCTTCCTCGGAGTGGGTGTGTGGCTGCTGGAACAGGCTGCAGGCGGCACCCGGGGCCAGGCGTGTGTGAAGAACAATGACGTGGACCCTGGAGAAGCCACACCTGGGTGGCCGAGCAGCTGGATTAGCCCTTAAAGTGAAAAAGGGAAACGCACCTCCCGCTGGGCTTCGCCTTCAGCTGCAGATCCTGATGGCAGCCCATTTTCCGCATCAGCATCAGCATCTAACCTCTATGCTCACAACCCACTGTCCAGAGAAAAACCAGCCCCCTGGGGCATACTTCCTCCCACACATTTAATGGTTCTATATACACAATTTCATGTTTTACTTCTACAAAGTCAAGAAAATATAAGAACTCTGTTAACCAAACCTGTCACCATTTAACATTATTGTACAATTACAACTAGAGGCCAGATGCACAAAATCATACAGGAGTAGGCCTTTCTTCCCCCAGGTGCTCGCACCGGCTGCCTTCTGGCTGTCAGCACCCAGGACCCGGGCATCCCTCGCAGAGGGAGACCCTGCCCACCCGCTGCAGTCTGCTGGTGGATGGCCTGGGCCTCTCTCTCTGGGGCAATCTTGGGGTGATGGCCGGGCCCCTGACCAATTGCATTGCACCCACCTCGGCTGGCCTGGTACCAGTGGGTGTCAGTGTGGTCCCGGATGGTTGTCTGGATGGTCGTTCCACTGTTGGGCCGTTTGGTCAATTTGCATATTATGCTTTTATTATATAGGATATGCCATTCTAGGAATAAACAGCTATTAACCAAGTTTCCTAGGAACATGTGCATGTTTTATTTTGCATGTGATAAAGGAGCCTTTCTCGCACACCAGTTCCATGATCTCTTCAGGTGGAGAAAACAGGCACCAGGTCTGCCTGTCCACAGCTGCATCTTGAACTCTCTGTGCAGACAACCCGAGTGGAGGGTGAAAAGAGGATGCAGGAAGTGAGCTGCAGTAAGAGGGGAAAAGAAACCTGTCTCAGGAGAAACAAGACCAAGGGGCAAAGCCAATGGTTGTCCAACAATCTCCACTTGGCATTATTGCAGTTCCTGGTCATGTGACCCTTTTCCATAGCATGCTTTTTAGCTATGGGTCTTCGTTTCCAGGCTTCATTATGCAACAGAGGCCAGGACTCCAGTGGAGAGAAGGTAAAAAAGGGGGGCTCTCCCTCCCAGAGCATGCCTGTGCCGTTCCCCGGACCTCAAACGCTGAGGGTCCCCACGAGACTTGCAACCAGGGAGCAGCGGGCAGGATCACAGAATAGGTACATTCTTAGGGATCAGATATATATATAAATACTGTTGCTGTAAGTCAGGTCTTTTTAAAAATATATTTTTTTATTGATTTCAGAGAGGAAGGGAGAGGGAGAAAGAGATAAAAACATCAATGAAAAAGAATCATTGATTGGTTGTCTCTTGCACACCCTCTATTGGGAATCAAGTCCACAACCCCTGGGACCTTTAGTCCCCAGGCCGATGCTCTACCCACTGAGCCAAACCGGCGAGGGCAGGATCAGCTATAGTTGACTAGGCTGTCCTCCAAAAGGAACGTGCACTTTCTATCCCATCAACTTGGAGACTGGTATGCTTGACAGAGGAATGCCTGAGGGCAAAATGCTTTCTAAAAAGGAAACACCTTGTGCTTCCTGAGCATTTACTGTGTATTATCCACACCACACTGATCAGGTGCTGGGGATGGGAGATACCAGGACTCCTAACCCGCTCATCTTCCTTCTCCAATGATGGCAGGTCTGGAGAAATGGGGAGCATCACAGATGGATGAAACAACATCACAGCATGATGTTACACAAGTGACATCAATGAGAACACCCGGGCATAGGGGCTGCATCCTGGCACGGACGGCAGCACCCCTGTAACAGGACACTGTCCACCCACATGCTCCTCCGTGCTCCGTCCCGTACACACGTAGCCAGAAGCCTGGCCAGCTGGGTCCTGCTCAGCTGCCCATGGAGACACCTGGGAGACATACAGACGCAGGGGGGAAGAGGGAGGGAGGAGCGTTGTGTTTGGGAGACACACATTCCTGCTGAGGCCGAGTGGCAGGAGGGATGGAACTGCCCGGGCTCCAGACCACTCACTAGGGGAGGAGCACGGGGTGCGCTGGGCCACAGGCCGAGGCGGCTTCCCCTCGGGGCTCATCGCTGGGTATTCGACCTCCCCGTTTGCTCCCCCATCCTGCTTAACAATTCTGTAGCCTAGACCCCGACATTAAAAACTCTGTTTAAAATCAGGAGTGCTTCTGCTTTCCTGACTGCTGGAGACTCCGGTAGGCACGAGTGTGCCCAACACGCACGTGGCACCTTCCACGTCCAGCAAAGCCAGTTTTCTGGAAGCAACGGAAGGAAGCGCTGGCTTTCCCCGCAGCTGACCCCACATGAACTCGGCGGCTGGCTCCGAGGGGCATCCTGTATGAAAAATGCACATCTTCAAACCGGCACACCACCAGGAAGACCAGCTGGGCACCTGTGCCCTGTGCATGAGAACGGAAACCAGGCTGCGGGCACACACACCCACAACTTCCTTCCAGCGCTCATGTGCACCTCACCGCCGAGAACACAGACGTAAACAAGTGAAGAGCAGAGGCCAAGGTGTCACTCTGCCGCTGCCACACAGCGAATGTTTACACGCCGCGCCCACCTCTGCTGCCCTGGGGGCTCGGGTCCCGGGTTCCACAGAAACCACACTTGTTTGCCATCCAACAGATGTGTTAAGTCAATTCACATGTTCCTCCTCCTTTTCACAGGGAAACACACGCATCAGCCAATGAGAGTCGTTCTCAATGCTCCACCGGGAGGTCGTCACCCTCACGCCTCCTGTGACCACGGCATCGCCTATCCAGCCGCCGCGCGGAGAGAGAGCAGCTTGCTGACACTCGATGTGACACAGCCAAACCCAGAAAGCACAGGAGGATCCCTCCTAGCTCCGCCCGCCTCCGTCCTCCTCCTCCTCCTCCTCCTCGCTGTCGTCGCAGTGGAAAATGTCCCTCAACAGGAAGACACGCCGGGGCGCAGTGGGAGGGGGTGCCGCGGGAGGGGGCGCCGTGCCTCTCTTCTCCGCCTTCTCCAGCTTCTCTCTGAGCAAAGGCAGACTCGTCTCGTAAAGGTAGTCTATGATCTCTAAAGAGAAAGATTGACCTTTGAAGTGATTTGTGCAAAGCCTCTTCCCAAGGTCAAGGGTCAGAGGGCATTGCTGACACGCCTGCTCAGTGCTGTTCTCATGGGCAAGACCCTGTTCTCACTGGTTTGCTTCCATTCGCTCACTCAACCCTCTCAACACCCCTGAGGCAGGCCCGCTATCTGTTTCTCAAACGAGGGCACCCAGGCTCCTGAGACGTCAGGGACTCAGTCGGGATGAGGCCAGGGTTCATCCCAGGGAATGGTGCCTGCTGAATGCACGCGGTTCCTCACATGCCCGGGCAGAGTAGCACCCGAGCCAGTGGTCTCCAGACACGGGGCAGGGCAGCCACTGCAGGCCTGTCCGGGAGATCCAGCCCCGAACGCCTGGTGATGAGCATCCTGCAGGTCTGGATGGGCCGCTATGCCCCTCACATGACTCTAATGACCTGGGTCTGGGAATCATATATCTATCCACCCACAGGTGGCTGCAAAGAAGGAAGTGGCTTCTTATGTTTTTCCTAAAAGTGTATGTGCACGTGGTGGATTGAGTGTGTGCATGCAGTGTGTGTGTGTGTGTGTGTGTGTGCACACAGGGTGAGTGTGTGCACGTGATGGCAACCCAGGAGCCCTCACGAGCATTCAAAGTGCTCGTGAAGCCCTGAGCACCCTGCTGACCACATCGCCAGGTCGCTATCTCCTCAGCCCTGCAGGTCCTGTCGGGCAGGGCTGATGGCGCTCACTGTCTCCATTTGATGACTGGAGCGGAGGCTCTCGAGGGAAATCCCTGCCAGGGGCACGCCCAGCACGCAGCACCACACCGTTCTCAACACTCACCCGCTGCACATACTGACCTGGAAAAGTCTTCCTCTGCCACAAGGGAACGCAGGTGGCTTTCAGCTTGTAAAACTTAGCTTGGACGTAAGACGGAGGAACATCTCTTTAGGAAGGAAAGGGGAAAGGTTAGTGTCAGTCTGAAACCTGATCGTTTCAGCTCTGAGAACTAACCGCAGTGACTGAGGGGAGGCCTAGACCTGAGTCAGGAGGTTTCCTCCCCTTGAACGTGAAGTCATCAGGACCAGAGCAGTAATACAAGGAAGACACACGGGAAGCTGCGATCCCTGGTTACACACACACAGAAGGAAGAAAGCCAGCAGTACAAGATGGGTTCTGTTTAGACTGGAATAATCTAAGGTACCAGCTGGGAAGACAAAATACCAGGTGTACCGGTTAATAATGCGGATTTTGTCATCAAAGAAAACACGATAATTTCAAGAGAAACATCAAAAGTGCTTTATTCAAAGTAATATCCATCGCTAGCTACACATTTCCCTATCTTTCAGGTAATTTGTTGATACCGTCCCAATAGAACTTTTCTTGTTTTGAGGCAAACCATTCAGAAACCCAATTTTCCACTTCTATGTTTTGAGGTGCTGCTCAGAAAGTGTGTGTGCCATTGATTGGAACAAGTGGTAATCTGAAGAAGGTCTGGTGAATATGGCAGGTGGGTTCATACTTCCCAGGTAAGATCTTTTAATGTGTCTTTAACTGGTATTGAAGTGTGTGATGGTGCGTCATCATGATGCAAAATTACTCTGCCATGTCTTCTGGCCCATTCTGGTCGTTTCATGATCAAAGCGTGGTTCAAATCTCACCAAACGCAGAGCATTGTATTCTTTCCGAAGCAATTTGACCTTGCAGTCGATGTTGATGTTTGACCTGGATCAACCCATGATTTTGTGCGTTTGGAATTCTCAACATAAATCCATTTCTCATCACCAGTCACAACTGGATGCAAAAAAGACTTTTTTTTGTGCCACTGAAGCAACATTTTACTGACAACTTTCTGTTTTCCACTTGTCTTTCATTCAGGTGATGTGGCATCCATTTTCCTTCCTTTAAAATCTTTCCCGTTGCTTGTAAACAATCGGAAATTGTTTGCTGAGCAACGTTCAATCTTTCTGCAGGTTATTTTTGAGTTTGACACACTTCTTTACCCAATAATGCTTGTAATTGTTGGCCTTCAAACTTTTTCGGTTGACCCGGACGTTCTTTGTCTTTCACATCAAAACATGATTGTGTTTAAACCAGCGTTCACAAGTATCTTGAGATGGAGCATGTTCACCATAAGCTTCCCAAAGTATATGATAACTTCCAGCAGCACTTTTCTTCAAAATAAAGTAGTGAATTAAAACTTCCTGCAAATGCTCATTTTTTGGCACAAAATTTGACATTTTTAAGCATAAAAATATCCATGATGTTAACACCTTCAGAAAATTTGACATATGAAGTTTTGAAGCTTGTCAATACAAGATGACATACATATCAAATCGCATATATGTCAACATATGGGCAACTCCAGCTATTGAAAAAAAATCCGCATTATTAACCGGTACAGCTGGTATAACACGAGCCAGCATGTGCCGTCGCTCACTTTGGACTTGGCACTGCCCTCAGCACTTCCCATGCAGCAACCAACAAGCCTCATGGCCATTATACCAGGGAGCCACTACTCTTCCTCCTCATTTTAGAGACGGGGAAACTGAGGCACAGAGAAGTCCAAGATCTCACAGCTAATAAAGGGCAAGCAGGGACACTTGGGTGATTTAATTCCAAATTCTACCCTCTTCCCCATTACGCTTAGGTTATATACTGGTCACCACTGGAAAGCACGGGGCCCTGATTTTTTTTTTTTTTAAAGCTAAAAGAGCAGATGCTGATGATGTCTTGGTGACCCAAATAACCTTGAACTTTATAGGAAGTAAGACTGAAACAACCAAATCTTAGTTTCTAAAGTGAAAATCACTAACTTCACTGCCTGGACAATTTTTCTTAAACAATGAAAGTATGACTTATTTGTTTCAATAATTAATCTAGCAGTTAAGGTGGTTAGGGTGATAATTTTATCTGTTAAGCATGTAGAGGCAAACAATGATTGGGTCCCGGGTTCGATTCTGGTCAGGGGCATGTACTGTGTTTGCAGTTTTCAAGGCCCTGATGGGGTGTATGAAGGAGGCAACCAATCTATGTTTTTCTCTGTCTCTCCCTCTCCCTTCCACTCTCTCTAGAAATCAATGGAAAAATATACCCTTAGGTGAGGATTAATAAAAAAAAACGGTTTGATAACATGAAGGGCAGGCTTTGTGGCACTCCCCCTGTGGGAGAACACTGACCACCAGGGGGAAGCTCCGGAGCTGAGCGTCTGCACCCTGGTTGTCAGCATGCATCATAGCAACCGGTCGTTCTGCCATTCAGTCAATTTGCATATTGGCCTTTTATTATATAGGATGGACTTACCCTATGGTACTAGCAAGATCTTCCCAGTCTATTTCATTAGCATCTTCCACATTTATTTCATACAACCTATGAGAAAACAAATATTCAGTTTTCAAGCCCGCTGCTGTTCTCAGGGCCAGGGCAGTGATAAGGGCAACGCCACTCCCGGGGGCCGTACCTCTCAATCAGGCTGATTTTGGCCTGAAGGGCGTTCACCCCGCGGTACACATCCCGGCCATTCGTCATCCTCTTGGTGAGAATTTCTGTCCTGCATTCACAGAAAGAGCAGTGTAGTTGTCACTGTCAGAGGTGCAGTTTCCGTTCAAGCTACCTGTATTCTTCTCAGCTAAACTCCCTCCTCAGCACCACTTTCCAACTACTGTACCTCATCCCCACCCACATCTGCCACCATCCACCGTGTTAGAAAATTGCCATAATAAACAAATTTAAAAGGGGGAAGCAGGCCTCTCAGCAGCTGCTAGAGGGCGCTGTGGCACTTGGTTTAGTTGCTCGTAAACAGAGGGACACTGCTCTACTGTGAGCAGCTGCCTGAAAACCAACGGAGACAAATTTAGCAAAGTGATGAATGATCTGATGGCTCCTCCAAGGCCCAAAGCCAATGGCTGAAGGAAAGGGGGAAGTTCCTAAGGAGAGGAGCAGCCCACTGTAAAATATTTAAAAAGTCCTTGTCTTGCACAGCACGATGTGTCACCACCTGATGGACATGGCAGCCATTCCCTTCACCTCCTTGCTAAGGAAGAGATGTGGTAATGACACTGGTGTTTTAACAGCCACTCACGTACACTGGTTTGAAGTGTGTCATTTGAGGTCATGTCATGACATGTTACATGAAGTCAATGTATGTTCCGGCTACAAGTGCTTTTTCCTTCAGATTGAGAAGCAAAGCAAGTCTTGCACATTATTTAGTCATTCAACAGCCTCAGTGACTTGTGAGGACAGACAGTGAATCGGGCCACTCAAGTGCCACCTTGAACCCGATGCCGGCACTGAGGGAGCCGAAGCAGCCAAGGAACAGCAATTCTCACCACGGAAGGCTTCCCACCTGGTGCCACCACGTGTTCTTAAACCTCACCCATCCACCCAGCCTCCGGGAACTGTGTGCGCGCGGAGCTGGGGAGGGGGAGGAGAGAGCAGGTCTTGTTGAAATTTGCATAAGCCGCCTTAAAACTTACCACTTACTTTTACACTGCATCCAGTTTCTGGTTCCGACTTTGGCTTCGACTTCCACCCAAGATATGCCCTTGTAGAGTCTTTCCCGGACAACGGCCAGGCAGCCTTCGGGGTTCTCCTGGAGCCTGGAATCTACCTCGTCTAAGTCCCGGGGAGACATCGTCTTTAGAATCACTTCTTCCACGGCTTTGATTAGTCTCTGGGTTTCCGTCTTACTCCAAGCACCGTGGTTTCTTTCTGTAGATAAATACAAAAAAAAGCCAACGGCTCTCTCAGGGACAGGCTCCAACAGCCCAGCGTACTGGCTCCTCCGCTACCCGGGCGAGCCCCCCGCGGGCGGGAGCCCACACCCACCGCTGCTGATCTGGGAGAACTTCAGGGCGACCGAGAGGCTGCTTCGAGCCACCAAATCCCCGATCTTCTTCCAGTCGTTGCCGTGGAGGGAGTGGTATATCTTCAGCTTCTCCATATCCCCTTTGCTGTACCTGCGACAAAGGGAACGTCACAATTTCCTTTTCATTTTATTTACTTATTTAAAGGGATAGAGAGTTAGAAACATCGATGAGAGAGAATCATCCATCAGCTGCCTCTTGCACACCCCTTTCTGGGGATGTGCCCGCAACCAAGGTACATGCCCTTGACTGGAATCGAACCTGGAACCCTTGAGTCCGCAGGCCGATGCTCTATCCACTGAGCCAAACCAGTCTTGGCTTCCTTTTCATTTTAAAACTTATTCGTTAGGCGAAATTCACACGTAACATTAACCTCCACCTTCCGATATTAACGCGACCCGAGACCTGGGCGCCGTGCTCAGGGAGGCTGCCTGAGAGGGACGTCGGGGCTCATGAGGAGCTTATAGTCAGCAGAGCAGACTTGCAGAGCACAGCGAGTGTGGGAATGAGAGCGTAAAGGAAGGTAGGAGGCCCAGCCTGTGTGGCTCAGTGGTTGAGCATCGACCTATGAACCATGGTACGATCCCTGGTCAGGGCATTGTGGGCTCAATCCCTGGTAGGTGGCGTGTAGGAGGCAGCCGATCAATAATTCTCATCACTGATGTTTCTATCTCTCTCTCTCTCCTTCTCCCTTCCTCTTTGAAATCAATTAAAAAAAATTTTTTTTAAACAAAGGAAAAGCAGAAGATACAGAGGGGAGACCACACAGGTGCGAGTTGGAGATGGAAATGAAGACATCCCCTGACCGCAGTGCACGCCTGCTGTCAGTCTGCTGGCCGGACCCTGGACCTGGTGTCGGGGTCAGCAAAGGCCAGAGAGACGTGTCCCGCCGTTGACACGCTTACCTGCCTTTGTAGTTATTGACGTCAAACATCTTCTTGGCTCGGTAGTACACGAGTTTCCAGGGCCGGGCGATGCCCTTCCCTAAGCCAGAGAGAGACGGTCAGCGGGCTCACGGGGGGCATGAGGTGGTCACGGGGCGGAGGGGCCCAGAGCCCTTTAACACTAGCTGTCCTGGACCTGGGCAAGGCTGGGGTGCTGGGCCTGCGGGAAGCTGGGAAGCGGATGTACATAATCCCCCGTTGCCTTGGAGACCTCTGAAAACCGGACACTTTGTATGTGGCTCCAGCTCTGGCCTCCCCAGTTCTCAGAAAAGACCCTCATAAGGCAAAGTAATGCTGACGGAATGTGAATCAGAGGGAGGCCAGCGGGGACACTGCCAGCAGTTCTGCATACGAACTCTCCAACGAGTACGCCTGCCTTCTCCCTGAGCAGTGAAACTGCCCTCCACAGGGCTCGCTCGGTCGCTTTCCTGGCACATCCCAGCACAACCCTCGGAAATTAGCTCCTTTAGGTTTGAGAGGGGTTTTCAGGCCCATGTTATGGCTTCATGCTTGATTTCCAAGTGTCACCTCCAGGAGGGTGCCAGCTACGGTGACCACACACACACACACACACACCAGGTCCTCAGAGGTGTACACACACACACACACACACACACACACACACTGCTGCACTGAAAATGCTCAGGAGACCCTGCTGCCTCCTGGAGGTGCTGGTGCAGTAAATGCAAAACATACACCGCGAAGAACAGGAAGGGAAACCAAAACCTAATTGTTACCCAGCAAGGAAGCCAGAGGTTGAGGTTGGCCAGTTCATTCTTTTTTTTTTTTAAATATATTTTATTGATTTTTTACAAAGAAGAGAGAGTGATAGAAAGTTAGAAACATCGATGAGAGAGGATCATCAATCAGCTGCCTCTTGCACACCCCCTACTGGGGATGTGCCCATAACCAAGGTACATGCCCCGACCGGAACCGAACCTGGGACCTTTCAGTCCGCAGGCCGACACTCTATCCACTGAGCCAGACCAGTTTCGGCAGCCAGTTCATTCTTCCTAGAATCTGTGAAGCCTGTGCCTAGGAGGCACGAGCACGTTCCTGACCCCAGACAGGCTGCCAATGAGACACAGGTCCCCACGGCAGCACCACCAGCACCAGGGCCGGCGCCGGCTGAGTGCTCACAGGGTCGCGCCAAGGTGGGAGCCGAGGGCAGCAGAGCGAACGCCTGAACTCACCGATGTGCAACCGAAATGCGTACTTCCTCTTTAGGTTGGTGATGGCGGCTTTCTCCTCCGGGTACCTGTCCGTGTGCAGCAGCTTGTCGGCGTTCTCGATTCCCGTCAAGGACAGAAATTCTTGCACGTTTTTCTCTAACTGCTGATTTTCCTTCACAGAAAACTTGCCAAATTTAATGGCGACACCTAGGGTTTGGGGAGGGAGGAAAGGTGTATGTTGTCAGTAATGAGTACGGGCAAACCTCGCAGGCACTCCTCAGCAAGGACAACGCAGGGACCCACCACCCGTCCCCGCGCCAGCCCGTCCCCGCCTGGCGGGTGTGCAGGAGCTGGGCCTCCGGTCCCGCTGTGGAACCCAATTTCCTTCTGCAGCTCATTCTTAAGTCCAGGCGGCTTCCTGGGGGCGCTTGTCACACAGTGAGATCAAGGAGACCAAGCTGGGCTTGTCTGGCCCCAGCCCATCCCCCGCTCACCCCCAGTTAATGTCTCACGGACAGAAATGACACCCGTGGAAGCTGAGGAGTTAGTGTTTACTGCACTTCCGTATCCTTCCCAGGCCACGGCCGATTCCTCCTCCTCCTCCCCTTCCTTCAGGATGACCTTGTCTGTGGGTGACCTGGTCCCTGAAGCCAGTCCTCCCTGCCTCCCTGGCCAGCTGGGCAAAGGGGAAACCCGTGCACGTCACTGGTTCCATTTCAGTCAGACAACTCTGGGTGGATGATGTACTATTAAGAACACTTGAAACCCATTCTTATGTACCAAGGAAACCCTGACAAATTCAACGTAAAAAGAAACTCTGGATGGAGATACAGCCGCCGTGGCTGGGGGATGGCCACGGGGAATCTGTGAATCCGAGCCGCTCACAGAAGCCGGGCTGGCGGTGCTTCGGGCGTTCAGCAGCACGAGGTGCCCCCCAGCTCACCCTGTGCCTTGAACTCCTGGAACCGACCCAAGTCGTCCCGGTACATGCGCTTAATCGTGGCGGCGGCCCTCGCCCCGATGCCGGGGATGAACTCCCGGAGCTGCCTCACGGCGGAGGCCAGGTCCACGTCCGCATCGTCTGCGGCTCTCCAGTCTTTGGACAGATACTGCGCCTCGCCATCTCGGGCCGAATCCAAGTTGCTTTCTTCATCGGGAGCTCCTAACCTAAGAGGGAAATTGGATCGATTTGCACTGAGACGTCACTTAGCTTTTGTTTTTTAAATGCTTTTATTGATTTTTATAGAGAAGGGAGAGGCAGAGACAGAAACACTGATGAGAGGGGAGCATCATCCATCTGCTGCCTCCTGCACGCCCCCTACTGGGCCATCAAGCCTGCAACTCAAGCATGTGCCCTGACTGGGAATCAAACCAATAACCTCTTGATTCCTGGGTTGATGCTTAACTGCTGAGCCACACCGACTGGTAGTTTTTTAATTCTTTTCCTGAAGTGACTCACTTCGATAAGAGGTAGTTCAGTGGGGGATGTCTGGACTCGCGGAGTACCTAACTTGGATTCATCCTCCAGAAGTACCTACAAGGCAGACGTGGCACCCTAAGCCGTTTCCACCAGAGATTACTTCTTATAGTCCTATTTCTCAATTATTGTTGTTTTATTTAATTCCTAACAGGCTAGGTCCTCTCTTCCCCCATGGACGCCCAAGATGCCTCTAACCCTTACAATATTAAGTTTTATAATAATGTTATTAGTGAAATCATCCAGGGTTTCCATGGTTACAGTTATTTTTGCTGTGGTCAGTAATGGCCTCATTTATCTTTGCTTGGTTTTCTATGAATAAATCACTCACTAATTCATCCCCAAACTCTCTGCCAGATGTTCAAATCTTTTCATATGTTCAACTGTATCAACTAAATGCTCAGACAGGAAACTGGGAAAAAATGGTGTGCATTTGTCTAAGAAAAGGATCAACAGTTTTAGGGGCACATGGCCCAATATAAGTTAAAAACCACAGTCCTAGTCCAGCTAGTGTGGCTCAGTGGTTGAGCGTCCACCCATGAACCAAGAAGTAACTGGTTTGCTTCCCAGTCAGGTCACAGGCCATGGTTACTGGTTCAATCCCCAGTAGGGGGCATGCAAGAGGCAGCCGATGGATGTTTCTCATCAATGTTTCTAACTCTCTGTCCCCCTCCCTTCCTCTCTCTCTCTCTCTGAAAGCAATAAAAATATATTTTAAAAAAGAGAAAGAACCATAGTCCTAGACCATTCCTGCCGGGTAAGAGGCCCAGAGGATGACTTGAGCATGGCCACAACTGTTCCCAGCACCACCCGCGGCGGGCCTCTCTCATGTCACTGTGGTGGAACTTTGCTAAGCCAGGACAACGTAGCAAATGTAAGAAAGCCACTGAGTAAACTTTGGGGGTTGGGGGAATCTGTCCCAAGTCCCAGAAACTGAGCGTTGAAGTGGTTAAAAAAAGAAATCCCTGCTTTTATTCATTTGACACTATCCTCAAATGATACTTATGTAACTAATATTAACATTTCTTTTCTTAGACCCTAATTCAAGTTTTTCCCTGCTCAGTAACATTACAGGTCATCTCTTCCTTTCTTCTATCTACTGCAAAGAGAGACCGGTGATCTGGGTCATCAATGCCGTCAGTCAGTTACAGAATTTCAGGCTGGAAGAGTTCTCAGCGCAAAGCTCATCTCCCTGCCCGTTACATGTGCAGAAAGGAAGCTGCCTGCACGCCACATGGCTGAACGGCACGAGTCCTGCCCATTTTGTGTCCACCTCGGGGAGGCCTGCCATTCCCGTGGACGTGCTACCAGAGGCCCAGACCCAGACCCAGACGGAGGAGGGCACCCCCATAGGCCCAGCAGTTACCTCGGCGCTTCCGGACACGCCTGGCTCTCCTCCTCTCGGGGCCGGGGTGTCGCACTCGCCTCCATCGAGGAAGCGTTACCTTCCAGTGAGGCAAGCTGCGGGTCCTCAAAGCTGGTGGGGAGCCCCGAGGGAGCACTGTCCACGGGAGACCTCCGCCTCCTTTTCTTGGCCTTTTTCTTTAATCTGCAGGGGTCCCCTGTGCCTTCCACAGTCCCTGGGCCAGGGAGCACCTGCGGCCCCTCGGAGTCCGCGGTCCCAGGACTCTCACAGCCCCGGCGGTGTGAAGCCTTCCTCTTCCTTTTCCCAGGCTTCTTTTCGTGAGCAGCGCCTGGCGGCTGTGTGATGGGGCCTCCCGGGCCCGCAGGAAGCGGGGACTCCGGCTGGGGCAGGACGCTGGCAGCCGGGCCTGGCCCCCCCAGCCCAGCATCGCAGGACGCAGCTTCCCGCCGCCGCTTCTTCTTCTTTTTCCCCCTGACTTGATCGCGCGGCTCTTCCCATCGCTTCGTAACTGCGGGCGACTGGTCTGCTTCGGGCTCTCCGACTGCCTCTTGCTCCCCGCCCTTGTCAATATAAACGATGTCAACATCCCTTCTGAAGTTCTTCGGCATGTTCTCGATGTTTTCTTTATCCACTGTGACATACACGCCCGTCCCGTCCTGTATCCCCAAAGCTCTCTTCTTCTTCCTCTTCCTGGCCGGAGAAGGGGCCTCTGCCGCCTCCTCACTGAGTTCCGATGTTTTCAAAGGAGCAGCGGCGAGAAGCTGGCGGTCCTTCCTCTTCTGCCCCCTCTTCGTTTGGTGAGCGTGCTCGCTCACCAGGGGGGCATCTCGGGAACTCTCATGGGCATGAAGGCGATGTCTGTACTTCTTCTTCTTGTCAAAAACCGGACTGTGGATGTCCAATCCGCTCCATTCGCCTTCCATTTTACTCCTGGAGGGAAACTTGAAAACAATGGCTTATTTGCAAAGCATCTTACACATTAGCCTCAGGAGAAAAACACAATCACAGAAGATGAAATGGCATGGCAAGTGACAAGCTGGAATCTTGACTATCGGTCGCATGCTATTCTACGTGCTCAGCAGGCTCATGGCACCCCTCTGCCTGCTCCCACTGCCGCATGCTCCCCACAGCGTCACCTTTTACCTCTCCTTCCACCTCCGTGCTCCGGCCACACATGCCCTCTCCTGGTCCCGCAAACATGCCGCCATCCTCCTCTTGGCTCCAGGTCTGACAGCACCCGGGGGCAGCTCCTACATTAAGCGTCTGCCCTCTGGTGGTCAGTGCAAGTCATAGTGACCGGTCGTTCTGCCGTTTGGTTTATTTACAGGTTAGCCTTTTATTTATAGGATTGGAGTTGGAAGGAGAGATAAAAGGATGCACCCATCCTCTCCCCTCAAGTCCATCCTTTCCTCCCCTCACAGCAGCATCTCTCTTTTTTAAAAAAAAAAAAATATATTTTATTGATTTTTTACAGAGAGGAAGAGGGATAGAGAGTTAGAAACATCGATGAACAAGAATCATGGATCAGCTGCCTCTTGCACATCCCCCACTGGGGATGTGCCAGCAACCAAGGTACATGGCCTTGACAAGAATCGAACCTGGAACCTTTCAGTCCGCAGGCCAACGCTCTACCACTGAGCCACACCGGTTTTGGCACAGCAGCATCTCTTGAGAGAAACTGCTCTGTCCATTTCCTCACTTCCATCCACCTCTCAGCCCTGGTCCTTGTCGCTCCCACCCTCCTCCTCCCTAGCTTCTGGTCAGAGTGCCAGGGCTTCTGCCCTACATCCCACAGGCACCTTCCTGGCCCTCTTTCAGGCCTCTTCCTAGCAACGCCCAGAGCAGAGGATGCCACGGAACACTCTACTTTCCATCCGTTTCTTTCTTTTGTGTGAATACCCAAGTCTCTCCCTCTGGTGGCTTGAATTCAACGCTACCTTTTAAATATAGTCACTTCCGGCCAAGACCGGTTTGGCTCAATGGATAGAGCGTCGGCTTGGGGACTGAAGGGTCCCGGGTTCGATTCCGGTCAAGGGCATGTACCTTGGTTGCGGGCACATCCCCAGTAGGGGGTGTGCAAGAGGCAGCTGATCGATGACTCTCTCTCGTCGATGTTTCTAACTCGCTATCTCTCTCCCTTCCTCTCTGTACAAAATCAATAAAAAATATATTTTTTTAAAAAAAATAAAATAAATAAATATAGTCACTTCCGGCTACAGCCACGGGAAGGTTTTCCGTTATTCTTAAGATCAAGTCCCCAAACTTTCCAGCCCGGCCCGGCCCACCTCTCCAGCTCCCCCTCCCTCCATGGGAACACACCGGAGCCTCTCCACCCGCCGGGCTTGGCACCGGCAGCCCGTCCTCCCGGGAGCGCGCTGCCTCCGCCTTACCTCGGGTCCAGGGTCCGAAAGTCCCCCAGGAGGCCGCCCGCGCCCCACCCGCTCCCGCTCCCGCCCCGCGCCCGCCGCGCGGCCCAACCGCCGCCGCCTCCCCGCGCCCGCGGCTCCGCGGGGCCGTGTTCGGCGCCTCGGGGACGAGCGGATTCGCGTTTCTGTCCCCGTCTGCCAGCCGCCCGTCCCCGCCCCCGCCGCCGGGCAGGAGGAGTCCGCCCCGGGGCCCACCCGGCCCCCTTCGGCGCCGAGGCCCCGGGCTCCCGCGCGAGGGGCCGGCGCGGCCGCGCGGAACGGGCGCCGCGCACCCCGGGGCCCGGCCGCGCCTCCCGAGCAACGACCACCGCCTCGGGGCCCACACGCGCGGCTCAAACACCCGGAACCAAACCCGCTCTCTACCTGCAGGCCCGGAGCGCCGCCGCCTTCCTCCCGACCCGGAAGTGCCGCTGTGGCGGAAGCGGAAGTGGCCACGTCACTTCCGGTCCCGCTAGGCAGCCCGCTGCCACGCTGACCTGCTGGCAGCTGGAGCGTCTGGGACAGAGGCGTGGTCTCTGCCCATTCTGTCCCGGGGCTGGGGGAGGAGAGAGCGGGGCCCTAAAACTAAGAAGTTGGGGCGGAATTCTTCCATGGGCTGGCAATTCATGCCTGCATTCCTTTTTAAAAAAAAGATTTTAATTCCTAGAATGCAGAATAACGGGTATGTATGGTGCCAATGACTTCATGCATCCCATTAACTTAATGATTTCTGCTGAGCTCCATCCGCAGTCCCAGCGTGAAGGTGGTGAGGGTCCGCACCCGAGGAAGACAGATAAACAAACCGACCAAGACCGCTCCCGGTTCCCTGTGAGGAAAGGGGAGCACCTGGGGACCCTGCCTGCTGCTGAGATGGAAGGGAAGGCCCTTGGAGGAGGCACGTTTTGAGAGTTCTGAGTGAAAAGGGGCGCAGACCTGGAGGGGAGAGGGCTCCAGGCTGGAGGCAAATACTGAGACCCTGAGCCTGGTTGCGGGAGGAGGCAGGAAGGCGGGCAGCTGGGCCGCAGTGAGTGGGAGAGTGGTAGGAGATGACCTCAGCCGAGGGCAGGGGCCGGCTGCTGCAGGGTCTGACGTAGGTAGAGTGCTTCCAGGAGGCAGAAAGAGCCTTCCAAACCTATTCCAGTCCTCCCATTTCAACCGAGTCCTGAAGAAACGTAGCTGGCATTAAGTGTGACGCTTTAACCAGACCATCGAGTTAAGGCCAGGACACGTGCACCGCTCAAGTTGTTAGCCTTGCTGCATAGGGAACATAGCCACGCTGACACCTGTCTTCTCGTTTAACCCTGTTCAGGTGTCACTGGCCTCCCCTTGTGGGTGAGAATCGAGGGCTTTCATGTGACTTGTCCAAGAGGACTTACGTGGCTCCTCCACAACTCCATTCTCCTGCCTCTCCCGACACCACCTGTGTGAGCTGCCGAGTGGCTTTGATGGGACCACGTGTCTGTGGAAGTCCGGAGGTGAAGCGGTCGGAGAAACCCAGCACACATCACACCCACCCACAGGTGGCCGCCCCAGGCTGCTGCCCGCCCCGGAGAGCAGTGGGAGCTGTCTGGCCTGCTCCGGAAATACTGTTGGTGTCCCGAAGCATGGTAGCGATCATCTCAGGTAGAAACTAGAGTTTATTTATTTTTAATATATTTTATTGATTTTTTTTTACAGAGAGGAAGAGAGAGGGAGAGAGAGTTAGAAACATCTATGAGAGAGAATCATCGATCAGCTGCCTCTTGCACACCCCCTACTGGGGATGTGCCCGCAATCAAGGTACATGCCCTTGACCGGAATCGAACCTGGGACCTTTCAGTCCGCAGGCAGATGCTCTATCCACTGAGCCAAACCAGTTTCGGTAGAAACTGCAGTTTAACTTGAACCCTGCTGTTTTGGCTTCTGTATTTATTTGCTAAAATAATAGAAAAGTTCCTTTGATTTTTGAACTTATGTAGGTTATCCCATTCGATGGAATACTCCATTGTCTGTGGTTTGAATATCCTGTTGACTGTGATCTTACTGGTCATTGGAAACACGTCCTTCTGCACCTGGAGACCAGGACAGCACAGGTACTCTGAGCTGCCTCAGTGGCTCCAGAGAATGTGTTTCTGCTGACTCAGTGGTCCCAAGACCCGAAACTAGAATTAATCTTTGTAGATAACTAACTTGTTCAATTTAGCTTCTGTAACTGCTTTTTGCAAACCAGGTTCCTCATTCCAAACCTAAAGATGTAATCAATACCTTTGTGATACCTGCCTCTAGAAGCCTGATGTTGCCACCATTTCGGGGCTGGGAGATTTGGAGACATTACTCCCTCTCAGTCGCCGATTGTTGATTAAACGGCTCATTAGTTTGGTCTAGTAATTACTCTCAGGGTACCTTACAGTAGTCCATGGTTGGCATGGAAGCCGTGAGGTGTAGGTCCGTGGTTGTGAAGCTTGCTCCATGGTGAACTCCTCACGCTGAGCCTTGTGGATAGTTGAGGAGTTACCGATGATAATGGTGGGGGAATAAACCCACTAAAGGTTGGAACTAGAAGACAGACGAGAGGTCCTCCAGGTTAGTGGCCCCAAAAACACTGCACCAGTCACCTGGGCAGCTAGTAGAAAAGTGCAGATCTCACTTTGCATACGGACTGCATGTGAGGCACCATAATAAATAGCATTGCATAAAAGTCATAATAATGACATTATAGTTACGTGTGAGAATCTCTTTGTTCTTGGCAGATACATGCTGAAGTGTTTTGGGTCAAATATAATACTATCTGCAGGTATTTTCAAAACAATTCAGCAGTGTGTGTGTGTGTGTGTGTGTGTGTGTGTGTGACAGTGGGAAAGTAAACGTGGCAAACACTAAGGGCTGTGAGTCCAGGGGAATCTACATGGGTTGTCATTGCACTCCTCCAATGTTTCTCAGCTTTGAGCTTTTTCAGGGGAGTCTGAAGGAGGGAGGAGGTATTTTAAAATGCAGATGCCCGGATCCCGTTACCAGGTATTCTGGCTCAGTGCGTCTTCTCTCAGTTTCCCTTCCTTCCGTTGCAAAGTTGGGCACCATGGATCACAGTCAACTCCAGACTTTCCTCCCTCCCTACTTCACGGAAGATAAATGCTGAGGAGCCAAGAGGGCGACTAGTTTGAGGTCAGCCGGTGGATTAGCGGGAGCATCAGGCTTGGAGTGAGGATTCCTAGCTCACCGCGAAACATTTAGTGAAACATTCAGTGTTCTATCCGCGAGAGTGTGTGTGGTGTGTGTCTGTGTGGTGTGTGTGTGTGTGTGTGTGTATAGTGTGGGGTGTGTGGTGTATGTGGTGTGTGTGGTGTGTGTGTATGTGTGTGGTGTGTGTGTGTGTGGTGTGTGTGTGTGTGGTGTGTGTGGTGTGTGTGTATGTGTGTGGTGTGTGTGGTGTGTGTGTGTGTGGTGTGTGTGGTGTGTGTGGTGTGTGTGTGTGTGTGTGTGTGGTGTGTGTCTGTGTGGTGTGTGGTGTGTGTGTGTGTGTGTGGTGTGTGTGTGGTGTGTCTGTGTGTCTGTGTGTGTGTGCCCACGCGCACAAGGGGTGAGAAGGTGTTTTTGACTTGGAAAGCTAAGTGGCCCTCTGGAGCCTGTCACTTTTTAACACCAGGGATTATTCTTGGGGTTTTCTCACGCCTATTTAAGAAAAAATCTGAAAACGTCCGCTTTGATGGCAATAGTTTCCTGAAACAAACAAGGTCCGCTTAGAACCGTTGGCGTCCCGTCGTCATGGAGACCGGCCATCCCATTCCTCCCTAAGGGGTGGTCTTGACTTTCTCTCCTTCCCGGACCCGGACCCGGACCCGCAGTCCGGCCCCCAGAAGATGCCGTGGGACCCAGAGGGACCCAGAGGGGCCGCCAGGTCTCCCTGCCCGGGAGGCCGCCGAGGGCGGCGCACCCCGCTCCGGAGGGAGCCCGGAGCCCGCACCGCCCCCCCCCCCCGGCCCCGGTGGCGGGTCCCAGCGGGGCTCCCGGGGCTCCGCGCGGGCCCAGCCGGAAGCGCTCCCGCCGCCCAGGATGCCGGAGGCCAAGAGCTCCCGCCCGGACCCCCTGCGATGGACCAAGGAGCCGGTGCGCCGCTCCGTGAGCCAGATCTGCCCGCCGCCGCGCCGGCCGCTGACCATAGCGGACATCCGGCCGGGCATGGAGAACGAGCGGCTGGGCGTGGTGCGCGATTCCATGTTTCAGAACCCGCTCATCGTCAAGGTGAGGCCCTTGGAGCTCGGCCCTCGCCGGGCGGCGCCGTCCGTCCGGGGGGCCCGCGTCCAGCCCGGCCCCGCCGCCCGGCCCCCCGCGCGGGGCTGGGGGCTCCGCTCCGGTCCAGACAGACCTGGACCCCCTGCGGCCACAGGCGGCATCCCGAGCCTCCGCTCTGGTGCTCAGAGTGGGGTGATAGGGCACCCATGAAAGGGGGCGATTGGGGAGACTGGGCAGGGGGACCCCCGGGGCCGCTGCCATTCACCCGGGAGCCTGCGGGGGGGGACACATGTCACACCCCCAATGTCCTCATCCACCCCCCGCCCCTGCGCCCCGGCTGCCGCCCCGCAATGGGCGCTGTGCCTCCGGGAGCCCCGCTTCTCAGTCACTTCCTCTCCATCCGACTGATCAGAGGCGCGACCCTAAGAAACAGCGCGAATCCAGGCCCTGGGCGGCCGACTGCCGGGGGTGCGGACCCGAGGTTTCTGACTGGATCGCCGCCCCCTGCACCGCACTCCCCTCCTTTCATCTCCTTTCCGGGCTGGTGGTCCACCCGCTCCGCACGCGGGCCCGGGCCCCAGGCAGAGGCCAGTGCAGCTTGGCTTTGGGAAGCGGTCCGCGGCAGAGCCACCTCGCGCCGCTGGGGGGCAGTGTGCCTCTAGAAATGCCAGCTGGGGAGGCGATGGACTCAGTAAGATTAGTTCCCTGAGCTCCAGGCCTGCTTGGGGCCTAGACTAGAGGCTTTTGTTGGGGGTCTTGTGTGTGGGGTCCAGGGAGCCTGGGGTTTCTAAGCATCGCGCTGGAACTCGCTGAGGTACTTGGTTGGTGGGGACGCATGGACTCTCCTCCTGCCTCCCCTCGCCGTGTGTCTGGACACCCCCCACCCCCAGGAAGCGGCTTGTCACCCTGGCATCTTCCCTCACACGCCCAAGAAGAACAAGACTCTCACTCACTTCAGGGTGACAGCCACTCTGAGCGGACAGGTGGGCCAGGCAGATGGGGTTCACCATTCTGGGATCGAGGGGAGAACCAAGCCCCCAACTCTGATCAGCACTTTAGTGTTAGGTCATCACTTTTGCCTGGGCATCACGCTGGGGTGTTCTTGCCTGCATACGAACTGCATTTGGAGTTACTGTTCTCCATGGTGAGTCTGTCATGTGTGATGCCCACACACACACACACACACACACACACATCTACATATATAAAAGCCTCAGTGACCATTAAGACCAGTCAGCTGAGCGACCATAGTTGACCGGTTACTATGACATGCACTAACCACCAGGGGGCAGATGCTCAACGCAGGAGCTGTCCTCTGGTGGTCAGCGAGCTCCCACAGCCAACCTCTCACGGTTCTGTTTCTCTCTCCCCCTCTCACACCTCCCCCCTCCCTCTGCCAGCCAGGCCCAATCGGCCCTGATGGGTCGGGACTGGGCAAAATGGCCCAAATTGGCCCCAATCACCGGCCGGGCTAAGGGACCGCACCTGTGCACGAATTCGTGCACCAGGCCTCTAGTACACACACACACACACACACACACACACACACACACACACACACAATTAGACATATACATACATTGTGTACACATCTACACATACATGTGTATATATACAGAATACACACATAATATAATATAGGGATGGGCAAACCTGGGTTTATAGCTTCTCCTATGGAAAATAATACAAAAATAAATCACACAAGGATAAACCTTTTCATGGACTCACGCCTGTAAACCTTCTTCTGCCCACCCTGCCTACTACGGAAATCAAATTTCCTTTCTTTTCTCCTTGTGCTTCTCCACTTGGAGGACAGCATTTGGCCTCTGGGTGGCGCTAGCCGCCCAGCTCCCAGGACCGATTCCATCTCGCTCTGCGCACCTGCGTTGAGGTTGGGGATTGCAGATGTCTGACTGACAGCCAGGGGCTTGTCTTCCGGGCCAGAGATGAGATGAGCGCAGGAATGCCCTGGCGGGGGTGGCTGCTCCCTGTGAAGGGGGCTCTGTGCCCTCGCACTGCCCCCCGGCTCCTCCCCGGCCAGGGCGCGGGGCCCGAGGGCCTTCCCTTCTCCTTTCTCCCCAGTTCCTGCTGGGCTGTGGGTACTGGCTGCCGCCGCTCTGATCTGTCCACACTTCAGCGCTCACCGCCGCCTCGGGCTTTCCACCCAAGCCGGCCCACGTGTGCCGGGAGCCTGAGAGGCAGGAGCCGGGCTGCCGCCGTGTGCGGCCCCCCTTGTAGATGGCACCACGGGCTCTGCCCGGCGCTGGCAGCACGGCGCCTGCGGGAGAAGCCCTGTCCGGCTCCGGGCTCAGCAGGATTCCCACTGCAAACAGCTTCCCACATAGAAATCTAAATTACAAACTTTGGGGTTTTGACTTTCAAGAAAAGAAGAAGATTGAAGGTACTCAAGATTGTGGAGCCTTTTAGAAATCTTAAAAGTAAATAAATAAATTGGGCCCTAAGTGGTTTGGCTCAGTGGATAGAACGTGGGCTGCAGACTCAAGGGTCAAGGGCATGTACCTTGGTTGCGGGCACATCCCCAGTGGGGGGTGTGCAGGAGGCAGCTGATCAATGTTTCTCTCTCATTTCCTCTCTGTAAAAAATCAATAATATTTATATATATTTTAATATATTTTATTGATTTTTTTACAGAGAGGAAGGAGAGAGGGATAAAGAGTAGAAACATTGATGAGAGAGAACCATCCATCAGCTGCCTCTTGCACACCCTCCACTGGGGATGTGCCCGCAACCAAGGTACATGCCCTTTATCGGAATCGAACCTGGGTCCCTTCAGTCTGCAGGCCGACGCTCTATCCACTGAGCCAAACCGGTTTTGGGAATAAAATATATTTTTAAAAAGTCAGTTGCTCAGGTTTCCTTTGGGGCCTGGCTGGAGGCTCCTCAGGGTGGCACGCAGGTTGTGAGCGTATTTAAGTTCTAAGTCTGAACCCGGGGGCCGCGTCTACAGGGAAGGACATAGCCCCTTCGCCCCGGCACTCACTCCCCTCCGGGCCGGTGCCCGGGCTGTGTCCTCCAGTGAACAGCACCCAGCTTGCTTCTCATCGCACACGCTCGCCACCTGAGCAAACCGGCGGGGCTGTTTCACAGGCTCGGACTTCACCAGGACAATGCAGGTCAGTCTGTCAAGAGCCTGCAGGCCCTCTCTGGCCGGTTTTGCCCAGTGGCTAGAGCATGGGCCTACGGGTTCGATTCCGGTCAAGGGCATGGACCTCAGTTGCAGCCCCTTCCCTGGCCCGGGCCCTGATCAGGGCGCATGCAGGAGGCAGCCGATCAATGTGTCTCTCTCACATCAATATTTCTCTCTCTTTCCATCCATTTTCTACTCTCTCTAAAAATCAGTGGGGAAATATTCTCAGGTGAGGATTAAAAAAGAAAGAACAGGCCTGCACGATGACCAGTAACCAGGTGAAAAGTGAGCAGCTCACATGCCTACACCTGCATCGCATCTCCACCCGCTCGGCAGGGCTCCTCCTGGTTTCACGCCGCGCCAGCCCGGCCATCAGCAGAACGGACTTAGCCACGCGGGCGTTTCGCGCGGTCCCGAACACGGACAGGTTTCCCGCTAGAAAGAGCGTCTGCTCTGGCGTCTGCAGCGACGTCTGTAGCCAGCTCCCTGCAGAGGCGGCGTTCCGGGAGGAAGGAAATGAAACAGAAGAACCGGCTTGCCTCCCCCTCCCCGGAGTCCCGCGGCTCCGCACACGCAGAGCCTGTCAGCAGCAGGCGCCCGCAGCCCGGCGATGCCTGTCAATCCGGCTCCGGAGAGACGGCTCGGGCTGCTCCCTGACAGCCTGGAATCTTCTGTCGCAGGAGAGGCAGCCACGTACGGGGGGACTGATTGAATGGAGCCCCCCTCCGAAAGTGCAAATGATCACGGCGCCCCGGTTTTTCCATAATTTATTGATGCTTTTGTGTTCCGTGGGGGCTGTGTCACAAACAGGAAGTGCAGGCACGTGGGAAATAGAGTCATCTAACCTCCGCGGAGGGGCTGGCAGACAGCGAGTGGATTCCTTTAGAGGGGAGGCAGGCTGGGGAGGGGAAGGGACTGGCGGGCGCCGCTCTGGCCGGTCACAAGGTGAGCATGGTCCGGCAGACGGCGGTCCCCTCACCTTACTGCTCTGCTGTCTGTTCTTATCCAGTGTCTACGAGTCCGTTAGTCCTTTTGCGGGCAAAGCCCCCGTCCAGGCTGGCTTCCCCGTACCCTCAGTGCCTAGTTCTGTGCGTCCCACCTAGGAGAAGCGGCCTTGGCGACGGCCTGGTCACACCCTTCTGGGGGGGAGCTCTGTCTGGCGTCTGAGGGCCCGTCTCTCTCGGCAGCGGCTTGCTTTCTCCAGGCGGATCCTCCCAGGCCGCCTGGCAGGTGCTAGGGGGCTGATTCCCCTCCCCCCGTGTCGCAGGGGTGGGGGTGGGGGGGCGGGACGCTGGGCTTCCCGGCAGCTCTGGCTGAGGACCCTGTGGCCAGCTGACACCCTGCACCAGCGGGCAGCTGCCCTTCGTGGAGCCCCTGTGTGCCTGGCCCTTTGTAGCATCACCCCCGGAGAGATGGGACTAGCGTCGTTCCCATTTTACAGACGGAGAAGCTGAGGCTTGGAGAGGTTACACAGGTCGCCCACAGTCATTCCGAGGGAGGCCACAGCTGCCGGGCAGGTCAGAACTCTGACGCCAGGGCCCTGTTTGCTGAGTCCCTGCCGAGTGCCACTCTCTCAGACATGCTGTCTGCTCTGCAGGGCTCGTGCTCTGAGCTCAGAGAGGCTCAGCAACACGCTCAAGTCACACAGCGGGGAGATGGCGGAGGGCAGGGCCTGACGGGTCGGCCACGCTGTCTGTCGCCCCAGAAGCTCCCTGTCCTGACGGGAGAGGAGTCAGGTCTCCGTCCTCTGAAGCACCCACCTCCTCAGAGCGCACCTGCTGTTCTCACAGAGCCCACAGCCTACCTGGGCACATACGCACCACACGTGGACACACGCCACACACGCACCACACATGCACAC